AGTTTATAATTATTTTGATTTTCTCGGAATTCATTATTTTCCCTCCGTCATTCAATAAGATAAGGCAAAACTAATAATGAGAGTAAGATGTTGAAATATAACACAGATTGGAAAACTTCTCACTAAGAAATAAGATGAAAGAGAGCATCAGTGAGACCAAAATGTCTCATACAGAGGCACACAGAAAATTGGATGGGATTAACTCAATTACCGTCTGCTGTAAGATAATAATGAGAAGATAATGTGCAGGAGCAGTTATTATTGAAGCGTTCCAAAATGCCGGTGTCGAAGTTCGTCGGAAGTGTCGAGTTGAAGACAGTTTCGAGTTTGAGTTCCGCGACGGCAAAGCGACCCTTTACTATCTTTTCTGCACATGAAATAGGGAGAATTTCTCTGCTTTGAGACAAGAGAACAGTGCAACTAATTTTACAGTACTGATTCTGTGCGAACTGCCATCAAGCATTATAGCGACGTCGTATTAATGGCACATATTAACCGTTATAGAGGTGAATATATTAGAAACTATGGTCTTGTGCGAGAGAGAGAGAGAGAGAGAAACTAATATATTTTGCAAATTGCTTCCGAAATTTGCTTAACGGATAAGTAAGCGGATAAGTAAAGATATCGCCAATATAACGTAATTGTGTTTGTGTTTGCCTTTTGCAAAATAAATGTAATAATTTTAATGGATGAGATACATCGAATCTATATTCAAACTAATTATGATAACGTTACGAAGGTATTTCAACCTAGATAGAAAATGATGCAAGGCTTCTTTCTCCCTCCCTTTCTTTTGAAATATATATAATTTAAAATTATTAAAGCCGACGCATAGATAGCTTTTATGCGGCATTCATCCAAATAACAATTGTCACATCAAAGAACGAAGGCATCAAATAAATATAATTAATTCGCAGCGATATATTGTAGCATTCAATGAAAATACTGAACGTGAAGTATCATAAATGTCAGCTGTATCACTCTCGAAACAAGTGCATCCATTTTCGCGCGTCAGCTCCATCATTGAAGCGTAAACGTTGCGAAACGAATTATCTCCTCCCTCCCCCACATCTATTCCTCTCTCCATCCTTTCCTCTCCGCGAAACAAAAGCTCCATCACTTGATGCAAAAAAAAAAAAAACGCGTTTGTACGCGACGCAGCAATGGCTCGAAATTTTGGAAATCGAGATGAGCCATGAAAATTTCCAAGTCAAATCCCTATCACCTCCCCCTTTCCCCCCCCCTCCCTCTCCCCCGTTAAACAGCCACACTTGTTCCCATGCTGGTCGATAAATCTAGGCACGTCGTCGTATTTCGGCTCGAAATGCGAGCCGAACGTGCGCGACGCGAAATCGCAAAGCGCATCGCGCGCGAAAGGGGTGTGTATGGTATATCCCATCCGCGTGTTGTTAATGCAGGCCAAATATTGACGATTTCGTATTTCGAGTCGCCCGTCAGTTTAAAGGATCGCCGACCGAATCGTCCTACGGTCGAGCGAAAATTTTGTATGATTGTTGCGCGCGACCGAATTGGCACGTCGCCATCGGAAAACGACACCCCAATGTGCGCTCGAGCCTGTTAATAAAATTCGAAACGCATCACGGTATTCCCTTTCGAGTCTCTCCCTCTTTCTCTTTTATTTTTAACGATTATCACAATTGTTCCGAAATACCGTGACAATAGAAACATATACTAGACACAAAATTTATGATCGTCAATATAGAATTGTATGCAGCTATCATGTATACAGATATTTTCGATGGAAAATAAAAATGATATTAATCGACTGAGAAATAAACTATAATTGTAAAATTGCGGCATTATAATTTTGGTTTGTTGTTAATTACTATATATACTGTTATATATTATTACATCATATATATTATTACATTATATATTATTGTTACATCATATATTATTACCTATGTTGATGTATTGATGTATATAAATGTTAACACAAATATGCGATGTAGTCTAATTAATTAATATAAATTACTTGATCAAATTTTAGAGTAAGAAACTCGATATTTGAATTTTTAAATTCCTTTGAACAATAGTTAAATAGTTCTTAGCGCATGAACAAAGTTATTGGAGCAAAAAGTTCAATCTTTGAGACTCGAGAATATTTTTCGCAAAAGTATTTTGCAAATCTCAGTGGCCCTTAATTAGTTCCTCTTTCAGTCTCTGAAATCGTCGTTTGACTAAAGTTTGGAAAATCCGAGTTATAACAAGTTCAAAAATCGCTCAATTAGATTCGCGAGTGGTGCGGGATCGTTCACTTTTAGATCCGCCAACACGATTCTATTCGAAGCGTTAAAAACTTTTCAAAAGAGCCAAAGGACATCGAACAGCGAAAAAAGGGTGAGTAAAGAGAAGAGTTATATGCGGATTCACAGTGAAACTGAGTAACGATCGCGCCTAAAAGAAACGCGCATCTGCGACTCGATTATTCAATGAATCGGAAAATGAAAGCGAATATCCTCTTTCGAAGTAATTATAATTAATTATTCGATAATACGCAAAGCGGCTCAAAGCATCGTTAAAAATTGTCCAATCGAAGTTCTCACGTATATAACTGCAAGAACTAAGAGCTTTCGAGTAATCCGCGTAAAAAGTTTAAAATATCGTAGCGAGAGCTTCTCTAAAAAGTATATCAGATATTTCACTGTATTTATCTTTTAAACGCGGACAAATAAAAGAATTGTACGACGTTTCTAAAGTAAAATATGTATAGTTTTTATTTTTTTTAATTTTCTATAAGATAATGACGAGTATCGATGCGAATATCAATCCGATCAAACGTATGACATATCAATTTTAAGACCAAAAAGGAGAAATACCATGGTATAATAATATACTTTAATGTATTTCGAAATTACCGTGGCAAAGTTCGCATTAAGGTTCTTTACGTGACTTATCTATTTCACCCATGTGAACACAAAGAAAAGCTAATTTATCACTATTTATGGAAAGCAAAGAAAATTGTAATGAAAAAGAAACATAAAAAATTTTTGTAGCGGATTACAGTCGTAATTAATTTAATCGTGAGCTTTATCTCGTAATTGAAATATTTTTGTGAGCGACAGGAGAGTGTATATATTCATATTTTCATAGTTTTATAATTACTATTATATATAATTAAATATTTACAAAGATAATAAAATTCTCTTCTAAATGGCCCGCGCACGTGTCGCAAAAATGCACGTACGCGAATACTGACAATGAGCTAGTATTCTTTTTTGGGGCAGAAACAGATTCAATACTTGGCACGTACAAGGCGCAGGCGGAAAATTCCTAAGTGAAAAGTAATGTATTCACGCAAACATGACTTTGCCTAAAACTAACTTTTCCATTTGGAGGGTCCCACTAGCAGAGTTTCAGAAACTACGACGGTGCAATCTTTTTCTCCGTGACCACGCGACCGCCGTAACATTTTTTTAATTCGAGCAAGCGGAGAAAAATTGCACGAGTAAAAACGACTTTGTCGATTTAAAATACTTTAGGATACCCCCTCCCGATCAATCTTAGTATATTTTTACCACATATATATATTTATGTATAAATATATGTATATAGAATATATGCATATATATACATATATATATATATAGAATATATATACAAAATAGATATATATAAGTACAAGAGTAACTCAAGTAACACTTGTACCCAGAATATTATTCATACAACTGCTGCCGTTTGTTTCATATAAATTATAAGCGTGGTTAGCACATCGCGAAATATTAACACCGCGGAATTTCAAAGTTTGGAGAATTTGCTTTGGATTTGATATTACCACGCAAACATTAATCTTAGTATAGATAATATAGATAATACAGTGTAAAGATCATTAAATAAATATTGCATTTTCTAATTCAGTGTAATTATTGATTTTATCATTATATTACTCCAGATAATCAATGGCCTCTATCTTACTTGACCTTGCTGTATATATTGGAAAAGATAAAATAGATATTGCGCGCGAAATAAAATTTTAGATATACGGATTCAAGTAATATCTGTATCACCGATTTTAATACATATCCACTGTCTTTTGTGACTTTTTAATTTTATATAAAATAATTTATATATCGATTTTCTCAATAACGCGTGCGCGCATCTCTTAGACGCGCTCGTCTATTATTATCTCGCTTTTATACTATCGATTATTAAATGCAAAACAGCATATGCTAATGAGTGAAGTTGATCAATGCTGCTAAATTGTTTGTTTACGCGGATAAAAGCAGACAAACCAATTTTATATAACTGTCATTCGTCAGTCATGATTAGTCCCTCTATAATGCTAAGCAGTCCAATTATCTCCGCTAATGACATATAATTCTACAGAGTATAAACCGAAAGGGAGACAGTAAAACAACGTTCTCTCCATATAATCGTATCAACGTGCACACTATACAGAAATATTTTATACAAAGATTTATTGTCGATTTTACGCTTATTAAATGCGGACAGCGTTGCATTTTACTCTGGCGACAAAACAATCGCCGTATTATTTCTATACACTTAGCGTGAGTATAGCACAGAGAAATATCCTCGTTATCCCGGGAATTATAATAAAACTAGCTTTATTATCGTTAAAAAAATAAATATCCCTTGAATCTCGCAAAAATGTGAATATTTAAAATGTATTTTAAATTTAATAGAAATGTGTAATGAGATTAAGAATTATGGGTGTCGTCTTTTAAAGAAAGTTTCATAATGATAATTTAATTTTAAAATAATAAATAGAACAATCTCTCTCTACATTACTGGCACAACTGTTATTACTGCAATATAAATTTGCTAAGGCAGGGAAGTGCGTAAAGGAATGATATCGCATCCTTATTAGCATTTCTATCGGCATTGTAGTCGCATCTTTCAAAAGAACTTGAAACCCACCGAAACATACGTAAGTGATTACATTTGATTTTCATGATAAGGTCCGTTCGCTTTCGTATGAAAATTTCAATTTAAATCAAAATGCTGACATAAGTACTCACTCGTGCACACGCCCTCGTCCACTTCTCGACTGCGATGCAATAGATTCGTGATTACACATTGCAGACCCACGGCGCAGCTACCCGAAAAACCGAAGAGACCACCGCAAGGTTCGCCTTCGACACGCGCGCATACTTTGCAACACCTGTAAACACGTAAAACTTGCAATCAATATACATGCATATATATGTATATATATATATATATATTTTTTTTTATAGGGAAAAATATAGCCACACGCAGAACACGATCGATACGCAAATCAAGTTACGTGAGATAACTAAAGCTAATAAAATAACTCGAGCGGAAAGTTATAATTAGCTGCGTATCACACGCTGCATTTTGCGTCGTGGTAAGATTATACATATCTTTGCGATATTCAATATTAACGCATCTTCAATGTTCGCAATACATTAGAGTATTATTTCTAGAAAAAATTTTAACTTAATTCTGATATCTATAAAATTCGTATTTTGCATGTATTAATAACAGAAACGAGGAAAGTTGATCTCTGCGCGAAATAAACGAATAGTGTATTATTAGCTCTTTCTTTCTCGTAGCTGTTGTTCGTCGGCGAAATATATCAGAGATATATTCAGCTCTCGTATGCCCGGCCTCTCAATCTGTTTCGCCTCTTTTTTTATCGGTGAAAAACGAACAACGCGGAAAATTGTTGCCGACGTTATAAAACGATAAGATAGACGAAACGAACAAACGGCGACTATACATATGCATCGCGGCCAACCAGATTGCTTCGATTCGAATGCGGCCATTTGTTTCCTTGTAAGAAATCCTGCGGGCGACAAGAAAGTACAAACGCTTTAAAGATATAAAGCGCTTCTTATAACGGGGTTATATCTTTCTTACGCTCGCAAAACGAAAATGTACGATTTTGTTGGCATCCCTTTTCACACAACAGTCGAATGTTGAAGGACAGACCGTGAATTCATTAGCTTCGAGAGAATATAAAGCCGCATTATTAAAGTCCGCAAACAAAAATTTCGTGCAATAATTTAATGGAAAAACCCAGAATATATTCGTAAATGTATGAAAATAAAAGAAGTTTTATATTATAAATATCTGCGAGAAACATTTTTACGTTGAGAAAAATTTTCAAAATAACTCTTATAATATCTCTTATAAAATATTAGCTGTCTCAGATTTAGGCGCTTCAAATTTTTCCTAGGAATAAACTGCAACAACTGCAGAAAATTATTAACCATATATACCTTCAATTAATATATTAATTAAATACTTAATTGAATATATATCAACTGAATAATTAATAAATATATATATTTTTTAATATTTAAATAATTATATAAAATATACATTAATTGAAAAACTTGTATGAAAAATTTGTACTTTGTCACGCTTGTGCACGATAGAATTTTCAATCCGTTTCAATGTGTAAATCCTAGCAATGACATTTGCATTTTTATCTCGAAGAAACTCGGCTTGAATCGGGATGTAAGAAATTGAGAAGCTTCTACATATTATGCGAATGCATATCACTTTGGCGCACAGCATGCTCAACAGCGCGGAGCATAGTCTTACGAAGTTGCGGTAGAAAAAAAGTATGAGAGGAATTTCAAGGCGCAGCCTGCGGTGCATCGCGCGGAAAATAATCTCGCGGAAAATTGTCAACTGCAACCAGGAATTTTATTACGTTGTCTCGGTAGCGGGGACAAAGAAGCCTTCCATGTTCGTTGTCGCTTTTGCGCGAAACAATCTACTCCTCTTAATATACCTTTCCGTTCTACATTCTTGTATGACAAAAATGTAGTTCGTGGGGAAAAGTGACATGACCGGATCAAAAGACTAAGAGATAATAATACATGGCGATAAAATACAAATATACGTTATCGATGTAAGTAAATTATAGTTTATAAAATATATTTTATTTATAAAAACGCAATATGCAAATCTATCATATATATATATATTCCTTATGCCGATTAATGTATTGAAATAAACTTGAAAAATAAAGTGCGCGTATTGCAGCTAATGCATTTATCTCTGAGTCGGGCAAAAAAAAATATTTGTTTTCACTGGCGATTCCTAATTTGCAACAGCCGTGACCAATAATGGTGTTGCATGCTAAATATTTTCCGATAAATCCCAATATGCCGTTGAACGTACGACTTCTGTATTCTTTCGTATATTGTCATTATTTCATGCAAGAACGTGCAACCGTATGTTACCGGGTTTCACCAAGTACGAATTTTAAATACAATCGCGGTTTACTGTAAAAAAATAAAAAGACACCGTTGCCTCCACACAATAATCGCGAAAACAATGTTTTTCAAATATCAGAAAATATACTCGATTGAACTTTCCTTTGCGGGGACTTTAAAAATTTAATTTCTTTAAGACTAAAAAGATATAAAGTAAATATTTTTACTTCTCAATTAAATTTTAAATATAATCCCGATATCTGACAAAAAGAAATATAGAAGTTGTTACTCAAAATGCAGAAAAAAATATTTTATTAATATTTTATCGCTTTGTAATAGCAATGACAACTATTCGAAGTAGATATTACAAAATGCAGCAAGAAGATTGCATTATTCGATTTACAATCGAGAACGCAACCGGTTCTTCTCTAAGATTGGAAAGGTGAGAAATAAAAACACATTTCTACAGCAATTCACCGTAGTCGTAATGAAGCGGTCTTTTCCATCGTGATGATAAGATTCTGTTGAATGAGATTCGCGAGCTCCGATCATGCATTGAACCGGTCGAAGCTGCAACGGAGGCAACGAATGATGAGATTCAGATTCCAGACGGTCTGGAAAACCGGTGTTTAACGTTAGATTGAGAGTTTACGGGCGGAAACGGGAAAGATTTCACAGATTAAAATACGATAGATTTACGTTAGATTTAATTAAGCGCAGATAGCTGTCACGTTGCGTCCACAAAATTGCACAAGATATGTCTTTCTCTCTTTTATATCGACATCACATGTACATAAACTTATAAACGGAATGACGTATATAATAAAAAAAAGAAATAACAAGACGTTGTTCTTAACGACGGTAGCAATTCACCGGCGTATCGTTGACGGTATTTATTGCCTGTTACCGCGATGGCACGTCTCGTCGGGATACTGGAAAAATTTGCATAAAGCAATAATTCTTGCCGTACGTGTAGGAAAGAACTCGATACAACTTTTTCTCTTCTCAAACTACCGCGTCATCATTGAAACTACCCGACTTATCCTTCGTATCGTATCGTAGTCTCGTTTCGATAGTCGATCGCCACTGCCTCTCCTCCTCGAAAATCGCCGGGACTCTCACTCTCTCTCTTTCTCTCTTTCGTATAAAAACTTTCCTTCCGGAAATTCCGCGCAATAAACGTTAGCTACACCTATTGAATTCGCAAAGGGCCCTCGGGAAAGATGCTATAACTGTCCAAAGCCACTCCAAAGAATTCTTTCTCTATTTCCGCAAACCGGCGCGTCGCTTCCCTTTGAAATTCAATTCCAACATTTTCGAATCAGCATATCGTACGTATCGACGCGCGCGCGTGACTGTATTATCATGTGTATAGTGAAATACCGTGGAAATACGCGAAGCGAAATAACAGAGAAAAGGAGAAAGAGACAGAGAGAAAGAGAGAAAATTTGAGAAACGGAACGCTTGGTAGATAAGCTTTAGGATTGCGCATAAAGATTTCTCGAGGTCTCGTATGAATTTCGTAAAGAATCCGCCTTTGCGATCGCGCAAGAGTATAAACCGTCCGTTCTAAAAAACCAATAAGGAAACAGTTATCGATAATATAAGTATATCTATACCGGTGTCTCTTCTCCCCAGCAAAACGCGCGTTTCGCGTTCCCTTATTCAAAGATTTAATCTAACGCATAATTCACAGTTCGATCTCAATTCACGGTTCTCAATCGCCGACGTGATTCTTATTCGATTCCCGCACGGGCATCAATCATTGTCTCGCACTTGAAAAGCAATTACGTTGAAATTGTTCATCTTACGAGTAACTTTCTCGATCGTAAAGAAGAATCGGAAGAAAAGAAGAAAAGGAGGATCTCGATTTCACCGCACATTTCTAACGTTTCGAGCGGCTGCGAGAAGAGCCACGGTTTAAAGAGCCGTCTTATTCACCCAACTCGTGAATATATATAGACAAGATGAAAAGCTTTCTAATTGCGTATTGTGTAATATATACCTGGCCGAACCTGGCTGAAATCGTTGAGTCATCGAAATTTATAAGTACATAAGTACCTAACAGAGATATCTACAATCAAGACTGACCTACATGGATATCTCTGTATAAAGATATTATCACTTTTATGATAGCTTTAGTATACATAAGTTAAAAATTTGAAAAAACTCTTGTTATCCAGATGTGGAGATAAATTTTGTATTATATACACGATACGTATTTTTCGTACAGTTTAAGAACAGAAATTTAATTCTCAAATTTCTATATAACATCTGACGCAACAAATGCGGTTGCAAATTTGTGTATCATTACTTTAGTAGCAAACGCTCGGTATTATTTTTTTCTCTCTTTCCCCTATATAAATACTCATTGCGCATGGACGCGCGCATCAATCCAATTTTGCAATCCATTGTTCATTGCAAATTCACAAATGAAATCGCCATCGATCCGCGCTTCATCGATACGCCCTCGCGCGAAGCGGAATTTATCTCTTGATACTTTTCTCGCAAATATTTATTAAAGAGGATGTGCCTGAACATTCTCCCTTACTCTTATATGTTAAAATGATCACGATAATAATTGTGAGACTGCGGTTTCCAACAAGCTTTATCGCATAATACTATCACGCGATACGTCGTATACTTTACGCCTGTATATAAACGCGACTGTTTCATAATAATAATTAACAAGATATTATAATGTTATATATGCATTTCTTTGCTAGGTAGATAATTCATAAAATGAATACAAGATAAAATGCTACGATACATTGCGATAAAACTTAACGTGCAACGATAACTATATAGCTTTACGACGTTGGTGCAAATTATTTCCTCGAATTGCAGAATTTTTAAAAAATCTTTCTCTCTCGCGTCTAGTTACTTATTAACCTCGTTATATATTATTCTTAACGCGCGGAGCGTTTACAAGCGCGGATGACCTGTTTTGCATCAGGTTATTTGTACGGGCCATAAAACACGACGCGTATCTGAAACTCAGGTGCACATCCCTCGTTCGAATTTTACGGTATATGAACAACGTATGTATATGCATGTACAAAATGTCGTAACAATCGCCTGTATACGCCTGTATGCGTGGACGAGCGAAAATAGACCCAAGGGCAATAGATCTCGCAACATGTCGACCGTATAGATACCGAACACACCGATGATAAACGCTATCATGTATAACAGATTGAGGCCTATATGCTGTCTCTTCGTGCGTATTCGGTTCTTTTTTCGACGATTTATCTCGCGGTCCCTCACCCTCATCCCTCTCTATCTCTCTTAGCGCGATTTTTCCACAAATGATTCGCTAACGCGAAAACGTAATTCGCGATGCACAAAGGTGGATGAACAACAAAGGACGGCACTTTTTTTGCCGCTCGCGAAGAGAAAAAAAAATTGCAGGTAGCGGGGCCTTATTGTAGTCGTGTGTTTTAATTGCTCGCTGTACTCGGAACTAATTACAACGCATAGCTAGAACACAACCGCTACAACCGGGGAACACAAAGAGAGAGAGAGAGAGAGAAAGAAAGAGTTCGGAGCTTTAGAGAGGCGAATTGAAAATTACACTTTCGCGCAGTACAAGGGATATAGGGTATCCTTGCGGTGAAGAAGATGTAGCGGCAATTATTATGCAAATATCGTACATGTATAAGGTCGCATAAGAAAATTCTATACATGTGTGTTCCTATTTCTTTTTCCTCTTCGAGAGAAAAAAAAAAAGAAAATTCCCAAAGTTTATTAAAACATCTTCCGCGACGATAAATTTTCCGCGCTTCTTCGCATATTGCGAATAGTCGGAACGTCCTGTAGAAAATCGTCGGGTCGAGGATATTAAGGCCATGTTTTCGCGCGTCCGTGACATTCCGCCTAGAGTAAAGATTTTTCCGCGGACGCGTAAAAGGACTGAAGGAATAGGGAAGCGCGTACAAATGGCCACATTCCGCATGGAAGCTCGTATCGAGCCGCTACGCTTTGAGCTCCCGCCGCACCGAGAGTAAACGCAGGTGCTTATATGTACCTGCAGGGGTCCCAGGCGAGACCTCCGGGGCAATCCTCGTCGGTGAGAACGTCGCACTCCAGCGGCGAGCACACACACGAGAGAGCTCTCGCAACCGCGAGCGACAGTACAACAATGCCGCCCAAGAGGAGCAACGGAGCCCTCATTTTGCCCTCGTCCCTTTCGACGGCCGTCCCGTCGGCGGTTTTCCTCTGTGTTGTCTCTCCTCTCCCTTTTCTTTACTTTCTATCTTACTATATATATCTCCTCGGCCGCACAATTACGAGCCAAACGAGGCGAGGATGTCCATCGCGCTCAAGTTCACACCCCCGAGACGTCTTCACGTTACGGAACTCGTTCGATTTCCGATTTGTCACACGTGCGCGATAAGGTATTCCACCGGAAGTGGCAGGGATGCACGAGGGGACGCACGTGATCGGCCCACAATCGCGTTGAACAAATGTCCCGGGGAAACGTAAAGAAAGATATGCGTTGCCGATCTACATTTTAACGTTTGTAGTTCGCTGGAATATTGCGCACGTTCATTTTGCGGGCGGAATAATCGTCCGGATGAAAAGGATAATAACAATCGCGCTGGCGGAAGTGAATCTCACCAAAAATATCCGGCGCTAATAATGTAAGTTCAGGAATTCAAGGGAGATTAAACTGTGCAAACAAAAGACAGAAATAATGAAACAGAAACGTGATGATGTGTCCGCAATTTTACAGCAAATTGCTTAATAGCTTAATCGTGTCAGACCATGAAAATTAATACCAATTTTCGTATTTTATATATATATATATATATATATATATATATATATATACACATATATGTGGATATAAAAAGTTAGCAAACAATCAAATTAGACGCGCTTTAAAGAGGCAAAGCGAACAAAAAGAAAATAGCTCTCTGTATCAAAGATAAATCAAATACTTCTTCAAGACATTTCTCAATTTTTATATTCCAACATTGCAAAATCATATACGATGCCAAATGATGCTTGTAAACAAACAGTTCAAAAAATTCTGTTAAATTTAACAGATATCACATGTCCCCCAAACGGTCCACAGAAATTTTTGTATTAATTTAACATAAGATTGCATATGTTAAATGGAGACACAAATATTGTGTTAATATTTTAACACAAAATAAATGCAACTTCAAATATTTAAAATAAATTTTGTGTAAAATTAACATAGTTTTAATCTAAAAATAAGCTAAAAATATGTTAATTTTAGATTTTATCATCCCTACTTATATTATAAAATAGAAAATCAACATTTTTTTCTGTAAATTTGAACAGATAAATCTTGTCACTAATACAGCAGAACATATTTATTGTGTAAAATTAAAAATAGGTGCATATTGTGTTATTTTTACATTGTTTCCAGTTGTTTTAATAATTTAACATTTAAGTTCAATTAACAGAACAGTAATATATTAAATTAACACATGATTGTGTTAAATATTTAACACAAAAATTTTAACGGGGACCGTTTTAAACAAGAAAACACAAATTTCCCTACTGTGCATGAAAATATATCTATATATAATAAAGAAAATTATTTTTAGATAGATGTAAAATTTAGTAAATTTAATAGAAAAAACATATATATGTATATCATATACAAGAGCACACACATCCATTTTTTCAAAATATGAAAGTTTCTTTGATGAGAGGTGCATAAACAACCCGATTAACTTCTAAGAATAATTCGTCAAAAAACTATAAGCTATAATAGCGCACTGTAATATACATGTATCAACCATGAATAATTTATCCCAAAGAACAACGTTATGAAGTGGGACACATCAAAAGTTGTCGAGCACCAGCTAAATTTGCGGCGTGTCCAAATTACACGGATACATGCATCCTGGCACGAAGATGCCCCGAACATCCGCATTGCCGTGTAAAACGCGATGCAGGCGCATACCGTAGATAGGTATTGCACGAAAATATGTCTTGGACCACGTAAATGCAAAAGGAGAACACACGCCTATCGTATCGCACTATAATATCACGCGCGTTTTATTTTTGTTTTATTTTTTTTTACTAATATATATCGATGGAGAATGAAAATCGCGAGAATTATGCGACTGTAAACGCGAATACGAAATATTCAATATGAGAACACGTAATATTCAAAGTTCCTCGCCACATATTCTGTTTCGCATCTGCGAGAGAAGCCATGAGATTTCCTTTTCCGGTTAGAGATTTCTGAAAGTGAATTTTAATAGCAACAAGTGCGAAGGATATGTACGAATTGAAACTTCGTGAAGATACATATGCATCCGAAGAAAATTCATATTCGGTTAAATAGACTCGAATTCCCTTGCTCCCTCTTTGAGAATTATGTCGAAGTGACATTCATCTATTCATTCATTCATTCATGCTTCTAAGAGGTTCGCATTAATAAATCTGTGACGAGCAAGTTATTACACTTTTCAGGGGATAACATATCACCTGTATTATGAAACTGCGTTATAGATCTAAAAATTGTACAGCCAGCATATCGAACCAGTTGCGACTAGACGATGCGAACTCGCGTTCGAATATTCGCGTAAAAATATTTGACGAACTTATAAACAATCGAAATAATTCAGAGGGGAGGTGGCGCGTGTAAAATTATTCGAGCAGTGTCAAAGGAAAGGAAAACGGACGAAAATTGCCGGCATCGGGGAACGGAAAGATTCGATCATTCGGTGAAGCGGAAATTTTTCGCCTCGACGAACAATGCCGGCTTCGCATAGTAGTAGAATCGGAATCGCGACCGCGTCTTCTCCCACGTCACGTACGTCGTACACACGACATCGTGCACACGATAGACGACAGGGTCGCCCGAATGAAGCACTCGGTAACGAAGCTATACGAACACACGATACGTTCCGCGTTCGAGATGAACGTGCACTGGCCGCCGCGACGATCAGCATCTCCGAAGCGGCGCCGCGACGCGGCCTGCGTCGGCGCTCTGACGCCGCAGGTAAGCTTTTCCTCGACTGCGCTCGTTCAGTTTATGATTTTTAATTGGCGGCGTTGTAAAGAGTTAATTAACGCAACACTGCGCGGCTGTGTCGCGGATTTACCCGTCCGTTATATTGTACCATCGGTAATATTGTTACATTATACCGAAACGTTATAACAATAGCGCAACTATTAACAATCGTAAAACCAACAATTATAGTCTACATTAATATTAACTAGATTTTTTTAATCTTTCCCAAATATACCCATTTTCTATAATTCCATCGAAATATTTAAATAATTACATGCATCAATGATTTAAATAAATATATACTATACACACACATAGAGAGAATTATTTCTCTTAAAATTTACCACAATTTATCGTAATAAAAAAATACATAATTTATCACAATAAAAAAAGAATTAATATCTACCACGATAATATATAAAATATATTCGATTAATTTAATATGTACTACATAAAATGTAAAATTTACTATATTATATACATACATTAATATTTTTATTGTGGTAATATTTAATCAGAGAAACTTATAAAATTCTTTCAACACTGCCATATTGTCTCACGATTACCATGTTATAAATTTTTAAATTCTATTAAGAGAAAACTTTCACCTTGTAATATTGTTTTTACAAGTAGAAATTATAATCTGATTATATAATATATATGTATACATATAATAGTTCGTATTAGACTATAATTATTAGTTTTATGATTATAAATATATTAAACAGTATCTATTATTAATATTGTTATTAATATCTATAATTATAATTAATTAATATTTTTATATTAATTATATTATAACGATTAGATATTAATAACAATATTTTGTCAATAAATAATGAAGCAAATAATTCGACTCACATTTCGACTATCCTTCTCTGGTCTCGTTCCCGGATTCCTCGCTGGCATCAGTTTTCCAGTAAGAAACTAATCTCGGGAACTGTCCTCGTAGAAACACTTTGCACTCGCGTTACTGTTTTCGTTCGCGACGCGCGGCGACGCCCGGGTTTTAGTTATAATTTTCGATGCGTTTCATTAAAACGCGAGAATCGCGAGAGCTTATTCGCGCGCGAAAACCGATGCTCTGTTTATTGGCGTCGCCGCTTTTCAAGTCCCACGTATCGAAGGACCTTATCGAACGACGAAGGCGACTTCCCCGCGACGCACTCAGAAGTCGCCGAATTCAGCAATTATATGGGCACTACATTTCATTGTTTTTTTATATTATAGTAATATGACTTTAATATAAAAATATGAATTTTTATATTTATATTTATATTCTGAATATTCAACGAGAAGAAATCGCGGAAATCGCGCTAAAGCTTTGCTTGGATTATTTATTGGCGAGCGCATATTAAAATAAATAAAATAAAATAATCCGCTTCAGCGACTTTTCGGACCTATATTTTTCTCGCTTATTTCTCCATATGTAAGTTTCGAAATTAATTTATATGTGGAACTTTGGGATCTCAAATTGAGATACAGTTCCGTTTAATTAATTTTTCGTTTCGTTTCCTTGGCTCTATTGCCCGGCTTAGAAGGCAGCATACTTATATTCTTTATATTGAGAGCCGATAAAAATATTTATTTCTGAAAATAAAATAAGTCTAAAATAACTATGCAAAAGTGTACGTATAACAAAAAATGAACGTTACGCATTGCCAATATAAATATTATTACTGCTTCATTTTTCTTTAAGACTTGCAATCTCATATTGTTTACGATTTACACATCTCAATTTTTCATACAAAATTTTCATAAAATTATTACCGAAAATCCAAATAAAAATTGATGACTCACCGATACGATGCGCAGCAGCGGAATTATAAACTGGAAAAGATAAATACATGAAAATTATAGTTGAGATTTAAAATTAATATTTCCAAAGAATATAAAATTATTATTTACATTGAGTTTATTTTTTAAATAAAATATATTTATTAAGTAAATATTAAATAGATATTTAATTAAAAATAGTACATTAATTTTTATTAAATTTTTTAAATAAAATAAATAATAGTACACAGTTGAAAAATTTGTGTTAAGTTTAACAGATATCACATATCCCAAACGGTCCACAGAAATTTTTGTATTAATTTAACATAAGATTGCATATGTTAAATGGAGACACAAATATTGTGTTAATATTTTAACACAAAATAAATGCAAAACTTCAAATATTTAAAATAAATTTTGTGTAAAATTAACATAGTTTTAATCTAAAAATAAGCTAAAAATATGTTAATTTTAGATTTTATCATCCCTACTTATATTATAAAATAGAAAATCAACATTTTTTTCTGTAAATTTGAACAGATAAATCTTGTCACTAATACAGCAGAACATATTTATTGTGTAAAATTAAAAATAGGTGCATATTGTGTTATTTTTACATTGTTTCCAGTTGTTTTAATAATTTAACATTTAAGTTCAATTAACAGAACAGTAATATATTAAATTAACACATGATTGTGTTAAATATTTAACACAAAAATTTTAACGGGGACTGTTTTTAACAAGAAAACACAAATTTTCCTACTGTGTAATAATAAAATAAATAATTAATTTACCGTATAGTTGCTCCGCCGATGCAAGATGCCATCCCGGGCCTCCTCTCATCCTCTCGTTTTCCTCCGTTCCTCCTGGTGAACTGTCCTCGTAGAAGCTTCACAAAAAAACACTCGTATTAGTTTTTTTCGTTCACGACCACTCAGGAGTCACCGATATTCAGGACACTACTAGCATGTTTCGAACACCATGTACACTCCCGTTCGTCGCTTATTTCGACAATATACGATTCATATAGGTACTTCTCGCACTTTGCTAAATAGTTCCGACACGACACGAAAATTCAAGAGAAAGAGCAACATACGATATTGAGATAACAATGGCAATATGGCAGCACGTCCTTGTCATATTCGACCTGCAATTTATTACAATTGCCAGCTTTGTTCACGTCACGTCACGTCACGATGATACGGAAATACGGCCGGAACCGCGCAAACATTCACTCGAAATACGATCGACAACGCCGAAAAACCCGGAAAATTTTCGCGTCGAAAGCGCCCGACACTTCTCGCGATCCGTCCCGCGTAAAACTCACGATCGTGAACTTTGGCTCGTGTCCGAGCTGTGTTTTCGGGGGAACAAGATTCACGGTCGACGAGGTCATCTCGTGCGTGCGATCGCGATCACAATATCGGTACACGCGATGCGATCGGATTTATACGGTAATTAACCATGTAAACACGCTAATCAATGTACTCGTTCTTTCGCGAACCGGCACGGATGATCGCGGGAACATTTATCACGAATAAATCGAAAGTGTACTAGATGGCAGTAGTATATTCTAGATTGTGTTCGGAAATGTATTCGCTTAGAGTCAGGCGCTCGATTGACCAATCAGGACAAAGAGATTCTCGGTCTCCGATTGGTCGGTCAAATTCTGAACTCTGACGAATGGATTTCCAAACGCAATCCTTTAGTTCCTTTCTACGTAATTATGTAATATATGACGCCATTTACGAATCACTATAAAGCCCTGCGCACAATAGGAAAAATATTTAATATTTTTCCTATTGTGCACAGGGCCCCCCTAAGTTGTCCATTATATACATATATACATATATATTATAAGAAAATATATACTTTAATTATATATTATAATTTAAACAGAGATAGAGGAACATTTTATTAGATTATTTGTATTAATGAATTGTATTAGATTATAATTTCTATTAATAATAATTAATTTTTATATAATTTCTATTATAATCTATATTATATAATAGAAATTATATAAAAATTAATTGCTATTAATAGAAGTTATAATCTAATACAATTCATTAATATACAAATCTAATAAAATTTTCTTTATTAATTTTTATTAATTGATTTTTTATTAATTAGTTTTTATATAATTTCTATTATAATCTATATATATATATAAAATAGAAATTATATAAAATTATTATTAATAGAAATTATAATCTAATACAATTACATACATCAATATATACAAATCTAATAAAATTGTCTTACATCTCTGTATAATTGTGATGTATAAATTAAAGTATATAACAATATTTACTTGTAATAAATATACATATGTATACATATACATATAATATATATATATATATATATATATATATAATATGTAATAAAAATTATATAAAAACTAATTAATAAAAAATAATAAAAAATAAATAAAGAAAATTTTAATAGATTATTTATATTAATGAATTGTATTAGATTATATTTTCCATTAATAGTAATTAATTTATATATAATTTCTATTATATACATACATATATACATATAATACATACATATATATATATATATATATATATATATATATATGCATTATACATATATAATTACAATAGAAATTACATAAAAGTTTAATTACTATTAATAGAAATTATAATTTAATACAATTCATTAATACAAATATATATATTATATATATATGTATATATATCACGAATAAATATTACATTAATTATATATTACAAGTAATACAAAGATGTATAATATATATTAGATTATATTTTCTATTTATAAAACACAAAAAAATTATATATTGTATTATATTTAAAAATTATTATTGCATATAATTCTTTAACCTGATAAAAACTTTTTTACATATAATTATATATAACAATATAAAATTATACAACAGAAATATATAAAATTATATATGTATAAGTTATTGTATAATTATATATTATTTTATATAACTTATTATATATTTATATATAATCTTACAATAATGTTGGCTCAATCTTATATACCAACGATAATATAAAATTATATATAATCATATAATAAGTCATATAAAATTATATATCACTATACATAACTTATACAGAGTTTTTATATTTCTATATAATTTTATCTTGTTATACAATATGATTATAATTAAAAAAATTTTTACTGTGAAATATTTTCTATAGAATTATATATAATTATAGTACAATTATAAACAATGATTTAAAAATTTAACAAACAAATAATAAGAATACTAAGAATATGTTACGAATATGATTTCTATATCATAAATTGTTGGCAGCGACTGCGTGAAAGCTACACGGCAGATATTATCCAACGAAGAAGTGTCCGTTCGTGCGAGAGCACGCGCGCAAAACACGGTGTACATCCTCGTGCAGCATTTTCGCGTGAGTCGCACTTTACACGTCGTCTAATACCTGGTAATATCTCGCGGATGAGACTGGCTGTCAACGTTTTTCTGGCAGAGTCGCAGATCCTAAGTGTGATAAATGTCCGCGACAAAACTCGTGGCGGCAGCGTTCGCCCTCTTCACCTTGCGTTCGTGTAGACAATTTTTCTCTCATACGTATTACGCGCCGTAACTTGCTCCTAATGCTTACTAAATAGCGGTCATTGGTCATCGAGACTCACCTATTTCAAAATAATATACGTAGTGTCAGACACAATGTATAAAACAAAAATGAAAATTGTAATCATGAACAACAGTTTAAAAATTCTAATTGATTAATTTTAAACTTTGCTTTAAATTGTATGCGAATTTTACTCATTTTCTATATATAATATCGTAAATTTATTAAAATCTCAATTGAGAAAGAAGACTTATTTTAAAATAGCTAAAGTGTTTGTCATTAAAATGTAATTAAAATATAATGGACAAGAAGAACAAAAGCGTTCGTCCGAATCGAATTTAATAATAAATAAATTAATGTATTATCTAAAGAAATACTTTCATTATTCATTACTAATAAAATTAGAAGTTATATATAAAAATATAGTTTCTAATTTTAGTCCTAATGAATAATGAAAGTATTTCTTTAGATAGTACATAAAAATAATCAATACTTTTGTTTTTTTAATAATATATTGTATAATAATATGTATATTCTCTTTCTTTCTTTCTCCCTCTCCCTCTTTTCTCTCCTCCCTTCTTCTCTTTTCTCTCCCTCTCTCTTTTTCACACCTTCTCTCTTTCTTGCTCTCTATAAGAAACTATCTCTATCTTTTTATATTCTATTAATAAACGTAGCATTGATATCTTAAGAAATCAATATTGATTATTTTTTTCGTCCATTTATATTGCGTTTGTATTATACTCTGCGTATTACCTGTGTCGTTCTGAAATTTTGCCGCGATCGTATATCGAATGTGCTCCTTTACTTTCTATCTCGTCGAAATCTTGTGCTTGATGTCCGCAGATCTCCGTCTCAGACATAATATGCTCATCTTTGAAGAGCATCGTCGAAGATGTATACGGATATTCGCGGTGAAGAAACGACTGAAAACATGCAATATAAATTCAGTAAAGTTTCGTCGCCATTTTGTGCAGATATAATCTTCTTCTTTGCCTCGAAAAAAAACCAGCGATCAGAAATACCTCGTTATAAATAAATGTACATAAAGAGATATACTGAAATCTCTTGCATAAGAGTTGTATGCACCTGGTGCAGTAAGAATATTATGCAATTATAATTAATTTTACCTCGTAAAATGAATGAATCTGCGGACTCTCTCTCGGAAACGTCCTTCCTTCAGCGGCGCGAGAATAAAGTGAATTCAAATACGAGGTAATTGTTGATACGATGCAGCTTTCGGTGGCGACATCTTCTGACGAAATGTTGCGTTATTAATCAATTTCCGTCGGTAATGTCGATAACTGCGCGTAGTTTACTGTTTTCCATAAAGATGGCTCTAGCGTATATAAGATCACCGGTTTTGTACGAATTTATTCCAACATTAACCGCCAACAGCGAAAGTTAGGTTATTGATAGTAATAATATTTATGTTCGTTTATGTGCATACAATATACAAATCATTAGGATCGAGGAAAAACCATTTGCTTAAAAATAAACTCAGTTGCGTAGTTATTCATTTGTACTATAAACGCTGTATAAACGATTTCTGATATAGGAATAACATCTTCAACATGGAAGTGTCTCCCATGGGCAATTTGCCGTAAGTATATAATAAAATAGAAGTAGTTTTCAGATTTTTATATAACTTCTTACGATTATTTTTGATCACAAAAAGAAATAGATTTTTAATTAGGAACGAACATCTGTTATCAATGTTTTTTTAATATTGACTTTTCAAGCAATAAAATAGTTTCATTAATTTCAATGAAGCAATAGTTTTGTAATATAATATATTTTATTAATTATTACTAATAATTGATAAAAAGTTGCAGCAAAGACTTGTGGTCCATAATATCTGGCACAACATGCTGCTGTGCCAAAGAGACTGTCGAAGATGAAATAAAAAATGGAACTGTTTTACTCAAAGAGGGGCTTCAGTTTTTTAAACCATATACAGATGCATCATTGCAAACCATCTCTAAAAGAGATCCACCTCCTCTTCAACAGATGTATGATTTGATCAGTAAACTTGCACCGCTTATTGTAAGTATATTATAAATAATTTCCTCTATAATTGTAAATATATATAAATTTATAAGATTTTACATTTAATTTTTATTCTAATATATTATCAATGTACTAATGTTAACATTCTTAATTTGTTAACTAGAACTTGGATGCTACAATTACCTGGGATCTTGTGTGCAATTTTGTGTCCTATGAATATAGAAATTGCGCAGAGACATTTGCAACACAGCTTACTGATCTTACTTCTATAAAAAGTTTAATCGATGATATTTGGAACTTTTATTACTCAGAGAGAGTAACCTTAATAAAATGTCTTAAACTTATGATTGAGTATAAAGATAATGAAAGGCATCCTTATCATAAAGAATTTGCAAAATTTTTTGATGAAATCTTGATGGGAAATCTACTTGAATCTATACGAAAGCAAATAAAAGCATTGAAATTTGTAAATCCGCCTACACGGTCGCAATTCTGTACTGAAGATTATTTGCATAGATTGTATAATAGTACATTGATTGAAATGCGCGAATTGCTTCACATATTGACTGTGATCATACATGATCTACATATTGCTGATCATGAATTTGTTAAGTTCTATGGAAGCATTGGGGTAAGACACGTTTTTAAAAATTTTATTAAGAGCATTAAAAAATTTATTCTAATATTACTAAAATTTTTTAGGGTGAACCTAGACGATTAGCGAGTACAAAAAGTCATGAAGACAAGGAAGTTATCACTAAAAAAATTGAACAGATACAGTACAGTCAAATAGGATTATTACTTGTAGCATTAGATGTGACAAAACAGTAAGTTATTGAGTTACTATATATAATAAATTTATATATATATATAACTCTATATTTTAAATTTAATTATAATAATCTTATTTATGTATACTTTATTTGTTGCTATATTTGTATTGTTTCAGCACTGCTATGGAAGATTGGATAAATAATATCAGAAGTAGCATGCAAGAAATCTTTGAACACAAATGCGTCCGTGAAAATTCACCGCAAGATGGACCATTACTTCTATCATGGATGTTAGCTAATTATGCAATTGATTCAGATAATATGGATACATTAAATCGCTTCAGACCGTTTGGTATTAAAGCTATACAGCTCGATGTGTTCCACTATTTGCGGGATTTAATGAACTGCGAAATGTTTCAAGAAGAAACCTACTATGCTGAAGTCGTGCGAAGCAGCGTTTACAATCTTCTCACTTTAGTGTGCGCTTTTGTCGACGAAGATCGATTAAGTGCTTTAAATGGTATTTTCGATGCCATGGCTGCTACAATTAAGTTTCCAGAATGCGCGGCAAGATTTTGGGACGAACGATACGATGGCTTGTGGCCGATTTATAAAGTTGCTGTGGAAGTATATCCTTACAAGTTTGAACCTTTAACCAGTATAGCTATTGGTCTTGCATCCACGACCATTACGAGTGCCAAGAAGGTAATGATATTATATATATATATATATCTAAATTTATATTATATTAAATATTTAATATTATATGATACAATTATCGTTCTTTATTTTTAGATTGCATCGGAATTGGATAATCTACAAACAGTGACTCTAGAAGTTCCACGTCAAAGAGATCATAATAAATCGTTACAACCATACAAAGCGGAATGTATAATTCAAAAGAACTTGTTTACTATATCCAGCAATTGTGTACACGAGAATATTGCCGTGTTATCTGCAGAAAAAGAAGTGGTTTTGTTTCATACAAAGACGAGTTACTGGCACGCCTTACATCACAAGATAGAACAGTTATTTTGTCAAGCCAGCGGTGGAATTGCAAATATCAGCGCAGTAAAGACAAATTTACCGGAACACGTTTGTCACGGTCTGAAATTATTGGAAACATTACTGGCCAAGGATATCGATATACCATCAAGCATGGTCATTCCCACGGAATTGAGTTTTGAAATTATTAACAGATTCTCATATCCGGTTCTACCAACGAATTTGTACAAAATCGTCGCCGTGTGCATCGGTATTTCATCGAAATTGGTTTTGAGATATCCCGAAGACATTCTCTCGCGTATGAGATCAGGTATCTACCCGAGATTCAATAATTGGTATCAGAAGCCGGTAGACTTCGCTGAAGCAATCTCCTTCGACGGCGGTCTCGTCGCATCATGGCTATCAGGAATAGAAACCATCGAACATACTTATCCTATTCTACGCGCGTTTTTAGACACTTTATACAATTATCTAATCGCGAAACATAGTAAGGAGGCTATGTATACCATTGAGATACCGGGTATGGTATTCCTATTACAAGCTGTTTTACCCAAATTAGACTCATGGTATTTTGAATCCAACGCAGAAAGAATCGACTTATGGTTGAAGAGCATGTTCTGTATCCATCGAGCTCTAGAATCTACTCTATCCAAGAACGATATCCGCAACGAGTTGCAGCTTATTGTAGTATACAGTCTGCTTTATTTGGAGCCGCGTCATGCACTGCTTAAATTACTACGAACAGGCGAACGCACATTGCATAATAAAATGATCACGGAGACCGATTGGATTAGTGGAAAAGGATTTAAAACTATCAAAAGCGTAGAATTAGCCTTGTCGATAGTCAATCGACTCTTAATGTTTAGAAAGTCTTTGGGTCTCGAACTGGGTGATAGATCGCCTCTCGAGATTGCTCTGTACTCTTCTCCGAGAGTACCTAATGGACTTCTCATAGTGCCGACCATTGTCAACTATTTGTACGTTTGGTTTAGTCCTTCATTGCAGAAAATGGCAGTTAGATTACTGAAGAAGTTTGCAGAAGAATTTTCTATGTCCTTGCTCGTTTGTATGGGAATGGATGGTACCTCTATACGAGAAACCTTTGCATTTCGATTGACGCTACCAACATGCGCGATTGAAGTAAAAGTCGCAATCCTAGAACTGGTCGCCGTGTGTCTGGAGAAACAACCTGGCTTAACGGAAGCCCTCTTCAATATCATGCATCAAGCGGAACGCAAGAGAATCTTCCCACGCCCAGCTGATGAGTTTCTTACGGAGGGCTGTAGTCAATTCCTGGACTCATATCTGGAAAGAATGTACAAGGAAAGTGACATTGTGTGCGACAAGTTGTATGATAGCACGATGGCAGTATTACGCGCCATGTGGTATTACAGGAACGAGATTCTTGTCAATTTCTTTCGAAAGCGAGAGAAATTCTGGAGCCACTTATTCGCGCCACTTTTCAAGCCTCTGGTCTCGGGGGCGAAAGGTTATTCTCAATTATTAGACGTAATTACATTAGAATTGTACAAAAGCCCACTACTCGAAGACAATTTCTCAAAAATTTAAAGGAACTCTTGGACAAATCCAAGGATCATTGGAAGAAATTAGCCATATATGTTTTCGATGTTACCGCAAACAACAACGAAGACGAGAATGTTAAGGAAGAGCATATGAAACAGGACAAAATTATCGACCCGTTATACGAAATTAATTTAGAGTCTTGGTATCATTTTATTGTCATGCTAACTGATGATCGAACGGCTAAACATTATCCAATTAATGTAACGCAGGCGCATCTTCTGACTCAGCTGGCTTTGGATTCTTTATTAGAACGAGTGAAAGAATCCAATGATTCCAGTAGCGGTAAGATTCCGATGTTACTGGCCTCTTTGTCCTTGAGATGCATTACTTCTTGGAAGCAGATGTGCGTTGGCGACTCGAGGATCTTCAAGACCAGATTGTCACAGCTCACGCAAGAGATCGCACAGACTTACCGTGGCTTTGGAAAAGCCCTACGCCAAACGATGATCTCGTTACTGCTTGGATGCGTGCAACTGGTGAAAAGTACTTTAGCCGAGGATTCAGCGAGCTTGGAATATCTCTTGGCGCATTCCTGCACAATCGCTATTTGCGAATTAGAAGAACTGAAGGAAGCTGCCTTCCAACTAGAACGTCGAAAGCAACAAAGCATCTCCGTCGAGCTCATCAAGACTGAAGAGAGAGATACACAGAAGAAAGCTGACTGTCACAGCGCGGAGACTCTTCGTGGTATACGCGAAAGTTTACCGGCGACATTAGCTGTCTGTATGGTGACGCAGTTATTACGATCATACGTCGAACGCAATGCAAATTTTAAGCATCGTCTACGAGCCAGTTGCGTACAACTACGTCAAATGATACTGAACTGATGGCGTGTGTCGGTTACACGCTGCAAAAATATCCATATTTTAAATTTAGCATAGCGGCTCTGAGTCTGCTGGGTGTTATATCGCGTTCGCCGTACTGTCCGCACCCTATCAGCGACAATGACATTGCGAAGCTCTGGCTCAGTCTGATTCCGCCGGCTGATATCGCCAACAGTATGCTCGACTCGTTATACGACGATTCGGCAAACGGTCGATGGCGTTGCCAGGATTGGTGGCCGTTGTATACTCTGGGTTTGGAGTTTCTGATAGGTCTGGTGACCAGCGAATCGTACATGATCTACATCAATCATGTGGTTCTTTTCTTAAACTCTCACGAACACCAGTTAATGGTTGTCTCTACCTTATTGAGACACACCGCTGATCTGTTGGCCGCCGATCTCATACAATCGCTGGTCGCTCTTATACACGCTGTAGCCACGCAAACGTATGTTTGGAACGCAATTCCGTCGAGCGTCCGCAAGACTCTGATCAAGTGCATGTATCTGGTATACGACAGTACCGTGAACTTGCTGTTAAGACCACGGATACTCAAGTTCATCATTGACGGTATCAGCGTGGAAAGTGCCGAAGAGCTCGAGTCCTGCGACAATCGATTGCCTAGTGGCGAGTTGAAGCTACTGGTGAACAAACTGATTGTCATAAACACGACTTGCGCGCTAAGTTTTGTTCATTTCTCGCCGAAACTGAACACCCTCGTGGATACGATATATACTCAGAATTATTGGTACACTCCGATGGCAGAGATGAATTTTGGTCCACCGCAGATGAGCATGAGTTCCGGTCCGCGACTTACCTACGGTGCGATCATCAGTTCAACGCAGCTGTTCACCCAGGCTCTTCATTCCCGTTCGCAACCCGTTGTTTCGTTACCAGTATCTTCGATCCAGCACTCAATCGGACGCGAGGATAAAACTGATTCCGCGAAGAAGGAATGGGAACGCGCCGCACCGGAGAATCTTCGACGTATGCACACGAGCAAGGATCTACGAAGGATTATTCATGCGAGCTCAGCTTCAATTTCTAGAACGTCGACATCCAACATCGGTCCCGGAGAATTTCTAGGATATCCGGTCAGCGGTCTGGACGTCACCGTGCCATTGCTTAGCAGTCCTAGACTCGTACGTCGTCCGTACGATCCGTTGATATGCGAAAATACGATTCTTTCGAGGGCAACCGCTCTGGCGACCGGTAGACACGTCACGAAGAGCAGCAGCAGCAACACCGGAGGTAACGGTAGCCCGATCATAGCGAGAAATCATCGATTCTGCGATCCGTGGTTTGAGTCCATGGACGAGAACAACACGCGACTTGCACTGGAGATCAATCTTATCCTGATACTGTCTCAAGCGCTGGAAGGTGTGAAGAGTCCTAGACTCGCGTTGCGAGACCGTCAACTCATAGCACGAGAGACTGCTACAGAGCTGGGGGTCTTCTTCGATTTTCTGGAACACCGTGGTACACCCGATATCTGGCAGGTGAAGGGCTCCTTGATAGACGCGGATACACGGAGCTCTAGGACTATTCAGGATACGAGAGATCCGATACAAACGAATTTACCAGCAAGACTCCAGAAGAACAGTACCGTTGACAAAGCACCGGTGTGTTCGCCCGATCACGAAGACTCTTCCATGGAAGTAAGCCAAGTCGAGACACGAGAGAGAAGACTTGACGACAGCATCCTTACAACTGGTGTTTTCAAAACGAATGTCAGCAGCGTGCAATTCTTGCCGTTGATGGGGAAATTGCTCAAGACAGTCGTGGAATCCTTGGACTCGGCACAATTCCGATAGTGTTTGTGAAAGTATATCTTTAAAAAACATAGTGCTTAATGTATAATTAATATATTCTGGAAGAGATTAGATCTCTTAATATTCCAGTATGTTTGATAGACATTTAATATGTGAAAGTGGACACTCGATAGATTTCTAATATTTAAACTGTGACTGCACACCTTTGTATCATATATCATTTTTTATAATTTGGTACAAAATTGTACAAAATGCGCAAATTATGTGATATATATAATTAAGCATTCGTGTGCTTGTTTGCAAATATTAATCAATGATATATGTACGTGTATTGTAATAAATATATTATTTTTTCACTATGCACAGCATAATGTAAGAATTATAATCGTGGAAACAATATAACATTTAGGAAGAGAGGGATAGAAAGAGGAGTTAACAGGAACATAAAAAACATGATATCTAATTAATTTTTTCTAATTTAGTCTGTGCTTTTATATCACCACTATTTATAAATGATTAAACATAATGTAATGTATAGCCAGTAAATTAGAACTTTGTGTTTTTCTTAGTTTCTAAAAAAAATGTGAAAAATACAAACTGTATGATTTTATACACAGCCAACTACTTAATGAAAGGGATAAAACGAATTATTTTAGGATTGCGCATCTTATGCGCATCCTTTACATTAAAATAATGATGACTTTTTATTGACTTTCATTTGAATTTCATCATTTGAACATTTATTATTTTTTATTTATTTTGCGTTGAACTGACAAGATTGCGTCTTTACAAATTTATTGCCAATCCAAAGACGGAGACGTGCTTTGGACAAATTGTGAATTACATATTGATTACAATAATGGTGCATATGATGCTGTCGATTCACTGATCATCATAGTCTCAATCGCGACGTCAATTTTAATCGAGATACACCTTTTTTCCGGCATGGAATATTTATTCAGAAACGGAGAGAAGAAAATAGAGAAAGCTACAGCAATCCCCGCTCATTTTTCGCTCAGTTAATTTATATATATAATTAAAATATTATATATATATATATATACATATATAATGTTTTAGTCTCTTTCTCTTCTTCGCGCAATGCGCGTTTCTTTATCTTCCGCATCACTATATTTAACATTACGCACTCGCGTGCTAAGGACAGTTAATAATTACGATACCGTATAAAAATATAATCCTTGATATTAATGAATATTATTATGCGTTAAGACATTAGCGATGATGTAAGTGCCGAGTTAGGCACACCGCGTAAAGACATCCGCCGCCTTTCAGGCTGAATACCTGAAGGTCGGATTAGATGCTAAGGGGGCAAATGAGGTAAAATGTTCTCGGGTGAGGGTGTATCGTGGGAATCATTGCTCCTAGATGATGTCACTCGCTGATGATAATAATTATTGGAGGCAGCGGCGGCAGAGGTGTTGGAACTAGTAGTAACTGTATTTGTTGAGCCGAGGCCTGTAACCATTGTCGTAGACGTAGTAGCTGTGGTAGTGTTGATCGTTATCGTCGTGATGACGGAGGAGGTAGGTTGACTTCGAGACGTTAGGTCGTTCCATCCTAGTGGATTCGCACAATCTGATTCGGACGAAGGACAGTCTGGATGACGGGTTGACGGTGAACAGTACGTTGGTGTAGTTAAAGCGCTAGAATTGCACATTGACGAGGACATGGTAGCTGCGGCCGACGTTATCGAAGGCGGTGGCGGTGGAGGTGGTGGTGGTGGTGCGGGTGTTGGGCCGTTCATCTCCGTTAATGGATCGACCGCGTTTCCATCCCAAGCCTCTGCCGATTTGGATTCGTCATTATTAATGACGCTGGTGCTGGATCTTTGTCGCTTAGCGTCACCGTACAGCAAACAATGGACGTTGGGCGAACTGCTGCGATCTCGCACTCCCTCTTGCTCCTCCAGGAATCGATCCATATAGTCCCTGCTTGCAATTTAATGGTTCTGTCATTCACGCTTGCAATAATGGATTAATTAAAGCTATTACATTGATAAGTGTATTAAATGGTGTAATGTTAGTATCGAATATTGTATTAATTTTTTGATAGATTGCAAATATATATCTCTATTTTAAAACTTTTTGTATTTTGATATAAAGCTCAAGTGCAATAGAGAAAATACTCACGTGATACCAGGATGAAGAGCATACTTTTTCTTTTCTAATCGAGCTTTGTACGTAAATATGTCGTGCCGCTCCGTTTTCTTCCACAAGTAATAAAATTGCACTAACTCTCCAACAGATCTCGTTCTCACCTAAAAATGCAACAAAAATACTCATGTAAAAATCATTGTAATACAACTCATTAGTCACTAAACAAATCTCAATAGTTTCTAAATAATTTACATTTATATATTTTATTTTTTTAATTTATATTTTATAAATTAATCTTATATGATATGAAAAATATTTATTTTTTTCTCTTTACAGATGTAAAAAATAATACTTGTAGCATTTTATTACAACAAAAATAACGATAATTTATTCAATTCTATTGTGAAAGAATTAAACTTTAATTCCTATGTACCTTATTTTTCTGTATAAGATGAAAATCCTTCCCATAGGTGCGCAATCCAGATTCAAAATTATGACATTCCTCTTCCGACCAGAGACTTACAGCATCTGTAGGAGGAAGTACATTCATTCGACGTCTACGCAGTGCTTCTTCAAGATTGTAACCGCATTGCAGTAAAAGATACAATGCCTGTTCGTCGTCTCGAATATGAGATCCAGCCGGTAATATACCGCCTTTTACTACCGGAAGTTGCGCACGTTCCAAGAATTCTTCCGTATCTTCTTCGGATATATGACTGGGGTCCCACAACATCTTATCTTCATTCTCATACGGCAACGCATCGTCGTAACGACACAAGCCTTCTGGTATTGCTGCTTGGTAGTCAGTACCAACCATGATTGTCTTCTTCCAGTCTTCTTCATCTGGACTGTAGTCACAATCGTCTTCTTCTTCTTCGCTTTGCGGCCTCGAAACACTTCGTAACAATCTCGAACTGCCACTTCCTATTCCCGCACTGACTATCCTATCTTCCGGCCCGTCAATCGCACCACTAGCGTTACCTTCTTCGACAGTGCTGTCGGCAACACCGGCTCCATCTAAATTAACTATACCATCGCACGTAACAGCGTTAGCGCCCACTATCGTGGGAGACGATCTTTTTTTTCCATTTCCACTTCGAGTACATTCTTCGGTTTCGGCGTCTTCGTCTTCGTCATCTTCGTCGTCATCGATCCTACGTTTCCTGTTATCCCTGTTACCCACTACGCCGCTGCTATTGCTTTTCATTGCTGATCCTGACAATGATGACGCCTTGTCTTTTCCTTTTACAAGCATTTCTGTATAGAATTGCTTGAGATCCGGCTCGTTGCTGGCCGCATCGGCTTCGTCATCGTCGTCGTCATCGTCCGCATCGTTGTCACCTTTATCCGAATAACGCTCCTCGGTCTCAGGATCACCGCTTCCAGACGGCAGCAACATGTGATCGGAACTGTTTGAGTTCTCCGTCGATGGATCACCGTACCCGTACATAGCAAGTAGATCTTTCAGTGGCATATCACCTTCCTTACACGAAGAGACAGAGAAAAATAGATCATTATTACATCAAGCATATTTTATAAAGCTAAACATGGAATCTCACTACGAGAACGCACTTTGAGTCCAAAGTGTTGCGGAAACTTATCATAATTGTAATTATTTATGGGCTCGATTTTTTCATTTCTCAGGCTTGATCCTAGAATAGTCGGGATCAGAACTTTGTTACAGAGTGACAGATGAGTATAGATAAATTCAAAGTGCACAGTCTCAGATATTAGCGGAGATATACCTTTTGCAAATTGGACAACTCGTTGTGAGAATCTTCACTACCTTCTAAAGCTTCTTCTTCATCCAATGTTCGTTCATCATCAAAATCATTTACCATCATTTCTGTCGCAGGACCCATATCATAATCCCGATCTGCCCTGTAAGGAACATACATTCTTACAAATAGCACACTTGCTACAAAATCTATTCTTTGTTATATCAATTTCAAATTTCTTCACATGTGCGAGAGGCAGTTACGAGGTCTACGTTAGTCGCTACATAGATGGATATACACTTACATGATTCTACTTTCCCTATTCACCGAGAGAGTGGAACATAACACACAAATAGTATACACACATCAAACGTATAGACGAAGCACCAGAATATATCACCACAATATAAAAGAACTATGCTTTTCAACAGTCTGCATCATCATACCATTTTTCTGGATGCTGAGGGTGGTGATGTTAGAGGCTGGTCTTAATCTTAGCACATTTGACTCTATTGTCCAACGAAGATCGGATAAATGGAGATATTTTATAGTTTACATAGAATGCCAACAAGTTTTAACCTCAAACTGGTTTGACATTCGTGTCACATAGTAGTAGTCAAAACACTGATGCGTACAGTCTTGGCATAACGTAAACTGACATTTCGTGAAACGTCACTTGATACTTTTTCTCTCCCGGAAAATAGCTACCGTCAATTCTTTTGCTTACAAACACCGCGAAACTGTGTGAAGTCCCTCCCCTATTGTTCTCATTCACAAGATAACAACAAATCCCTGTCTTTCTCTCAACTCGAACTCGAAATGTCACGAATTCTTAAGGCACAATTTGTCGTCGAACGGCGAGTAACATCGACGTCCGGCACGTACAGATAAATCGTTACATTATTAAGCGACCTTTTAACCGAAAGACGCACACTACATTATTTATACTCGTTCTCTCGGCTTGTTGTATGTTCCGAAAATGAATGCGACAGTCGAGAAAGCGTCGTTACGGCCATTACCGCGAATGTCATCTAGATCCTTCCAGAATCAGGAAGCAACGCGTTACTCGAAACGTCATTGGTCGGCGTCAAATTTGTCCACGACGCTGATTGGCTGGAATTTCGACGCGACGTTACGCGTTAGACTTTCCGCTCTATCTGAATCTCTTCATCCGTGCTCGAAGATGATCGCATCAAGCGAATGGTGGGCAAGCATAGGTGAAGTAGGTTTCGAATATTTGACAAGGCGTGTCCCTCGCGTAAGTGTGATTTGACGCGACTTTTCGCATGCATTTAGAGTATGCAACTTCAATAAGTGGATACGTGCATATGGAAATATATGCGTATAATTTGTAAGTATCTCTTGCAATCTTATAACATGAAAATCGTAAATCCCTGAAGTTGGTTGCGAGTCATATCGTGTTTACGAGTTCATTATTAAATTTATGTCACTGTTATTTATATTATCGTCGTTATTGCTTTGGCGTAATTTATTATTAATGAAATAGTATAGTAATCTATGCAGAAGCTAGTCTAAATATTAACAAAATATAAAAGAATATTTGTACTATTTACTATTCTGTTTATATGATGTATGTGTGTATATACACATATATATATATGTATATATATATGTGTGTGTGTGTGCATTCCAGAAAAATTATATATCTTTGAATTTATATCATTGATCATAAATTGCAGCCTATAAAGAAACTCATCTCATCACTGTTTGAACATCTCCATAATTCGTGTGAGTATAAATAAATTATTGAATTAATGAATACATTGTTTGAATATTTGATTAATATTTGATTGTTCTTGATTTAGTTTGCAAGTGAGTCAAGATGCATTATGGAAAGAAGTCTCCCAGCATGGGAACACCGTCTGTGTATTCTCATGTAACTACTCGCAGCAGTGCAAATCTCAGATCTTCGAGGTCTGTTCGCAGTGTAAAAATTCCATGGTATCAGAAACCAAAATTAACACATGCTTTTATACTCGATATTCAAAGAGGTGCTATGTTCACTGCCATATTTTCATTGGTGTGTATTTAGTGGAAATAATATTTGAATATGTAGATATAGTTTTGAAAATGTTATTTAAATAATATGAAATAAATGTTTTCTTTTTCAGTGTCTAGCCTTTTTTACAGTGTGTACATCAATTTTCGATATCTACTGCCTATCACAAGCTGCACCTGGCTCTACACATTATGGATATTATATCATTTCATATGAATTTGTTTATGTGGGCAATCAACATGGTAAATATGATTTTTAATTTTAAATACAATTTTATAAATATTAAAAATTTTATATGTTGAAATAGCTAATAGAAATATTATTATTAATCTTTTTTCGTTTTCAGTTCGTAATGCATTGATCGTATTTGCATTGTTCTCTATGCTAGGTGGAATAGTTGTTTTTGTAACTTCTCTAATATTGATCACAGCTCTGCGGAAAGAATATGAGAAGAAAATAGTACCATGGCTATATACTTTTGCTATATTCACACTTTTCAGACTATTTGCTTTTATATTCTTTAGCATTGTAAATGATATGATATTTGCCTATAATATCATGATGTGCCTACTATGGATAATATTTGTTTGCATTCTGCATATGGTTGGCTTGTCGTCTATTCTTTATATCTTGAATTACGTGACCTAACAAGACTAGAAGATCTTGCTCATTTGCGGGTATGACATATTTTTATTTTATTATATTACACTGTAATTATCATATGTAACAAAGAATCTATGTCTATCAAGTTACTTGGAATTGTTTCAGATTGGTACAATGCAGTCTTTAAATGCTTCGACGACACATTCTATTGCTGGTTCTCGACCAACAACGCCTCATAGTGTTGTATCTACTTTGCCTGTTAAGTAAATCTTATATACATATATATGTATACACACACACACACACACACTCTATATATATGTAATTTATATATAGTGGATAAAAAAATTTTTTTTTTTTAGATTGAGATTTGCAAAATGCTTTATTTTATATACTAATACAAATTAACTACAGGCTTAGTTTACACCGATTATTTAATACACGTATTAAACGCCGTAATGATGAATCATAGCCATTCTTCTAAAGAATACAATGACTATGATTGGTCGGTAGTACTTAATACGCGTATCAAAGTATATCAGTGTAAACTAGGCCATATTCTGACAAAAAAGAATGCTTAATAATTTTTTTTCTTTAAATTATTATAAACAGTTGGAGTTCGCAAATACTTTTTTTAACCACTACTTTTCATACATATATATTCTCTGCTTTTATATAAATAATGAGATAGTCAAAATAATTCTTCGAGATAAACAATGATCATTAACAATTCTGTATATATTGACTAGCTGCACAAAGAACGTGATGAAAGAGTTATATACAATTTTTTTATAGTTATACTGCTTTTTTAAAATGTTTACAAGATTATGAATTAATCAGTATCATATATAATGATATATTTGTTATATAAACTTTTATGTGCTACAGCAACAGACATTTATTAGTAGATATAGTCTCGAACTTATATATTATATGGTTCCGTCCACATATAAAATGAATTAGATTTATATTACATATATATATATTGTAGGTAATATATATATATTTCATGACATGTTTTAAATGTATTCCGTCCATTTACATTCTTATAATTAAGATTTTTATATTATCAAAGTGTTCATTATTAAAAAATTAATATTATATTTACATTTTAAGAATATATTATATTATATTATATATATATATAAGAATACAGTTATTCTAATGAATAATATCCAGGCAAACCAAAAAACGATAAGTAGGAGTAAGACTTTTATCGTTTAATAAATTTAATTAAACCTGAAATTCATAATTTTCTATTCTAAATTTAAGTTATATATATATAAATATTATATAAAAGGCAAATCAGCGAGCACAATGGCAAGTACGAAATTTGTCCTAAGATTAGTAGATATAGCTATGCAAATAAGACAAAGCTACCATGAACTAGACGAACATTATTATTCTTATTGGTTTGTATAAATTATCAACCAAGACAAGCGATATGTTATCGATAAATATAGCTGGAATATTAATATTAAATTTTTTATGTGCTCTATACATAGCTATATTTTCGCAATTTTATATTATTACATCAGAATTGTATATTTTTGCAGTTATTTATTTAGTATAACTTTTTCTGTGTTGACAGTTAAATTTTTGCACCCATATTTTGAAAAATATATCTCTTAGAGAGTATAATTTATATATTTTGTATTTGAAATAAGGATATATATTTTCGATCCATTTCTTGTGTAATATTTCACAATCAATATCTGTATGTAAAGGAGATATTCATGATATTAGTATTAGAAGATATTATTGTAATGAGATTATAAGTAAAACAATATGTCACGCGCACATAGACACATACTGGCATATAAATTCGAGTTAAATATAATATTAGATGAAGTAACACCGATCGACATGACACGCATTAAACGGAGATAGAAGTCTTTTGGTTCGAACGACTCGTCTTTACGGTAACAGATCTTGTTCAAGACGAATGCTTTGATTCCAAGGATGCTTCGCTCATAGTGACACGCTCCTCTGAATCAGTATACGATTCCCGTCCTTCACCAACAATTTGACGTCTTCTAGGTATATCTTCTGTTGCTGCGTGACCGACTAACAAAATTACTCTACCTAACAAAGTTAATAGGAACACGCTGATCATCGACAAGAATTGCTGGATTATACCGAGTGCCCCGGTGGCAACGTACATGACGATAGCCAAACACATGGCGAAAGCCATGTGGCGATAATTATCGCCATTTATTAACACCTGAATCATGAAGCATCATAAAAAAGTGATCTGCGATAATTTGCTAAATTCATTCGCAAGTTCTATTTTCGCAATAATTATTCTGAAAATTTTTTAAAAATATCATTTTGCACAGTATACTATTTCTTTTGTTGTAATATAGTATATCATTCATTATTCTAATGTTTAAATCATACATCTTGTTTATTTATGAATTATATATTTATACATACTCTGTGCTAGTATTGCCTGAGTTGTATATATATTAAATACAGAAATGTTTAAATTTTTTACTTTATTTACAACACAATAAAATTTGAAAAATGACTTTTATTTTCATATTTAAATTTGCTCTTTCAGAATGATCTTTGCATAGCAATAAAACCTATGAGATATCGTAAAGTCAAAGTACAAAAACCATCTTGTAATGCGTATTAATAGGTAATCTAACCAATTGAATTGGATAAGAAATTCTTAAATCAAAGTAATCGTATACTTTTATCGCTGTCATACATATATATATAAACATGTCTTTGAATATGATCTAATCAACATAATTGTATTTTATAATTATGAATTTGTATTTTGAGTAATCTAATAATTTTTAAGAAATATTTTTGTCTCAATATTAATAATAATAATAATATATGATATTTTAAATCAGCCAATTAATTTTTCGCGCTTGGGCTCTATTGGCCGATTTAAAATATCATATATTATTATTACTAATAATTTTTCTCTAAATATGTATTTTTTTACATCTTCGATAAAAGACAAAGCAAGTTTGTGTTTGTATAAGGAATAGAAGAGAAGAAAGTGGTAAAAAGATGCGAGCATGAAGCGAAATAATGAAGCGAATTTAATTGCAAATTTCTATATTATTCTCATCTATTGAAACTGACATAATGCTGTTAGATAAAAACTTGTTTAATTTAATACAATTAATACAATTAATATTAATAGATTATGTCACTGAAGCCTTCGAAATGTGCGCAAGTAGTTGCATGTTGCATAATGTCACGAAATGTCAATGACACTATATAAATTCAATTGGGAATGAATACATATAGGGATAAATGAGATACTTTATTAAGGTAATAAGGTTTTATAAAAAAATACAATATATATAAAAAATATATCTTTCTAATTTTTTGTGATCGCGATCTGATTCAAGGTTCAACTGCACGCAATCAAGCACTGCTCCGCAATGATGCAACACTCTCGACACTCGTAAAGGGATATATACAGATTCATTCTGCGAAAAGCGCATATTCACCCTGCACCCGTACTTCTAGAAATTATCGATTTTTCAAGCTTGGACTTCCTTGGTGGAGGATGACGCCACGGGCGATTACTCATTGGACGGTTTCGACATTGAATTTCCGCCATTGGTCGGCAAGCCGGTATAAACGGTGCTTTCTTGTAATTCCTTCCAGTTGTGTTGTTACTCGCCCACTGTACACTTGGTAAGTGACCTGTAGTTTTTTTCACCTTTATTTATTTATTAATTTATATTAAAATCGCACAATTTAAATCAATCTATATCATATATTTTTATATTTACCTATTTCTCTATTTGTTTTATTTTTCTCATCGAAATCAAAATTTTCCTCTCTCATTTCTTGTTTTTCTAAAAATATTACTGTTTATTAAATATATTAAATATGTTAATGACTGAGACTGTCCTCTCAATACTTTGAAATACCTATCTTAATTAGTTTATCAAACGGTCTCTAGATAGTGCTTTCAAGGCCGATTATGATAGGTCATATAGTGTAAAGGTAGAAATTATGATTATCAATGTCATATAACAATATATATATTGTAGGATATATATATTTTGTTTTATATTAACAATAAAATTTGATCACTCGGCAAAAAATAAATGTGACATTTGGATTGTAAATGGCATTTCGCGATATTTATCATGTGTCAAATTCATGAGACGCAACAGCTGATTATAAACTGATTTGCGATGTATACAGTTTTGTTGTATTATTTATTTTTTATGCGATTCAGTTTACGATTTTATAGCAAGTACGCGTTGAATTTCAGTTGTGTATAACGAAAAAAAATATTACGATGAATAGAAAAGGGACAATGATTAATGTTATATAAATGTAACGCATTATAGTTTCTGCATCATTTAGAAAAAAACTTAATTTGTGACTTTTTTTAGTATAAATATAGTATTGTTCCTTAATATTTGATGTTTTGCTCGTCATTAAAAAATCATATAAGAATTTAAGTTTTCGAGAAAATTGATTCTCGAAGACACCATCGATCAGTTTCAATCTCAATTTAACTTTCTCTTTTTAAGAATGCATGTCTTTCTAGAGTGTAATAACGGCTATGACAGATATAATGATAGATTATTTAACTAATTATAGTTAGCCATCATTATAAAAACGCGCGAAAATCAACTTGCATGCAAACTGTAGTGCAGTTGCAATAGAATTTTCCTACGCGAATCGGCATCGTTTACAATTCGCATACATACATACATATATATATATATATATATATATACACACATACATACATACACATTCGCAAATCGGCAATTTTGCAAGCAATTTAGCGAAATGCAAGTCGTGCTGCGGCGTCGATTCGTCGGCGAAGCAAAACACATTACACGGTGCACCATATATATATGTATGTATGCACATCATCCGGCACTGAAAGTTTGCCCCATCGATTCTTTAAACACCGAGAAATATATTCCCGACAAATACCGGGAAGAAATAACTTTTGCGTGCAGTCCGACTGCAATTTTTAGTTTTCATCGCATGACTCGTATGCCAATTTGCATGATTATTCATCATCGACTCTGCAATAGTTCGGTTTTCTGCGACAATTCTTGAGATTCTTCGAAAGATAATATGAAAACTTCAATTTGACCTGCTACGAACGAATCACCTGTGATAGATCGGTATCCATATTAATCTATATTGATAAATCCTATAATTTTATTATTACTAATTGGAGAAAATGTAAGAGAAGTAAAACTATACGATTAAAATTTTTTGCGATTAATGGAAAGATATTATATAATCGGTGATATTGCTACATGTTGGAAAATAGTTGAGTAATATTTTGATATCGTTTTCAGGCGCAAAAATTTAAAAATTTTAAAATTAAAATTTTGCGATTAATAGAAACATTATTTATCGGTAATTTTGCTATATTGAAGAAAAGTTTAATAATATTTTGATATTATTTTGAGCTGCGTATTAAAATTTTTTGCGATTAATGGAAAAATATTATTTATCGATGATTTTGTTATATTGGAGAATAGTTTAATAATATTTTGATTTCAGGCGCGTTTTCTGTGGTTTTTCTGTCACAATAACGGGAATAATCTATACATACCTTTCGTTTTATATCGATGTATTCTGACGCGCAAGGATACTACGAAAGTTCCGCGTTTCAAAGTCTATTTTAATTTCTTTAAAAGGAAAATAACAAGCGAACGATTTTTTATTTTATAATTATCTTATATTTTATAATTAGAGAAGAATAATTTTTATTTAATTTGTTTTTCTATCACATTTCAGGGAAATAAGAAAGGAAAGATATATTATAGATATATATATGATCTTGAAACGTAAAACAGATTTAATATAAATTTTATTATTTGTTTCAAAATATATTAAATTTAATAATAACTTAATAATAACTTAAGATATAAATATAATAATTTTTAAAAATTTTATTGTAATATAGAAGCGCGTAAAATTCACGCATTGCGTGACGTTGCGGAGGCGTGGCAGTGACACAAATTTCGTCACATGACGCGAAAATATTTCGAACGTGGACTTTGTACTTTGTACTTTGCTCTTGAACATGATGACATTAATTCCTCGTGTTTGGGTTAGTAAATTGCAGGATGGTTATTTTGGACCGTATACAAGAACTTTCACAGGTGATTCGAATTCGTAGATATGTAGTCTATATACTTTAGTCACATTGCAGTCAATTAGATAATTAGTTTATTCTTTACATCAAACTCGAACAAGGAAATAGGACACCAATGATATTGATCGGTTTCGAAATTTACCTTCTAAAACACACTGCGGAGATTCGTAATAAAGTCCGACGACAATTTCCTTAATTGATCAAATGCAGCAAACCGTATATATATATATATATACATGTATAAAACGATTCCGCAGCATAATTGGTTGTTTAAGTCCAATAACAGCTGCGCGGCTCGATAGATACAAAACAAAACGATTGAGCAAAGTCTATACGGATCGCGTTTCGAAACGTTCTTTGAACTCTGGACGCATCACCCTATTCCATTTATTCAGTCTCCTCATCTATATTTATTCGAATTTATCAATAATTTTCTCCGCGGCTCTCAACTATGAAATATGTAATTATTATCACACTACGACACTCTCTGCATAAACGATGATTCAAGTATATTGCGGCTTCTTACGTAATATACCTACTTATTATTCAAGCACACTTGGAAGTCGAGATGATATAAACAATATGTATACATTCGAGAAAAATATTACTAGATATTCGAACGGCGACTCGTTAGGATCATTACAAATCAAGCTCTCTCTCTCTCTCGTTGGCGGACGACCAAGTTGGTCTATACGTTCTCTGATCCTCGCTGTTCTATTTTGGTGTGCCGATGGTGTGCCGGAACTTTTTCGTGCACAGAAACAGAGATACCTCCGACGCGGCATCACATACGCTTCTATAATTCTGTGAGACATCATAGTATCATATAGTATCGAGCCGTAATCGTGAGTAACGTAACTGTGATAACAAATGGAACCGCATCAATCACTCGTGTTTACGTGCATTCCGATGCGCAATATTGGTTAAATAATTCTTATATTCAGGTAGATAATTGAAGATTATCACGTGTACTTCGCTCGCGATCGAAACCTACATCTGTAAGTGTAAATTTTGGATGCTAACTGTTGAATCGAGATCTTCGATAACGAGCAATCGAGTCTGCTATCTTCGACTGCGATATGTTTTTGCGCTTATCGATCATTTTATTTTCATGGTTCGTTCAAGATCCATTTGTATTAGGATAAAAATAGCGGCGACAGCATTCGATTGTATCGATCCAATTGACTTTTATATCGGAGCACTATACCGGCGTTCTCTCGCATCGTTTCTGTTCACAGGAGAATAGTATGTATAAAGAAGTTCACCATCAGGAAATCAAACACGAGTGCTCGCGATCGGGAGGACTCCACGCTTATCCCGATCACTTTAGGGAGCCGTATCTTTAAATCATAAAACCACCGTTCGATTTATGAACATCTGAAGGTTCCTGTCGTCCTCTGGTAGGACTTTGTATATAGTGTATATAGAATTGTTTACGACGAGAACGAAGGGAATCCCCTGCTGGAAGAAGACAAGAGCGATTTTGAGGGATCGTATACCTGTCACACGGGGAAAAGTCAGCTGTAAAGTTATCCTATAAAAATCTTGCACTGTCCTACACGCGCATCTTTAACTACACGCATCAGCGGTAATAAAAGAGAGAAGAAAATAATCGAACGCATCATGAAGCAAGGAACGTCGGAAGATTTTTCACTTGGCTGGAAGCTGCTTTCTGCCGGCACCGCAGCCTGCATCGCCGATTTAGCTACCTTTCCGCTGGACACCGCCAAAGTCAGAATGCAGGTAAACAGCAGAGTAATTCTCGCTAGTGTCATTTCTCGTCAAATTTTTCTCTCTCGCGGATTTCTACATAATCAACCCTGATTTTTCAAGATTGCAGGAGAAGGGCAAGCCATGTTGTTGTCGGCGGAAGGTTCGGTCCTTGCAGTAAGAGCGCAGCCGGGATTGATCCAGACCATCGCTAACATCGTCAGATTCGAAGGCGCAAGGTACGTTGTTCATTATCCTAATATTAGTTTAAGAGACACGAGTAAGTAAATCATCATTTGTTTAATCTATAAACGTTTGTATAAAATATCGCGATACACATGTGTGTATGGATTTATCTAAATGTAAGGTTTCTTGCCAGAGCGATTACTCTATTACTCCATTTAAATTGAAACTAAGAGCTCATTTTAGTAATTGCTTCATGTTCAAGTATCAATCTCTCTGAAATGATGATATATGTAGTACTTCATAACACATAAATTCTACTCTATTATTAACCACTCTCCTTGTCCGACGTGTGCCAGATCGAGCTGATCGATTCTTTCGCTATTTAACATGATTGAATTGCGCATAGATTATAAAAATATAAAAAAGTATGCATCAAAATTAATTAAAAAATGAATATTAAATGTGTCTATAATCAAATTTTAATATATAAATGTTACAAACTACGCACTCGAGATTAAAAAGCAATTTATTTCTGTCATTATTTTTCTTTTTTTTTTGTTTGTGATTTTACAACGATAACATTATATATTTACGACACAAGTTTGCCATGTCACGAATGCTTTTATTCAAGCCTTTCTGACGTAATCGTATTATTCAACAGTTCGTATTTCTTTTATATGCCAGTACCTATAAAAAGGATCGATGTAAAGTGATTGCGATAATCATGCTTCCATCAGTTAACAGAATTTCGCTCGATATCTGGCACGATCCTTTCCACTATTTCTGGGAAATTTATTATTAGAATTAATTTTTTTTAATGATTTTCAAGTTTTCTTTATAATATATTGGATGCCATAGACAAGTGCTTCCAATGATCATTTACATAAAGAAATTTACGTGAGTTAATTGGAAGAATGTAATCAGTTTCTAAAGATTTGTCACTTATTCGAAGAAAGTTAAAAAATATAAAGCGACATAACGTAATAAGCCTTGTCGATGACTTCTATTAAGATTTTCTATTTTTTTCATTATTTTTATTACTTTTGTTTCTCTTTTACACGCAGGTTGTCTCTTTTTTGTATTTCATGATTATATAATTACGAAAATTGACGAATCTTTTTTTACACTGTCTTTCTTTTATCTTTAATTTTGGGAAAATAATTCGAATTGTGATATACTGGATGCAATATATTGACGTATACGTGATACTTCATATAAACTGTTTTATATGCCACATGAAATATTGCGAAATTTTCCTGTTTTCTCTGTTTCAATAACTGACGAGATATAGCCAAGAGAGTCAACTTGCTTATTTCTTTCACTTCATATCTCTCTTAAGTTCTTACGCAGCTTCTCTCCTTTTTGTCTTAATTTCTCTTTTTGATTTTGTGCCATCTACTTTATTTAGCAGTGATTTACTTTCCTGATCAACGGTACCTTCCGATTGAATCTTGAATTTCGCGATACAACAATTCGTGACCAACTGACACAATAATGCTCGCTCTCTCCCATTTATTTCTCGGCTCTTGAGCCGCTTCTCTTTTCTCTCGCGCGTCTTCGATCTATAACTTTGCCAACGAATAAAATTCACTTTCTATAAAGCATTTAATATTTTTAAAAAATTAAAAAATTATAATTTTTATAAAAAAAAGAAAGAACGGAGCAAAATCACGCGAATGATAAAAAAGAGGGAAAAAAGGGAAAGAAAAATAGAAAAATACGCGATATTTGTATATAAAAGAAACAATGTAAAAAAGGACATAATGAAACAGAGAGCAAGTGAGAGAGAGAAAGAAATGTATAAAAAAAAGATGCCCTGAGGATGTGCGCATTTGAGGGTGAATTGTGAGGGCGGTGAGCTTGAGCGAGGGTGGTTACAGGAGGCTGTACGGAGGTCTGTCCGCGGGACTCCAGAGACAGATGTGTTTCGCCAGCATACGGTTGGGCCTCTACGACAGCGTGAAGGCACTCTACGCTGGATTTTTCGACGGTACATCCAGTAAACTCCTAACTTTTTCATAATATACCATCTGCGATATACGCGAAAGTAGCCGCGCGTAGAATTTCACCTGCGTAATTACACACGTGTATTGTATGTACAGGCACACATTAGAGCACACGTTTTGTCATATTATATAGTAATATGATATACTCGTACATATACACGTATAATGCATACATCTCTAACAGTTTTGTTGGACATTTATTACAAAAAAAATACAATTATAATATATTTTTTATTAATTGTAATTATATTTGCTTAAATAATTTGTTTGTATCTTCGAAGACGAAAAATAATATAGAATACGAACATAATTTTTGTTTAATTTGCAGATATATATAACTGCAGATTTTCATACACATTTGTGAGAAAATCTTTAAATTTTTAATCTTTTAATTGATAAAAAAGCAATGAATTTTATACATATATTTACTTTATATTAAATGTTATTAATGAGCAGAATGTTAAGAATGAAGTATTAGCAATTCCGAATAGACTATTAAATTATAAATAGATTTATTTATTCAAGTATCGTCCAATACTGACATATAAACAAACACACATGTTTACTAACGACGGATTATCATATCAGTCGCTTACTTTATCACGGTGAAAGTTTTCGCAACTTCCATGCACGGATTGGATCGCCTCGGATGGGATGTTCGAAACGTGTGTTGTTCTTCATTTTTATCATTTTCAAGGTTAAGAAAGAAAACAAGGGAGACAGAATGAAAGATAAGTTAGCAGTAAGAACGAACTGAAGGAGATTATAAATGAGAGCACAACGAGAAGGAAATATTTTATCTTTTAAGTTTAAACGATCCGAATGTTTTTGCAGCTCGCTGCATTGGATAGTCGTGTGGAGACTTTTACATATTTATATTTATTTTATTCCACTTCGGAAACAAATTCCAATTCGTCAAAAACGACATACGAACGAAATGCTATTCCATCGTGTCTTTGCATAAACTTGTATATTTATTTAGATCTAATGTTTTAAAAAATAATCTCTCCATCTTTTTGACAGAATCGTTGAAACTTCCCAATTTTTATTCAATTTAATATTTTTAGCGACTCCCTTAATTATTTCTTCGCTTTTTGGTACTTTTGAATATTCGTGCATTTTGCAGTTAAAGATGTGTGTTAAAATAAACTTTATATGCTCTATGTTTAGAGTTTGTGTGCTTACATATCGTACATATTTGTACATATTTTTTTCTATTTCGAGTGACATAATCGATTTGAATTCCGTGTAATTGTCGATGATTCATCTTGAATGTCAATTATTTTATATATATATATTGATAATAATCTCATTATAATTTATCTACATTTTGTATATAAATTGAGTATGCGTAAACGAAACAATACTTCCAACAAGTGAAAGAAAATGGATTTGTAATATCAAGCTTAAAATTAAATCTTGGTATTGCAATTTTTCGTATATTACGAAATTTATTTAGCATGGTTAGTGTCTCAGTTTTATCAACGAATATTTTATTTTGCTCACAATGCAACAGCTTGTATTTTTAACGATCGAGTATATTTTATTTTTTTAATCAACAGCACTGACTTTGAGAAACTTATTAATCTTTACTTGAGAAGAGTATTAACATTTCGTTAAAAAAAAAAATAAAGACATTGATTATAATTGGATATTGGAGAACATTTAATGAATCAATATGAATCGACCGACGCGCAACCCGCGTCCGTTCTATCCTCTGCATCGTTATTAATTTTTAATTCACCCATCGAATCCTGACAGTTCCATAGCTCTTCATCATTCATTTTTGTATTCCAGTGGATAATAACAGCACATCGTTGAATATTGGCGTACGGATCGCCGCAGGACTCACAACGGGTGCTTTGGCGGTGTTTATTGCTCAGCCGACTGATGTCGTCAAGATCCGTTTGCAAGCTGGAAATAATGGGCGAACGACGGTGAGGTATAGCTCCACAATGCAAGCTTACAAGAATATCGCTTGCCAGGAAGGCGCGAAAGGTCTTTGGAAAGGTAAGAAAAAATCCTCGCAAGTCTCTGTCTCAATTGTAGATTTTTATATATATTTTTTATCTCTGTAGAATTCCTTTGAAGTAATTTCTAAGAATATTTTTTTTATATCGCTAAAATAATTCGAACGCGGCAGGAACTATGCCGAACGTCTCGCGGAACGCTATCGTGAACGTGGCGGAGATAGTCTGTTACGATGTCATCAAGGATCTCATCCTGGCCAGCGGCTATCTCCGCGATGGGGTACCCTGTCACCTGACGGCGGCGACGGCCGCAGGACTCTGCACCACCCTGGCCGCGAGTCCTGTGGACGTGGTGAAGACGCGTTACATGAACAGCGCCGCCGGCGAGTACAAGGGCGCGATAGACTGCGCTATCAGGACCTTCGTCCAGGAGGGTCCGTTAGCATTTTACAAGGGTTTCATACCGAGTTTCGCGCGTCTAGTATCCTGGAATATCGTGCTCTGGGTGACGTACGAGCAGATCAAATTGCAGATGAAGCAGTACCACGTATCGAATAAATAAGATCCTTTTGTTCGCCGATTATTATTTCTTGTGAGCTGGGATAAGATCATAGCATAAAGATCCCATTGTAATACTTGCGCTGTTTTTATCGAAATTAATATTTTCTGTAGAGAATTAGCATTTGCTTACGTGCAGATCAACTTATTGTTAGATGAATCGGAAATTCTTATTCCGCCAGCACGTGTTAATCATAAGATACGATACCAGCTGATGATGACGAAAAATATCTTCGTATTATTACTTCTTTTTTCTTTTGTTTTACATGTAAGTATTTGCGTATTTTTATTGAATTATTCAACTTTGAATTAGGCGACCAAATTGAATTTTAAGACGAAATTGTAGTATGACAGCAATAAGGCTATAATTTTATATTCAGTTTATTGATGTGCCTTTGATTTAAATGCGCACAGGTGTATATATTATTTAGTAGAGAACAGTGAAGATTTGTTAGTAATTTGTATTTAGCAAAGTTCGACTGTGCGTCAATTTAGTACACTTATAATAAGACAATTAGGTCATTTCGGTGAGGTAGATAGACGATAATTAATGAAATAGACAATAATGTTATCGACGTTCATTCCGATATGTCTTTGCTTAAATATAGTTAGAATCTCACAGAAAATTTGCAATTACAACGAATTATAACGATTTTTTTCAATATTGTTTTAATTAATTGATTCGCAGACGTAACGCACAATTTTTCATATACAACAATCTGAATTCAGTCAATTAATATTGTACAGGGCACAATTTTTATTGTAATTTAATTGACGAAACTTTGCTATTAAAACAATAATTTAATCTCCGCGAACAGCGGAGCGTTAAAATTCCTCTAGTATCAAATTTTACGTACAGATATACTCATTTTTATAATAAAATACATCCATATTACTAATTTTTATAAGCAATACCAAAGTGTCATTTTAATATACTCGCGCAACATATACAATTGTATATTGTATCGCCGACTTCTGCTAATGATAATGATCCTGCTCGATCTTAAAATGACGTATACAAATATACAAATATTATATGACTGATTATACTTAATTGACAAAGTGTATTGTTATACCATAAATTAGATTTTTTAATTTGCTTGAAAAATAATTTTAAAAAAATGCCTTAAATAAATAAGAAAGCGATCCTGATCATGAATTTTGCAATATACAGATATAAAATCAAATTATAATATATATTTTTCTTATCATCGAAATTTAAATTTTGGCGAAAATTAGTCTCTTGATAATAATATGTCGTAATATATTTTGTATTATTTCAAAATTGCTTAATGTATTTAAGCGAAATGAATTAAATTTTGACTATTAATATATAAATTAGCTTATCAATTTAAATTCTTAAAAACCAATTTATTGATTTTTTTAATTCTTTTACTGTGTGATTTTATTATTCAGATTATTCTCCTATTATTATAAAATTTTCAATTAATACTACAAACATTGATAAGGCCTTATCAAGAACTTAAGATAATCCATGTTTGACTACGAATAATCAGTTCAGGTGCGAAGTAAATCTACAGATAATCACAGTTCAGTAACATTTATATTTCCTATTTTTATATAATATGTTAAATATACAAAGTAAAGAGCGAGGTACAATATGAGAGGGCCATCAGGGAATGTGTGATACAACTCCCTTATCTTATCTTTAATATCGTTTGGTATTTGTTTTTTTTTTTTTTTTTTTTTTATAAAGATATAATCCAAATTTCCTAAATATATAAAACTTTCTTTATATATGTTGTTGTTTATTTAAATGATGATTTTTTAATGGTAGCTTTTTTTAGTTGAATTGCGTGGCCATATATAACTGACTTAAGTAGCGCGCTTTCAAGTATTAAATCTATGGCGAATAATTTTATTTATACGGTAAAATTTAATTTGCAAAGTATATTCAATTTTCGAAATACGTACAAATATATTTTACGACGTAGATAGTATTTTTATAAGAGATAGCGATTAAAAACTTTGTTATCAGTTTGAAATAAATGTTTGAAATAAATATAAAAATATTTTTCTCCTTGTAAAGTATGATGCACTTTACGCTATACTATCAAAACGAAAATTTATATAATCTTTATATCAATTTTTAAATTGTATAATGCGAACAATTGAATAATCAATCTCATATAATTATTTTAATAGAATTGGCTAAAGTGCGGAATCTCCTAAGTCTCAAAATCGGACTCATTGGATTCGCTGTCGGAACATACCTCATCCTGTCCTATACATCCTGTCTTCTCGAGATGTCCTTCCGTGGAAATTCTAAAAGGAGACACATAATTAATTATATACCGAATAAAACGGTAATTAACAAGAGATAGACTGAACGGGCAAATTGCTGATTTAAAAACCAGTAAGTAAATACATATGTTTAATGATTATTTAATCATATGTCAAAAATGACAGTTTTTGTGGTTTAAGTTGTTATTGTCAATATAGTTAGTTCCACATTGATAGTAACGCAAACACGTATTGATAACATATGGAACAATTTAGCAAAAGCGTTAAGTTGGCACGGGATGATTATTCATACATAAATCTTGCCTTAGAATCGCAATTGTTTAATTATCTCATTTGCTAAGAGAGTGCCGTAGTATGATGTATAGCGTGTTTATCCTGAATACATTTTGGAATCTTCCGCGATTTTCGTAAGACGCATTTTCTCGGGCAACAGGCCTGCTCCGTCGAACTATGTCGAATAACACAATAAAATAACAATACACAAAACAACAATAATAAAGTAATTTAAAGAAATAGCTCGCAAATGAAATATGGCTCTTGGAGACGCTTTTTCTTTTTTAAACGTAAGACCCTCGAATCTATTATATATATACATATACACATATATATTGTATGTTTTTTAACAGATACTTTAATCGTGAACCACGAATTTATTTTATAATTACATTTTTTTTGCAAAAATAAATGAAAGCCGGGATATTTTCACATACTTTTCGATGGCCCATTCCTCATCAGTGTTTTTCATCATGGATAGAGCTTGACAGAAATCTCTTCCAATGGCTTTAAGATGCCCAGTATCGAGATGCAATCCGGCCAATGTGCCTTGATCGCATCCACAAAAGCTGCTCTCCATCGTATAACTTCTGTTCAAATGAAACATTCATTATTAAAGCTGACAGTTTTTTTTTATAATATAGAATATTCGTATTTTTTTGTTATATTTATAGAATTGCATTTAATTAAAAATGCATGAATATAAAATACTGCAAATGCAAACTAACAAAATGTTTCATCGAGCCACTAATTTGATCGTAAACTAGTGGGCACGATTTAAATTCCGAGAAAGAATTTTTTTTTATAATTAGAACCGTTTTTTAATTACTGTATCAATAAGCTCGATCTTGCTACGGATTTACATTGTGAATCAGATCGCTGCTCAGAATATAGTCGTTTTACCTCGAGACACCCAACTGCCGCCATACGGCGACCCTGGCGGTGGATTCCTTATTCCTCTCGACCTTGAAGGAGCAGAGCGGCAAAGCGAAAGCTGGCGAAGTCCTCTGCATGAGATGCGGTAACATCTGATACAGAACGAATGCGCGAAAAAGATGATTACAAGGTCGCCTTTGACAGCTCTGAGAAGAACCCTGAGAGAATTCTTGAGAGAACGAAAACGTCTCTTTCGCGGTATCGCTAATTAATTAATGATGTTATCAGGACTGTCGGCGCGCAATTGCTCGCCGTATATAAATCGAGAGGACAGTCGTTGAAAGTGAATAAACGTTTGCCGGATCGGTGATAGATAAATGTAAGATAAATGATCCGCGCGCGCGAACGGAGAATCTAAAAATATCGCCTGATTCTCTCTTCCGTTGATTCCCTTACCAAATACTGCACCGGCTGGTCCGGTTTCGCCCTGTCAGCGGCGCTCCAGGAACCCGACCTTGAACAACCGAACAGAAACACGTTCTTCCTTCGCGAGTGGCCGTGGTAATCGACGAAAACGTGGGGCGGCCTTTGAAGCACCCTGGCGCAGTACTCCATCAGGCCCTTGGTGTGATAGATCACCGGGTGGTACAGCTGATTGGGATTGCTCCAGCGTCGATTCAAGTCCTCGTTCGTCAGACCGTAACGATTGCTGTCGATAAGGAGAGTCGTACGTTTTGCAAGAAACATATAGAATCGAAGAATCTTATACATAAAGAGACGAAATGTCGTACATAAAGCGCCGGTTCTAGCCGGATACCTCGCAAATGGTGCGACCACGGATGTTTAAAATGTTGAAATTATCGGAAATGTGATCCTCGCTCTGTATTACACGCAGTACGCGACCGTAAACGTATCACGTTGTTAACTATCTCACGCGAGACCGGAAATTCCAAACTAGCTTTTTTTCTGATGTAATATATCTGATCATATAACGAGCTCCTTCCAGCTCGTTTCTGCGGTTTCATCCCATTCCAATGTTCCCCATCAATATTCCTCGTAGAAGAATGCACGTGTTTCGAACGTGATGAAATAATTTTATCTTCGCGAGAGCGTTTGCGAAGCGAATAAGGGATATTTCGAAATGTTTATATGCGTCTCTTCGAAAGAAGCCATTTGCAAGCATTATATTTATTAACCAATTACCTAAGATATTTTCTCAAGTTTACGATATTCGGTCATTTTTTTGTAGAAATATACATATCAAACTTGTTCATCTATGCACATGTATGCAATAGGCAAATTATGCAATAATGCACTTAACGATTCGTCTTAATATATCGTTTGCGTGCCCAGAAGGAAGAAACCCGCGAGAGATCATTTTCATTTAAGGATTCAACCGCGGTTAGAAGGACGTTTCCGGCGACCGGAAGCCGGAGTCGGAGGAAGTGACGCCTTCGCGTCGCGCATAGCTAATAGTGGGGCATGGCAGGTGACAACCGATGAAGACGGTCGCTTGAATTATAGCTATTGTCTTGACATCGCACATATCGTGCCGCACTAATATCTCGAGCCACACGGAATATTAAGCAAATTCTTTTTTCTCCCGACATAAAGGTGATCAAAGAAAAATCCAAGGTTTGAAATCAATAATAATCGAATATCGAATACTTGAAAAATTCCTCGGACGACAAAAGAATTCCGAGAAATGATTCAAAAGTTTTTCGAACATGTATCGATCTGTCATTTAATAGAACAATTATATATATAATTAGCAATATAATAATTAATATAATATATATGTAATATTTATATATAGCGCGTTTATTTATATGTAACGCGATTTAAATGAGCACGCATGGCGAGAGTGACAGCTAACGCTGACTTTGTACGTACACCTGATGACAGTCGAGAGAGAAAGAGAGGACGTTCACCAGCGCACAGTGTTCGCAGAAGCCGGCGAAAGGGGACAGTCATTCGAGATAATACATCTCATCACGCGCATGCAACGCCAAAAAAACGATCGGTTGTCTCAGAACCCGCAGCGAAACGAAATCGCGAGGGAACGTGCAACAACGCGCTTCGTCAGGTAACGCTATTAAGAACATTCAACATCTGACGGCGAACATTACATCCGCGAAACAAGTCTCTGTCTGCTTTTTTTCCCGAGGGTCTGGAGCAAGGTTTACACGCGGAACTCTCTCCCAAAATTTAATTTCAATAGAAGATAAAATCGGAATTATGAGCTATTATTTAAACATTTTTGTTATGTAGGATAGTGAAAAAAAAAGATATATATATACATTTAAATTTTTATGTAATTGATTATATAAGATAAGAATATGCGATAGCTTTGCAGAGAGAGAGAGAGAGAGAGAAAGCTCGTTTTAATTCCAAAGTATTTCCGAATAATAGGTGTTCCCTTCCATTGTTATTCATGATATGCCCCGCAATGAGGGTCCAATGTAGAAAGAACTCACGACGGTGAGTCATATGTTTGGAAACGATAATTGAATGTCTCTACAATGAGAGTGTCGCTGTTTTATTAACCATTCGATGTAATGGGCAGCATCAGTCTCTTCTCGTGCTGTTCACCAATGTCAATGACTTCCCGAGAAGGAAGCCTTGACTGCAAACTTCTCTCTCACCTCTAGCGAGATCCTGTACAAATTGCATACAAGACTCGCCTCGGATTTGCGCTTTGTGTCATAGGTTCAAGGGATACCATTCATATATCCACATGGTATCGCAAAACAAATAAGTAGTCACACGCGTCAAATCTTCTCATACGTGATATAATTGAGATTGTCGCGTTTATCTAATTTGAAATCGATCGAATCTTCGATCGATCGCTTTACAAGCTTTTTAATCGATCACAAGCGCACGCTTTCGTATTCGTATCAATGTTGAGAGTTTTATCACTGAGACATGCGATAATCGTGGACAAATCTTGATTAATCTATCCTCTTTGTCGAACTCAAGTCCCCTCGTTATTTCCACAAAACGCGGCATAAATCTCTAGTCGTAGAAAAACAGCGATAGAACGGCTCCTCGAAAAAGTGGCCGTAAAATATCGGCTCTTAGCGAGAATTCTCGGAATAACCGACAAAGAAATCGAGGAAGAGACGAGTGAGCGGGAATGCTCGAACAAGTCCGTCCTTACGATCGTAAAGCGAAATTCTCCGGGCGTCATGGGAACTCCTGCTTTCCTCCGGAGCCCTTCCTCCAACATTCAACGTGTGTATCGCGTATTTCTTCCGTGAATTTTACTACCGTCCGCATCTATCTCCGTCCTCTCCTCGGATGCATTTTCTCCCCGGGGTTATCCCGAGGTTTCGATCGTGCAACCATCCCGGCTCGGTTTCCTTTTTCACCTCCCGGCTCCGTCTCTGAATCCTCACATAAACGCGCGGTAGCGTCTGTAATAAACTATAATTATTATTTGATACGCAGCAGATACGCGACAAAGATAACGTTTTCAATTTAACGAAGAAGTTGAACTAGCGTAATCAACGCAACCTCGGAAATGGCAACCTGTTTTGCCCGGCAGGATACTAAAAATATCGCGGATACCGTCGCCATTGCGAGATTCGACGCCGTCATTTGCGTTTCGAATGAGCCGTTCCGGCTCATTCGGAGGCACGCAAAGCATCTAGTCGCGAGTCGGATTGCGCGAGCTTCGGGGGTGTGCAATCGCGGCCGATGCGATGGGAGGAAACGAATGACGTTCCACGGTCGTTGTAGCGACTAACAGCACATTAGAATATTCGTGACCGGTCTCGATTTGCATTCCTCCTCCGACCCAAGATCTCCGAGCCGACCCTTTTTCCACGGACGGCAAAAGGGCGAGCAAACCCATTCGCTTCTTCCCTGCTCTTCTCTTTCTCTCTCGTGAGATCGTTTCTTCGAAGACGCTCGTCTCAGGTTGAGACGCGGTTTCCTCTCGCGGGAACAAAACGCGGCTTTCTTGCGACTTCTTGCTCGCAAGCGCGATTCATATAGGATGTCCCTCGAGGTTTAACGCGCCGATAAGAAAAGGCCTACTGTAGGAATATACGAAGTGTGTATACCCGACGCGAATGGGGCTGAGATACTTTTTTTACGGCTGAGAGATCAATTATTCCAGAAGCGGATCGACGCGATAGCACGGTCGTATTAATGAAGATTTATGGATCAAATGATTCGACGATATCCGACCAGCGATTTTTACTCTCTCCTTCATCCGCTGGTCTTTTTACTACTTATCGCAAAATGTCTTCTACACGAGCCTCTTCGCCTCTATTAATTCATTTTCTTAGAGCGATCGAGTATTATGACAGTGCACTTTTCGCTCGCACTGTTATGAAAAAGATTGTCGAGCAAAATAGCTATTAGTTAAGTGTTTATTAGAATAGAACTGTCCTTGGTGTAATTACATCAATCCTAATTAGATCATTCTAATCAAACGATATACAATTTTTCTATTTCTCACACTATGACGTATTAAAAATAAGATGAAAGATTCTCTATGATACACTTTATCTTGAAGTATATAGGAATAAATCTAATACCAAGCTAATTATAGATTAAAAATCAATTGATACAAAGTTTCGGTCGTATATTGTAAATACAACTAGTGATAGATAAAAAGGCCAACTTATCGAGCAATTATTAGAGTTGTTGTGTCAAATAAAATTTATTCCATGTATAGAAAGTTTGAAATGAGGTGTCTTTTTATATTGTTGGTCTTGTCTTGTCATCTCCAATAACTTTTTCAAAAAACGTGCCATAAACAAAGTCATTGAAGATGACACAAGACAAGACCAACAATATAAAAAGACACCTCATTTCAAACTCTCTATACATGGAATACATTTTAATTGACAGAACAACTCTAATAATTGCTCCATAAGTTGGCCTTTTTATCTATCACTAGTTGTAATTATATATTACTAGTTTGTAGCTGAAATTATACGTTACACCTTGTCGCACCTTGACGTGACGCGTCCGATCTGGATACGTAGAGATAATGACGCGTGTAAATTGTTTTTACATTCGTATGAGCATTGGAAAGGGCCTGAATACCTACGCGTACGAAGAAGTGTTTTTCTTGAAAACACTCCGACGTAACGAGCCGCGTCCGATCCGTGCTAAGACCTCTTCACCTCGACCTCGTAATCGGGCGGACGAGAGAGTTCACGGTTTCAGGTTCTAGGTCGTCCTCTTAGACCCTTTCCCGAGGCACGTAACAAGGGCGTGAGTAAAACCGGCCGATGCCTAAGATATGACGTGCCTAACGATCCGCAATCATTCGGGTCATTTCGTCATTAATTGCGCGTGAGAAAGTAAAAAAAAAAAAGACCGGACAGAAACACGTACACACAGTTTGATATAACGCCTTCGAGGATATCGCGTCTGGGATATTACGTATTCCGCGCGTTTCACCGCGCCACATTCCGCGGGCGGCCGCTATAATTTCATTATATCCCCTTTCCAGCCTCCTTCCCGCGGGAAACAAACTGTCTAAATATATATTCGCAGGACCACAGCGACTACATAATAAGCCGCGTACGTAATCGATGAGCCGTGCTCCGAAGAAACGATCGGTAGTCGGTGATGTGTTCTCAACTTCGGGTCTTAATAATTAATTATACAAAGGACGTATTTATAATTAATATGCGAGGAAAAAAAGGACTAGAAGTGTCTCGTGGTTTGACGAATATTTTTGAGAGCTCTGGTTAGGAAGAGAAATAAAAAATTGTTTAACTATGTTTTGCCCGAAACTCTGCCTGGTAAAAAATTCCAAGCTGTCAATTATATTATTGCTAATATATTTGACAAATTGATGACGATCCAGGTTGACTTTCCCGAATAGTTTCACTACTCGCTGGAGAGATTATATCACATCGTAAAGTTTTATACTGGTCGGGTGAGAAACACTGTTTGAAGACTTTCCAAAGAAAGGAGCAAGTCCACAGACTGCTCTGGTACTAACTGAATTATGGCACCATAAGAGTGAACCATAAAAAAGTGTGCAAGGTCGCGCGGCCCTTTGGTACTACGAAGTCGCTCGACCACTCCTGCGCACTTATAATTGGATTCTTTCGGGATAGAACCGAATTCTAAAAATAGTTACGCGTTAATATCCTATTTCGTTGTGCTGGGAGCGACCCTCTCTTTTCTCGTCTTTCACCTCTCACGATTCTCAAGAATCGAAATTAAAACATATATTTATATAAATTGTGTACAAAATTTGTGAGTTCAATGATTTTGCAAATTAATATAAATAATGTGAAATGATAGAACGTAAAATAAAATGAAATCTATGAAATATGCTTCGGAGACTCGCGCTAGTTTATCGTTACATATTCGAACTCTAGATTAATTTTTGCTGCGTGGATAAGAATCGAAATTTAGAAACGTTCGATCATATATTGCGAATCGAAGCGATCATGAGGATCACTGATCCTAGAGGTATCAAAATGGAGGAATGGACGCCGTCGAAGCCTTCGGGGCAGTACGGATCGTCTCGGTCCGAGACGTTGTTCGCGAGCTAAAACCGAGAGTTCCGTACACACAGAAAAAGGAGAAGAAGAGAGCCGGACACTGGAGACGAAGGGGCACCGGCAAGAGTGAGGAAGGGAAGAGGCGAGATGGAAAAAAAAAAGGAACAAGAGGAGAAGCGAGCGAGGGAAGGAAAGAAGAGGGCCTTACATAGCGCGATTGCTGGCAGAGCCTGAAATAGACCTCGGCAAGAATCCCCCTGTGGCATCCTCCCTCTCGCATCTCCTGCTCCATCACTTTCCACGCTTCCTTCGACGATGGTCGCTGCTGGCGAACCCCCGTCTTTGCTTTTGTTTTAGGAAAAAAGGACCAAGTCCCTCGGCGTGGCTGTGAGAAGTTGTTCCTAGCGTCTCCCTCGCATGGAAGGGATCAAGCAAAAGAAGGGAGGAAGAAGAAGAAGAAGAAGAAGAAGAAGAAGAAGATGATGAAAAGAAGAAGAAAACAAGACAAGAGAGAGAGAGAACGATAGGACGCGAAGGGACAACGACGGCTATGGTGATGATGCTCTGCTGGAAGACTGCTTGTTTATCCAGCGCACCGAAGCTTCTGCTTTCGTCTCTTATCCACCATTACATAGAGATTCGCGAGGAGAACTTTGTAAGCGTCGCCGGAGAGTACTCGAGCGGACGCGTTGCATTCCCACGGGAGTACCATGATGGGAACCCAACCTGTTAAACTGACCTATACCAAGGCGAAACGTGACTTACGCCGCGAGGTACAAGTCCGGGTATTCAAAGCGCATTCTCAATATGTACAGAAATTTAAATATGTTCCCCTCAATTCGAATGCCATCTAAACCGAATTCTATTTTAAGAGAATCTATGCAACCATTGAATCAATTATATTCAAAAAATATAAAAATAGAATTTATTATAAAAAATATAGGAAAAAAAATAGGATAAGAGGAATCTTAGTGCGAGCGAATAATCAGCCGATTATTTGTTCGGGAACATTAAAATAAATAAATAGAGTATTTATATACAAATAGAAAAACACCAAATCCTTGATGCAGAGATTAATGGAATCACGTCTTACATTGCATCTTAATTGCAATTGCATTTAATTTAAAAGAAGCCGCAAAGATGCACCGTAAAACGCCTCTCCGGCTGATTCATCTGCATTCTCGAATCGTGTCCGCGAAGGGAACCGGCACGGTTTACGCTACCCTGTCATTAAGCTCTCGCGGTGCGGCAGAGGATGCAACAGGCGGATGCTGTGAGACCGGAGTGGAGAGGATGGTTTCCGTAGTGCGGTAGGTCTTGGATGTCACGCGAGGCACTTTTTGCTCACGACGCCTCGTGTACGCCAGAAATACCACATCACGTATTCGATCATTGATCCGGGCGCATCTCGCGAGGAAGGGAGCGAATGACAAAGATAATACGAATGGTAAAAAAAAAAAAAAAAAAAAAAATACGCGCCGTATTTTCTGGGACACGTATGTAACCTCTTGTACTGATCTCCGATCTCGTAATCAAAATGGTCGAGGATGAGAGGAGAATCGATTGCTCGGACGAGGATCGAAAATGAAGTCTACCTTGAGTAGACGCGAGTTCTTCTCCATCAACCAAGCGAGTCAATACGGCATCATTGGTTCGAAAAAATATTTCTAACGGGACATGAGTGAATTATTTGAATGATTCAATATTCAAAAATAAATTAAATTGCCAAAGAAATATCTTACGCGTGAGTAAGAAGAGACTTAAGACGTTGTGCTCAAACGATGAAATATCGCTATTTTCATTCAAGATTACGGAATACCACGCAGATAATCCGGGATAATGACGAGATGTACGCGACGTTCCTCGCAAAATGTCCCTCAAGAGACGTCGTATAGATGCTGATGGAAATACCCGATAACTCGTTAATACACCCCGTTTGCGAAGAACGACGATACGATCTCGCGTCATTAATCACGAGCTTAAGCTTAAATGCCCCGGTAGTCTTCGCACGCGCCGCACGGTTGATATCTCGCATTCGATACAGAATTCCATCGAATCTCGCGGGGATGAGATGCGCTTGAGAGATGACGATGCGCGAGAGAAGTCGAGCGCGAAAAGAATAGACGGCGCCAGAGGCCTCGAAGAAGCGAACCGGTTGAAGTCTCGAAGCTCGCAGAAAATTCATAGTCGCCTCTTCTACGACAATAAAGCATGTCGAAGGCATATCTCTCCGAGGTGCTTCACTCTCCCGCGATTCTATAGCAAAATCTATAAATCGATGGAGCGAATAGTTTGATCTGGATAATCGACATCTCAGCCTTCATCAGCTGATTCGTTTAAAAAACTAGATTTTATCACGAGCATCCTTAGATGTGTTTTTTTTTAAAATTATATATGTATTTCGATTGCTCATCATTTGGCTACATTTGACTATAAATAATCGTCTTTTGTTCGCCTTGAAAATAAAAATTAAAAATCGACAAAAAGTCAACGATCAATTTTATCATAAGCATCCCTAAGTGCGATTATTTGAAAAATATAAATGGGGGTGCATTTAGGGATGTTTATGATAAAATGTATTCAATTTTTTTATTTCTAATTTTTTTGCACGATGGACAAAACTAATTATCTATGGACAATCGATGAATGCCATATCAATTTGGTAAAAATTCGCATTTTGGGGTGTCAACTTCACATGTCTAAAAACTCGAGGTACAAATACATATAACGTAGATCAAGCAACTCGCATTGTATGATCGAAAGGGTATAATTTGCAGAGCTTTGAAAAAGATACGCGATTTGTCGCAATTAGCGTTGAATTTGAACGTGCGTGTCGTTTCGCTGACGAATGATGCGAGATGATTCTTAGGGGTGGATGATATCGGGTCGTTCGCGAAGATGCCTCCGTGAGAGGAGGCGCTCAGAAATGAAGTCTGCCTTGAAACCGGCGTCTTTTTGCTGTTCATCGTCGATACAAATCCACGGAGAACCATGAAGACGGCGGCAACGTAAAACTCCATACCGCGTGTGAGCGAAAGAACCCGATGAGAGAAAGAAAGACAAAAAATTCACGGTGTCGGCAACAAAGTTAAGAACCGGGTTCCTGAGCGCAGATATTATTAATGGAATCGACATAAATGCTACATTGATCAATACGCGGATAACGTTTTTGCTATTACTCGTTCTTTCACATCCACGCGATTACAAATGGATTGTAACGAGGCAAACATTATTTATTTTGGTGCTAGTTTAATGTAATTAATCCGATATAATCATATGTTGTCCGATTAATTTATAATCGCGTCAACGGGAGATATATGTACGTATACATGTAACAACGCTAACAGGTTTCCAAGACAAGTGGAGCAAACAACCGTGATTCTTCTTACAAAAATAATTATTTAATGATAGATGATCGATGGCGCGGTTGATTAACTTATACCAGAATGAAAATGTATAATATACAATATATATTATTCGCGCGATACATTAATTCACAGTGAAGATAAAATTATATTGACGTATCTTACTGCGAAAATATCTAAATATTTAATCACTAAAAACGTCCCGTCTCTCGAGTGTCTAAAAATACTTCTTTTCATCTGTCGACAAAGGCCGTTAAACACACGATTATCTCTTCAAACACTTCTGCGGCCACGAGAAGAGGTATCCCTCTTCGGGGCTCTAATATATATCCTTGATTTTGCACATCATCTTCGCCATCGAGAGGAAAGGGGGGAGGAAGGAGGAGGACAACCCATGTCAAATCAAGCGTGGCGTCATCGATCACGAAATATATCTTCAGATTCGTTATTCGATACATACTTTTCATCGAGTCTCCTTCCTTCGACCTTGTCACCCGCGATTTTATTTAATTTCTTTTTTTTTTTTTTTCACGGCGCGACTCAATCATTTTTCGATCCGTGTCATCATCATCGCAGTCGTCGTCGTTGTTGTTGTCATCCGCCACTCTTGCCGCCGTCCCCATCGGAGCTCTCCTGCTCTAGGTTCGCCAGTGAATCATCTTCAACGACCCCCTCCTTTGGGATCCGGGCAGAAGACTCTTAAGGGGGCCCACAGCTCGGCGCGAGGCCAGTCCGAGAACGCGACCCTAACACTAACATCCGGTGTATTCTAAGAGAGCGAGAGCGAGCGAGAGAGAGAGAGAGAGGGAGAGGGTGACGAGAATCGGAAACGGAAACGACTGACTGCTTGATCGCAGTACAATCGACTGCGCATCGCCAGTACAATTGGCACGCTAACATGAAGATCGTCCTGTTGCTCTTCGTCGTCGCGGCCTTCGCCTCAGGTTAGTAACCCTTTTACATCGCGACACAATGCCACGGTGTTCGGTCGTGCTCGCTTCAATACTGGCCGGTGACGTCTTCATTATTATGAAATGATTGTTCTCTTGATCCCATCACGGGCACGTTGATGTACTCTTCCGTTTGATCAGTGTCTCCTACGCAGTTTTCACCATCCATCTAAATATTGCTTGCATAGCGATATTCGTGTGAATAATTTATATTCGAAAGAAAACTTCGCGAGACAAAAATTAAGTTGTAAAAGCAGAGAATTTTAGATTTTTTAAATATATTTATATTGTTATATAATGTTTTATTTAGATTAAATATTTGATTTCTCGTTAGATCTGTACTGTATATGTAATATTTTGTTATGTCATTAAATATGTTAGAGAGTATATTAAGAATGTGTTATATATTATATTATATAATTTTTAATTTTATCAAACTTTCCATTTTACTTAATAACTCTCGTAATGATATTTTCCTCGCTTAATATATATACTTCAAAACTTTTTATATTACTCGACGTTTCACAGCCTTCCTGTCATTAAAGAAACTGTCCAATGCACCAACTGTCAACGTATTTGAATTTGGAACCGGAAATAATCAATGGTTCAAGCAAACGACATATTGCACGTATTAATGCTTTCTTAAAGAATTTTCTCTCCTTTCGAAATTCCATCTAAAAATATCTAGAGTCCGGCCCAAAATTTTTAGATGTGGAAAATTATTTTTAAACCGCAAAAAGAGAATAAAAAACTAATTTTTACGCAAACTACACATTGACAGAGATAAATTTTACTATATATTCATGCATGATCGATATCGGAATGTTGCAATAAAAGCGGTCTTCTCTAAAATGATTCTCGTTGACGATATCTGCTTCCTATGTATCCGATCTCGTTCCTTGGGTCCCATCGAAAATCATTAGTCGGCAGACAGGAACGCGTTACGTGAACGAAGCTGTAGTTAAAGGCGACTAGAGTCGCCTCTTCTTTCGCGCGCGCACACCGGCGGCAGACGTCTCAAGGTCTTCGGGTCATTTACCACCACCTGCACGTCCAACTTCACGATCCGGAACGTTTTTGCTCCGGATGCGCTCTACGAAGTATCCACCGCCGTGACTAGACTTTTGCCGACCGACCATCCCTCGTTCCGGTTTTGCCTCCACCGGAGGCATACAATGCACGGTGCATTTGCGTGCACGCGAAACTGCCGATTCGTCTTGAAAGTATCCGAATCGATGCACGCACATGAATTATCATCGTCGAAACGGCGCGAATGAAGACATCGCTCATACTCGCTCCTTCGGAAATTTGACGTATAATGATATTATTTTTCGGCTACTTATTTTGCACTTCCTCATTCGCCTCATCGGCCCGTTGATCCCACATTATCTCGATTTTTCGATCATTAAATCTTCTTTCAATATTTTCCTCACACGGAATAAACTCGTTCTCTTTTTATGCCGAAGCCTTCAATTTTGTTTCATAACTCTCTTGCGTATGAAATTAAAGAGATATCTCTCTCCCGATTCGCTGATTTCAAACGTATAATTATTACGTGCGTGTTTATCTCGTCGTTCTTTTTCCAAAGATTATATATTTGGAGAGAAAGACAGAGAGACAAAAGAGAGATATTTGAATTTGAATTTGAATTTCTCTTACGATCGGCAGCCGTAAAGGTGGCAGAACGGAGAACAATCGCGACTAGAAACAATGAGGAGGAATTAGTTGCGACACTCATCGTTCACCTAGGAATCTATTCGGGGATCTCCTCTCGGGGAGGCACTTCGTAATTCATAAATACAGTTAACCAAATAACCGTGGCGGTTCAATGAACTCGCAGCTCGATGTATCGCATGAACGCTGCCCTTCTCATAAAAACTTGGAGTCATTGTGAGGCCGGTTTGAAAAAGAAAAGAAGAGAAAAAACGCGCCGCGTCAGGGTACGCATTTAGAGTGAAATTAAAATCGTATTATATGAGACGGGCATGGAGACGCGAGACGCTGAAATAATCGTTTTAATTTCTTGCCACTTGCTGCGCCTTACATCGCCATTGTATCGCATATAAGATGTGTGGGGATGGGAACGACACGCTTCTTAGCATATAAATTTAAATGACTCTCTTGTCTACGCGCGTTATGTAATCGGAATATTTATTATCGCTGAAGAAAGAGTCTTATTTTTGCTGTATACGAATTATTATCTCAAAATCTGTAACCGGGAATATAAGCTCGATGCTGCTATTGTTCCCGTCGAGTTTGCATGTTGCGTTAAAAGACATGTGAATGGTTTTTTTTTATTAATCGTAACGGGATTCTTGATCGCGAGCCTCGCACTACGATACTAAAATGGGATAGCTGCATTAGAATTCATATAACGCATTTTCCCGTATCCCTACTGCCATTTGCGGCTTTGTTCAACGACAGACACGTGCTTGGAGATAACTTGGGTATAAGAAATTCTATGAAAGAAGAGAAGAGTTCTTCTTTTTTTAATAAAATATATTAAATAATTTAACAAATTATAGAAAATATATATAATTTGAAGCATGCGCAAATGTAAAAATATAAAAAAATATTATATAATAATAAAGACGAGTATGTTACATATTTTTAAAATTAATAAAGGTATTCATAATTTTTGTCATAAATGTGTAACGTGTTACTCTGCTTCCGTATGAATTAATTTAATAGTCTCTCACGTGCATTCTTCATGAATGCAACAGAATTATCCTGAGAATTGTACCAACTAGTTTGTCCCAATTTCGCGCGTGCCGCAATTGAATGCTCCGATGTAGCACGACTCCAACGTGACTTAAAATAAAGCATGATGCAAATAGCACTCAAACTTTTCTCGCGTACATATATTAAAGACACGTGAAAACTGTGTTTCCAGCCCAGAGAATCACAACGATTCAGCTCGATGGCATACAGTATTTCGTCTCGCGGATGAATCCCTACAGTCCGGAACTCAACTACTTCCTGGCGTATCAGTATTGCCGCTCGCTGGGTCTTCAATTGGCGTCCTTCGAAACGAAGGAGAAGGCCGACACGATGACGCAATATCTGAAAAACGCCGGTTACACGAAATACGACTTTTGGACCTCCGGCAACAAATTGGGCACCGACATGTTTCTGTGGATGAGCACGGGATTGCCGTTCAATGTCACCTTCGACTACATGCTGAAGCGACCTGGCAACAGACCCGCCGACGTGCCGCCCGGCACCGAACCACAAAGGGTGGCACGTGAAAGGTAACACCTTTAGCAAACTTTTGTATTTTTTTTTTCTGCCTCAAGAAGAGTTAATATCAAATATGAAAATTAAACGCAAAATTAAAAGTTTTAATTCTCAATAGATATTATGCACTGTTACTACGATTTTAATCATATTATTTTATTACTATTTATTATTAAAAGTTTAAAAAATTCGATGATATATAGTTAATAAAATATTATAAACATTTGTCATTAAGAAATGTCGATTGCATCAGCGAAGAAGGACTAGTTTATTAAATAAGATTAGTTTTGCCCGATTGAAGATCGTATCACGAATAATGATTATCCGCAATTTAGCATTTTAACGGAAATTCGCGCGTGGAAACAACGTCATAAGTACATTCTCTCGTTTAAATTCGAAAAAGCTAGTATCTCCGTCTTTCAGTGGCGACAGCGGCAGCGCAGACGGATGCGTCGCGATGATTGCACCTACGTTAGCTTGGGAGGCGCAAGATTGCACCCTCGTGAAGGACTTTATCTGCGAGCAAACAAGATGCTACTACTACAACTACGGCAGTATTCCAGTCTCCGCGACTCAGGGGTAAGAGGTGAGATAATACTTGTCACAAAAATACACGAAAGGGAAAAGAGAGAACGAGAGAGAAAGAGAGAGGGAGAAGGGAAAAGGAAAGGGAAAGGTGGAGAAAAAGGGATCTCAAGGAATGCCGATGTAGAATGAATCTCGCTCTTGCACGAATAAGAAGCAAACGACGATAAGATATGCAAACGCGCCGCGATAATCAAATGTGTTTATTCGTGCTACCGAAGCATGCGGACTCGCTAGCGATATGAAAATTTTTTTATTACACGCGAATATGTAATTTACGTGTTTATATATCGTCTCGACTACATCGTTGTAATCCCGATCTAGCTTAGAGATTAAAACTGGGCTTTTTAACAGCGAGTTTACGAGAATGACGCGATATTTAATTGGAGTAAATTTTTTTCCTCCGTGTAATCTAATGAAAGATATAAAAGCCTGAAACGACGAGGTGTTTTTTCTTTCGCAGTTTACGATAGAGCGGCAAACGATTATTACTGGCGATCGAAACACTAGCGAGATCTTCGGTATGAACCAGTCCTTCGAAATCTTCTACGCACAACTAATATGTAGCTTTGGAATAGAAGTATGGTTTTTGAGATTAGCTCTCAATCGTAATATGGAATTCTATGCAAATGCCTTTACAGCTTATCTTCAATTATTCTCTCGCTTCTTGACGCACACGATACTTTCAAACGATACACTTCTTACACACACGTACACGCACATATACGCAAAAAGTATGGTTTCACTCTCTCGATGTAGATAACAGTTACGTAAAAAAAGACTCATTATAATCCATCAGCAACAGTGAAGCTACGCTTTTCTATGCTCTGTTAATATAATGCTTAAGTAAAAATATTAACAACAATTCTGATTTAATATTGTAAATTTTCTGAAGAGACTCACACGAAAGATTTTCTCAATTCCTGTAAAAAAAAAAAAAAAGAAAAAACCGAGACCATGAACCTCGAGTCATCTAAACTAGCCCGTTGCCTTTCAGAAATCACAGGCCCTACATCACGACCACCTCGGCGCCAGCCAGCGACGACCAAGCGAGTGATCGCGAAGACACCAGCAGCAACATCGAGGATATCCATCCGGGTGGCGACGCCCAGGACGAGCAGGCGACACCATCGGAAATCGAGAAACTATCAGAGGACCCGGTCGTCAGCAGGCTGATCACCACGGCCGCTCCCGCATCTGGCAATCAGCAACAGCAACAACAGCAGCAACACGCCGCTGGAGCAGCGTCGTCGCCGTTCGACGACGGTCACGAGCACGAGCGCTCGGCCGTCGGCGACGTGGACGACACTCGACCGGAGCACATCCCGGATATCGCGAGCCTGTTCACCGAACACGCCGCCGTGGCGTCCCAAGCGCGCAAAGACAGCGTCTTCGACGGTCTCGAGACCCGCGAGATTCTGCGGCCATCGGCGTCTCGCCCGGTCGTCTCCTCCTCCTCCTCATCGTCGGAGATGAGGATGGAGCATCGCGAGTCCCCCGATTACGGCGACCTGGCCGCGGAGACCGAGCTGCCCAACAACGGTCTCGAGGACGCTCACACGATCGGACCCTACGACAGCGTGCAGGATTACGTCAACGACCAGCCGGCGGCGGACGCGACGATGATGAAGGACCAGGACGACGACAGTAGCACGATCCTGCCAGAGGCGGAACCGGCCTACAGGTACAACATCAAAGTGCGCACCAACGGCAAAGTATTAGACCCTCCGTCCAAGTAAACGCTTCACTTCCTTCCTAGACAACGTCGCGTTATCTAGCGTCGTATAAGTGACAGACACATATGCAAACACTCATATACACGTATACATACACACAGATCGACATTCTTGAGGAAAACTAGGTATATATATACATATGTATATCTCTCACGAATTCGTTTCGTGACACGAGCGGCGAACTGTCGCCGTTTAGCTCTAACTTAAGATGTACACTTCCCCTTTCGATACAATGCTCGATAGTTTTGGATCAGAGAAAGAGGCACGATTTAAACTGGCTTTCTCGGTCGGCGGCAGGCAGAAATGAATGATTTCGGATCATCCGGTTAGAATTGTTCGGCGCTTTGAAACGAACGCGGCGAAGCTTGAAAAAATGATAATCTTGTTGAAGAAAAGAAAGAAGCCGCGGTTAATTAATCGAAAGGACGAATTGTTCTCCTGCCGACGTTACTCGACAAGCTATACATTTTTTTCACAAGGGCATTTACACGATTATTTAGTTCATCCTGAATCATTGATGACGCCGGCGGACGAATCTATTTTATCATCGTCATTTAGTCTTCATTTCAAGTTTATCATCTCTAATTAATTCTCTCAGTATTCAATGTCATTAAATATTAATATTAAGATTCAGAAAAATTAAAAAAAAAGAAAATGCGAATTTACAATCGACATTTAATTACCAGCACGTCCGCCAGCGTCTTATATCTTCATAAGGAAATAATCATCATCATATTTAACGTATATCTATACGTCTGCAAGACGAAACGTTCGATAATCCAACTCTTCCCGATATTCTCGAGACGATGGATGTTAAAAAGACCACGAATGTCAGTCTTTTTTTAACGTTTCGGTCATTCAGACGTATGATTATTCGCGTACGTAGTTTCGTCAACGTGAAATGTTGTTCTCTAACTGCTACGGTAAGTCACTTCCACATTAATTATGCGTACAACGGCGCGAATGTGCGACTTGTATAACTGAACTTTAATAAAGGTACAATTACAATCTTACGACGTGGCGCGCAGCCGCGTATTCCCTACACCGTTCCATTGTCAAGTTGTAAAATTCCATCAGACCTGGACGAGAGTTAAAAATATTCCGTGACTTTGATTCGATAAAAAAATCGGCGAAAGACATAAATCGTTAACTCACCAGCCGTTCACGACTCCTTCTATATTTAGCATAGGAATTATTTTGAACACATAATCGTCACGTAGACTGCTGGCGTATTGGCTGTCACTTAGGAGGGCCTCCATGGTGCCATGCATAACCCAGGACGCGTTGCTTTCACCGGGATGTACTCTGGACGTTAAGAAGATCATCTTTCGATTCTGGAAACGAGACGAGACACACGCGAGTTTAAAATATCTGCGACAAAACTTGCATTATTCGAGGCAGAACGAAATTCTCACTTGTATAGGATTGGTCTGGGAATCCGGTGACGTGATGGTGAGCACAGGATTCTCGTTGCCGTTTAAGGTCTCGCAGAGGGTCTCCGCGCTAAAGTACATATTTTCCGCGGAGACGCTTCTCGTCCACTTCCAGATGTTGGCTACCAGCCGGCTGTACGTGTACGGGAAATGATACGCCAGGTAACAGACGTCGGACGCGTGCGGAAACGCGACCGTGAAGGACGTCGTCAGGTACGTCTTCCCTTTACCAGGTCGTTGATAACAGTTTCGATAGTAGCAGATGTCGACGCCGGTCCTCACCCAACCGGGTCTGCCGCACTGCGCCTCCGTAACGCTGAAGAGTATCGGCTTCATGCCGAAATTGAACTGCGAGTTGGCCTTCTCGCAGTTGATTATGTTGAACGTATATGACACGTCCGCCTCCATCCCAGAAACCTCGAAGTAGAACCACTGATGCCTGGAACCGCTGTTGACATCCGGCGTCAGGATGAGATCGTACTCTCGCGGACCTATCTGCGTATGAAGATAAAAGATAGAGGGTGGAAGAGAATATTGGGCAAATTTTCGAGAATTTAAAAAGGATTCCTACATCCTGAAATAATCCGCGCGAGAGATCGCTACGCAATGTTACCACGGGATCTTGCGTAATAAGAGCATAAGCGATTGCGTAATTCAAAGCGTGAGTATATACGTGCAAACCGGAGTGTACCTGAATGGCTTTCCTCAGATTTCCGCTTTCGAATCTAGACTCGAACTGCAACTGCCCCACGTCAGACGAGTTACGCTTGCCAGCGATCTTCCTTTCGTCCCAGTTGCCGAGGAGTCGCTCGTCGCTCGTCGAAGACGATCGCCGGGAAGCGGCGCTCGCGAGAGCATCGAGATCGTAGACGACTTCCTGGACGGTGGTGACGGCGTGGAGGCCGCGTTCCACGCAGGTCAGTAGTTTCGCGCGACAAACCTTCCGGTCCTTGGTGTTCAGCGGCTCGGCCTTTCCCGAACCGTCCCCGCCGATTAGGTCCGGATAGGCGACCTTGACGAAACTGATGACGCTTCTCACCTTGCTCGCCACGGCGCAGTACGCCTGTCGATCCGTGATGTTCGCCGACACGTCTCTCAAGATCTTCAGATCGTGCGTGTTATTACTCTCGAATCGATCCTTTGTCCCGTTGGATTTGGAAAAGTCCTTCATCGGAGCCTTTCCGATCTTCGTGAACTGAGAACTCAGCCGATCATCCTCTGCCCAACAAAGATCGGCTATCTTGACGTTGGACAAGCCGGTGAGTTGTAATTGTGATCGCAGATTACCCAGCTCCTTGAAGAACGTATGGTATCTGAGAGAAGAATAAAGATGTCAATGATAATTATAATTATCCCTAACAGCACAAACATGCTGAAGACGTTCTTTCCTCTGAATATCTTTCGGATATGTTGTGCCGCTAGAGATGTCATGATGATCTACGCGTTTGAGAAAACAAGTTTACCGGACGAGGTCCTCTTCAGATCTCTGCGAAGTGAAGACTCCAGCGAAGAATTTGCTCTCGTCCACCTCGTCGCCCACGTGAATCGCATTATCCATCGTATTCCTGGAATCATGACTCTCCTCATCGTCGCCGGAATCGAGATCGCTGTACAATCTACCCACGCTGGCGATGGAAGCCACGCTGTTCGCCTGTGCGAAAATCGAAATATTCGACCTATGAATATTTTAACGCCATCGCATAGAACGATCGGACGAAACAGCATGATATTTGATGTACGAAGCAAAAATCGTTAAATGATACAATACACGCTACATCGACGAACGCATACTTTAGTTGGTCCAGTAACGTTTCGATGCGAAGAAGCATACACACCTGGCTGTCGATATCGCTACCGCTTTCAGCACTGTTCGCCCTGACATTCGCTTCGGACAGAACAAATCTGCATGCAGAAAGAATCGATCGAAAATTTAGTCCTTTAATGATCGTCATATCGTAAACAGACATTTATAACGCGTTAGTCTTTAACTAAGTCTGCTTATTATTGCGTAACAGGACTATCGTTGTCTGTCTTACGCAATATTGATTTTCATAATGATGCTAGAAAACGAGGAAATACAAGCAAGCAAAACGTAATGTATTTGATACGCATGACTATCAATGTCAATCAATTAATAGAATTTCGCCGAGATAACATAATAAAAGATAATATAAGAAAATAAGACAATATAAATATTCATGAGAATAATTATTGTATATGCTGTATATGTATATGTATACAAATTTCAAAATTTTAAAAGTTAAATCTAACTAACACAGATATGCAACAAATAGCGTAATATTCAGTATAGGCATCTTTCGCGAATGCAGAATATGTAAATAATAATAAAATAATAACAAGCCTTTTCTCAATTATTATTCGATGATCAAAGTGACCTCGAACATTTCATTCACCTCGCGGGAGACATTTCGGGCACTGGCAGTTCTCTCTTCTCCAGACATTGATTGATTATCCCACAGATACGCGACAGCAGGCAGTCGTAAGCTCTGTCTTCTGGACAATTCGTACAAAACCGGTACAGTAGCTGTAGGCCATTGTTCGACTTGATAGCCTTCCTTCCAGCTTCTAGAAGATAATTGGATAAAAAAAGTACGCATAATAATCGGCGACTTCCAAGAGTACATTAATAAAAAAAGGATAAATCTGAATATAATGCAAATACATGATTAGTATTTTTTAAGATTTTCTGCAGAGAATCCGTGATAATAAACCTACTTATAACGCAGAGATGTTGAAGCGTATTAAGAGCGTAATTACAAATCTTCAGTCTCATTTGCCCGTCGAATCTCTCCCATCTTTCGAAGATACGCATTAGAAGATATACCATCCCAACTTTAACGAACTTGTTGCAGCAAAGTTCTGCAAGTAGAATGTTAAAATCAATGTCACAGAAAAAGAGATACGATTTAATTTAAAAAAAATTATATATATGATAAATGCGTATACGTACTATTAACTGTAAAATGTTTGAAGCATTCCAGCAATGTTTTCAGCTTCAAGTGTGGAGTATAACCAACGCTGACGAATGTTTTTTCCAAGGTGCTACTAATGCCGTCTTTCACTAGCATTTGTAAGGAAAAAGCTGTCGAAGAAATAACAGCTTATATTGTTCTTGAATGTATAAGCGAATTATGTATTAAGAAAACGATTGCTTACAGTTTTTAGCCAGAGTTTTGATAATCAACAGCAGCGACAATAACGTCTTGCTATTGTTGTAATGTTGTTTTAACAACGCGTGGAACACTTTTATGGAGTTGAGCAATTTCATCTTTGACACAAATTTCTGGTCCCTCTGAGCCACCTAAAATAGATTCGATAAAAGTTTTATTGCAATTATATGAATGTCAAAAGTTTCCTTCTACAAAAGTAGCAATAAGCAAAATAATTGTTTCTGCAATAAAATTAGAAACCGGTTTTTTTTAAGTAAAGGGTGTTAAAAAAATTACCTGGCCCAAAATCCAGAGAATGTCTTGAGTGAGTACTTCGCTCGTGATGGTGTCTGCGTGTTGCAGGTTAATTAAAAGTTTAACTAGGACTTGCGTGATACCTAAGTTGATCAGTTGAATGACCGCCATGCGACTACTGGTTCCTGTCAAAAAAAAAAAAGAAAGAAAAACGAGCGCATTACTTTCGATTCCAAAGAATGAAGATTCCCAATAAAAAGCACTTGAGAACACTGTATAATAAACATTACTTGTGGTACTCTTGTTCTTGCTCGCCTTCTCCTTGGATTTGCCTTTGGTCACTCGGGGTGATATGCATTCGTGAAGTATGCCGGTGATACTACAATTGGCAACGTGATCCTTGCAGTTCTGAAACACAAATTTTCATATTATCTTAATTCGTTTTTGATACAAAAATAAACATTAATTCTTTCCTCTTTGCCTCGTTTACATGACATTTATAACATGTGTAGAAAAAGAAATAAAAACTTTGCTGCAATGATAGCGACGAGTAATTACAAAGGAGTCGTGTGAATAGCACGCGAGCAATTATTTTCTAATCTACGTGCGCGCCGACACTTGTCAGGAACTGGAACAAGCGGATATCTAGTTTTACGAACCTCGCTTCACAGCTTTCTCGAGCGTGTAGACACAATGCAACATGCGTGTCGCGTGACACGGTCGCGCTATTTCGCGCAAATAGAGTGCTAATTGCCGCGATTATATAAATTCTTAATTGACTTTGCACTGTGTCAATATGTGTCGGCCCAAAATGACCGTAGAAACTCATAATTTTCTCAAATACACACACACCCACACGTTAATACGTAATTTGATCGATAGCTATTAACACGCGAGACGCTCGTAGCTTTATCTGTAGCTCCGATAAGATGAATGTTACAATTAAGCAAGAGCGATCAAGAATAAATTAGAACTAGGCTTGTCAAAGGATTATTTTAATTAAAAAATGATTTACCTCCAGTGTCATAATAAACGATTCCATCGCGCCGGAATTCTTGCGCCAGAGCTTCTCCAATGTGCGCTCGCGTATTCGTCGATCTGGAAAATACACGTGTAAAGTGATGTAGAGAAATTTATATAACATCCTTCTCTCGCTGTATATACCTATATCAAATTTATAAATTCATAATTTATATTCGTAGCGCCAGATGCGATACCGAGTTTGCCAAGATCGGCCTTGACAAACATATGGAAATACGTTCTTGAAAAATCAGGGATACATTGGCACGATACTCGTGTTTTCTTACACCAAACTTGAGGTGCTGCCAATTGAAATCAATGTCACGAACAATGTTCATAAAATTTACACGATGTGTTAAATCAATGCTCTTATATGACGGTAAATATCGTTATACATATATTGAACATTGCAACTCCGTGCACAGAATAATACGAATCTTTGCTTTTGACGTCACAATCAAAATATATAGTTGCGTGACCTACAGCGAAAATTTAGTTAGAGAACGCCTAAAGGTAACGCCGAAACTATGTCGCAAATTTCAGCTGCAATAACGTACAACGTGCAAACTAAAACCCGACTGCAGTAAATTCCGCGACTCGCGGAAATACCAGCCAAATAGATTTGCCAGCCCTTATCAAATTGGCGCGTTTTCAATGCGCCCGACGCGATTCCGAGTGTGTATCATTCGGAGGTTCTCTGGACACCGGCCAAACGGATCTGTCAGCAGCGATACCGAAAGTCATTACGTAATCTTCTAACAGGCGGTTCTTCTACTCTAAAATAACGGACGGTAAAGCGGCCGACTACTCTGTTTGCACACCTGTTCGCGAAGTTGTCCAAAAGATCCGGAACTGATTGGCGCGAATTCATATTTAACAAACACGCGCGATAACGAAGCAGCGACGATAATTAAAATACAAATAATGAAAGTAAAAAGTAAGCAAAATAAATTTATTGAATTCGAATAAATATTTATTTCAATACTGCCTAATAAATCATTTATTTCAAACTGATAATATTTATTTGATATAAGAAAATTATTTTCAAAGCAAATACATTTATTTGTTTCAAATAAATGATTTATTACAGTATGAAATAAATATTTATTAATTTATTATTTTTTTCAGTGCAGAAAATAATAATATTCAAAAAATTGCTTGAAAAGAGTTTCGTAGAACATAATTTCGGAAGTAAATAAATTCAATGTCTTTTCTAGGTGACATATATATTAATCTCCGCAAATCTTTCTGACGTGCGGATATTCGTTTTGGTAAAAATTTTCTACATCTCATATTCGTTTAATTTAAGTTTCAAAGCGAGCTTATAATAATAACATGATGGTGCACTGGACGAATAGCGAAGGAACAATTTCCTTCGCTATCTGTCGCGAAGGAATCGCACGGAGAATGATAGATCGCGCGAGTTCTATATCCGCGATTTCATGCTCGTGCCGAGAGTATAATGATATACCGTCACGAATTCCTTTCTGAAGTGTCCAATCTCTCCCTCAATCCGTTTAGAACTTTATCGCGCGCAATCCGTACGTTTATCGTACGGCAACGTTAACGGAGACGACACGCGATGCGAAATGCTAATGAGAAGGAAAATTGCATCGGGTATTCGATTCGCGATAATAATCGAAACGGAGTTATCACAGAAGAGCGCGTGTCTATTTTCTTGCGTCGTCGAAATCAAATTCGTGAAATATTATTCGGGAAGCTGTCAAGAGGCTCGTGTTGTTGTCACGTTAAGTGCCAGAGCTTTATAAAAAAAAAAAAAAAAACAACGTAAATTGGCACAAGACGAGAAAATTATTATCGAGACGCAAAATTACCACATCCCGAGAGGGGAGATTCTTAAGAGTAACGTACCTGATGAAGTGACACGCGCGTGAATCTTGGCCGCGATCGCCCTGAGCGCGTCGCCCGCTTCCTGCGGTTTAGCCGCGTGAGTTCGCAGCTTCTCCAACAGCGCATCGCTCACAGCCTCGTCCGCGCTTTTATTACCAGCTGACATCGCACTAAACCGCACCGCAAAACAACGAGAAATGTCATTTACTCTTTCCAGCAAGGAGCATAGACCAGAAACGGTGAGCTGCGTGCTTCGATCGTGCCGCGCCGCGTGAAAACGTCAGAAACTAATGAGAAGCCATTGATTGATTCTCTCGCGAGTTATCGAGGTCTACTGCGATGAAATGAACGCGTCACAAAACTTGCAAAAGCGAGACTCTCGTCTACTTTTGATGATGAATGAGGACGCAAGGAACTAGAGGCTGCAAGCTAACATTTCACGTTTTGCCTTTTACGGTACCTGAAAAGAATGATTAAAGAATGATTACAAATATTATTAACTCGTTAAAAATATTATTTTTTACAAGACGTAGGTGAAAAAACTCTCGACGAAGAGTTTTCGTCATGGCGAGACAAACAATGATGTTTCCTCGCGCATTGTCAGCAATGCGACAAGCTCTTCGCCGCATCAATGAATCTTCTGGCATTGGCTTTCGGCCAACGCAGTCGGAAGTGCTGTTTATCACGATTTGTGCAATCAGCTGGTCGCCGTAAGTCAATGTCGCGGGAATTAAAGTCAACCATTGGAAAACCGACGTGCATCGGAGCCAAGGTTAATTAACGCGGTTGGATAAAATGCAACGTTTTTTAAATAAACATCCAAGTGCTGCGCGATCCTGAGATGAACGCGGCTTGAAGAATCTTATTATGGAATAATTAAGTGTCTAAAACTGTTTATTAATCGCGGCGACGGTATTGTCATATTAAACAAATATTTAATTTAGTCACGTTTACTTGGGATCGTCGACGATGTCAAGGGAATCTCATTTCGTATTCTGTGACTTTGTTCGACTGCTCGCGTCATAAAAAGAAGGAATGGACAATTTTATTACGTTTAACTAGCTACGTATGAAATATTCGTAAAGCCATTCTAAAAGCGTGGGACATCATGCAAAATATTATTATTTTTTTTTTTTTTTGAACAGGCAGATACAAAAAGGAGAATAAAAAGATTACTAATGAGATATTTATTGGCAGCTCACAAAATACAAAGGCGTTTCTAATTATATGTCTTTTGTAAATCTATACAGCGTGTAGTTCAAGACATGTATATATCCTTAAAAGATTAAAGCAATGCGTGAATTGTTGCATTAAGCGTTGCATCGGTGCATTAACAAGGAAAGCCGCAGTGCGATCGAGTGAATTCGTAGAATTCGCAGGTAATAATTAAAAAATTTCTTCGACTGCAATTTATTAAGCAAAATAATTAATAAACATCTCTCTCTCTCTCTCTCATAATTCTGCTCCATAACAATTACGAATGTTCAATATTTCAATAATGCCATCCGCTTAATTGGAACATAAATACTGCCTGAAGCGCATAATAATAAATCGCTATGCCGACGAAATGTCAAACCGATACAACTTGCATGAAAAATATCGAATAAGATAAATTCTGCGCATACACGCGAATATGCACGTGCGAGATCATCTCGATTTATTACCGATTTACACGATACTTACTAAAGTCACTTAAAATACTTAAGCCAATATAAAGCGTATATAATTCAGATATCTTTTATAATTAGAATAAATAAAACTCAATCAACTTCCGCTTAAGTTTTTTTCAAAGTTTCTTTCTTGAAGCAGATTTATTTTAACGATCGCCATTAATATCAACAAATAAAAGCCTTCAACTTTGCATGTAAGTTTAGCAAATTGTCAGGCAAGTATATATACGTCGAAGTAAATGTCTTGAACGAAATATTGCATGGAACCACGTGTTGGAAAGCAGACCGTATCTCGAATCGCGACGACCGGAAACGCGGAAAGACAGAAACGGCGTACATACACGCATATACACACATGCACACGAAACACACGATTCTGTCCTCTATAGGCTCTTTACTCTTCCTGCTGCACGTCTTCGGCTGCATTCTCGTCGACCGGCTGCACCGTCACCATCGGCCGTTGATTTTCCTTGTCAAACTTCTCCGATGCACCTTTCATTTTTTTTTGCCTTTCAATTTATCGGAGTGAAACTCGATATTTCGCGACTGTCTTGAGACAGGAATGAAATTTAACTCGGAATCTTTCGAGAGGTTTTTCGCGTTTCGGCGGGGAACAATAAAATGAAAGCTCTCTCTTTCTCTCCGAAATTTGCGAAACGATCCTCGCGCTCTGCCACTCCGAGGCGCTTTGACGTTTCTGCCTGCCAAAACTATGTTTAAAAGCATCCAGCGCACACGCACACACGAGGATCGCGTCTATTTTTAGCGACGCGATCGCGCTTTCCGAAAATCGCGCCCTCCTTTTCTCCCATCCGCGAAAGCACCCTCGCGTCCTCCAGCACCTCGGCGTCATCGACCGATGCGCCGTGATGCAAAATTTTGGCAATGTTTTGACGGTGCAGAACTTTTTTTTTTTTTATTATTAATTCGGAAAAACGACACAATGAATTTTATTGAAAAAAATACTTGCAGCTTTCATAATAAAATAAAACGTTTTGAAATTTTCTCCTGGAAAAAGGATAGAGACATGCATATTTTCAAAATGGAATATAGTTTTTAAAATAGAGCATTATTTGTGAAGGGATGAGCTAGCCTAAGCTTCGAATTCTCTTCGCAACGTCAGGATTTTAATCTCGCGAGATCTCGGATAATTGCTTCATCGTCAGAGATCGCGAGATCGCGTTTCGTTTGCCAAAATCCAAAAAAGATGTTCCGCGTCTTTATCTAATCTTTCTAAACGTCATTGGTTCCGCTAGAATGCAAAAGGACGTTGAAATAAATCACTAGGAACAGGTGAACACTTTGCGAAATGTCTGACAGAAATATTATATAGAGATGAAGTAATCAAGATTATATCCAAAACAAACCGCACGAGGCAAACGTGCTTAATGATTCTCTATAAAAATATATAAACGATGCTTCTTGAGACTCGAGAAAAATCCCCGGCTCGTCTCGGTAACCGAAATAGCGTAAAAAATGTGCGGACACTTGACTTTTGTTGTGATGTGCGAGACAATTTATTAACACATATATAGCTCAATAAAATCTACCAAGGTATCGCTAGATTATATCAATGATTTTTCAGAAATGTCAAATTTGGCAAAGCATATCGCTAAATTGGATAATAAATTTTTCAGAAATATCAAATTCAATATGAAAAGTCAAATTGCCGTGAAAAACGTGTACGACTATTCGATGCAATTAAGACAACACGAGAAAAGAGGTGGTTGGAGATGATTCACTTAATTATTAGACGACTCTCCTAGGAAATAGCGACTCGTCGAAGGAGGAAATCGCGTGGCCGACTGTCACGCTAACACGTATTTGTTCACGTGCGACACGTTCGTGTCACGACATGTGAAGGTATTCGTCACGAAACAGCACGGTGCTTTATTAACGCGAACAACGATGCGATCGAAGCTGTCGATTAAATGGGAAGCACGAAGAGTCGAGCGAGAGATGATCGGGAGAGCCGAAGGATCCAATAAAACGTGACGCGATCTGACCAGCTTCTCAACAAGGCTTCATCCCCTGCAAACGTGCCGTCGCAGTCGACGATCCTGACACCACTGACTGCAGACGTTACATGACCTCGGGACAACCCCACAACGACTAACCGAACAGCATCGGCGTGCCGATTTTGTATGCGGTATACTTGTTGATAAGCGCGAAAGCGGATTGATTAGCGAACGTGCGAAGTTCCACGAGGGTAGTCGACTACTCACGAGGTTCTTTATCGATTGCTGAAAGGCCGCTCCGGTTCAAACTGGTCCACATTCTCCTCTCGCCATCCTGCGGGATGCAAGATGCAAGCTTTCGAGCTCAGAGTCGATAATGCGAAAAACTTAGCGATCCTGAAATCATTATATGCCACATCATCCAAACTTTCACGGAATAATTTAATCTCATGTATATATAGATCTATATCTGTTAATGATCGATACCTATATATTTTTCATACAAATTACAACGTTATATAATCCTTGTTCCATATGTAAGATAGAAATTAATTCGGCTGTAATTATTACAAATTACCAGTATAAATTATGATTCTGTCGAAGTGCGAAGCCAATATTTGCAGATCTATTGCTTGTTAATCTGACTCGATGGCGATGAATAAATTTTCGGACTTATCGATAAACTATGAATGCAAAATATTTAATAATTTAGATATAAATCATATATCTTTTACACGATGCGAAATAAAAATAAAGTAAGATTAGAACTTTTAATCTTGTATGTAATACATTAATTAAGGATATAATCTGGCATTTATATGACAAGCTGTTAGAGAAATATTTATGACATAAAGTAATTATTAGGGTTAACAAAATATTCTAAATGACAAAATATGAAACAATACTCAATTTTTCATGACGAGATAAAAATATTTATAAAGGTTTTAGTCATTTAAATAAAAACGTACTTAAAGCCGTCGAGAAGAATTCATCTAGATCGATGCTTTGCATGTTTGATACAAATAGTCATTCTTTTTATCCATTATCCATTTTTCTGATCAATGACAATTTGTTCACTGAAAAAGGATTTTCGTTGTTTTCCGACGAAACAGAGAATTGCTGGTTAAATCGACCAGAATTCCTTATAATGTAACAAGAATCTGGTTGCACAATAAATTAGTTGTTTGTGCTAACCAAGATTCGTGTTGCATTATAAGGAATTCTGGTCGATTTAATCAGTAATTCTCTGTTTCGTCGAAAAACAATAAAACTCTTTTTTTCAGTGTCATAACCATCAAATATATCGTTGTTATGTTTTCGCATATTCACTCTACGTTTCTCCAAATCGATGTTATCGCCAATCCTCATTAAAGTTCGGAGATATTTTCGTTTAAATCATTTTTCTTTTTAGCTTACGGCAAAGGTGTATCAAAAATATCGAGATAAATTAATGAAATGGTCCTCGGTTAGAAAATATAAAATATTGAAAAAGATCGCGCCGTAAAATTTTATTATCTAAATAAAAACCCTGGAAAAAATTAAAAATATTAAAATATTAAAAATTTTGAAAAATTACGTGTCAATACCTAACACGATACGTACATTGGAACCTAAAATTCGGAAAAAATTAATATAAAAAATTTTTTATCTATTTCCATTATCAGAGAACTTCTTAGAAGGACATTGTACATGTCTGGAAGTACAAGAGAAAAAAAATATCGGTAAATTTTGACCGCCATCAAGGTGACTGTTTCGATAATACACCTACGCAGCTCGAACATCATGTTTCCACGACTTTAATAACCGTTGATCGAGATCGTGTCGGGCGAAAAGCCAATAAAAAGGGCGACGCGACTCCGACGTGAACATTAGAAATTCAAATTGAACTACGTCGCAAGACATCCGGTCCAATGGCCACGCCCTTTATTCATGATCTAAGCGAGAAACCGTCGATATTAACCGGTTCGTGCTACCTCACTCATCTAAAGTACACGGGCTACTTTACGGTACTCCTATATGACTTCCCCTTCGCGAAAGACTTCGTTTAGCATCACATAGCGATCAATATATAAGGTGCTTTATCGATCGCTGCGATACTTGCGCGATGAGTGCTTGCAAGATTTTACATTTATGAGTCTTGTCGATTGTGTACACGGAGTTCTTGATAGGACGAACACGAAAGAAGTCGTAAATCAGCGCCCTGATCGAGAGACTCCTCTTTGGATATAAAAAATCGAAGACAGATGAAAAATTTCTTCAAGTCTCCCCTAAACTAAAATATATATTATAATAACAAAAAGCAAATTAATTAGTTAAATTAAAAGAAGAACGCGGGGTAACAAATTTACATGATACTACATCTTTTGCAAAAAGTATAATATAAAATCGTATTTGTATTTGATATTATAATTATCGCGACAGATATTTTTTTCATTAGAAACACTGGATCCCGTCGACTTGCCCGATATGGAATTTATCTGTTGAAAGACCATCCAAGCTTCCTATCGTCCTTATGAAGCCGGGACTGAAGCCGACCACTTCTCTCGCTCTCGTTTGTGAATCGCGCTGCGAGTTCCGCGTAAAAAAAAAAAAAAAGAATAGCCATACGTCGTATTTTACTATGATCGGCAGAGGAGCATACAGCATACGAGCAAATATCCGTAAGAGGTTAAAAAAAACAGACCTCGGATGATGTTCGACAGGGTGGGGAAAGACTTTGCTCTCCGGGCAGGAATATATAAATCGCAGGTAGGGCTGAAATTCAAGTTAGTACGGATACGATCTGAGACTATCGGCAACCTGCGGACAAGCGATGATGCGGGTGAGTCTGCCGACGTGATTCACTCGGAATGAAATTGTTCTTTTGTCGTTCTTCGTTCATCTGCATATTGCTGGTTTCTTCCAGTGTCGATTTTGACATTCGAATGACAGACGTCTGCTTTTTATCTGTTTTATTTCAACGATAATGCAATTCTATTTTTACTTGGGAGATGGAAGGGATTATTGGATTAATTATTATTAGAAAGTTTGATTATCACGAAAATTGCTCTGTACGAATAATGCTAGGAGAGATTAAATCCTATGTGTATATATCGCAGTTTATTTATATCTCGCACAGCCGCGGTATAGGTATATTGATAGAACATTGTTATCATGTATGCATCGTGATGTTTTCGCGAAAGGTAATTTCATTTTGTTTGCATCTTGGCGATCATTCGCATGCAATTCGCGTGAAACTTTGAAACAAGCATCCACCGCAAATAACATTATTTGGAAAAGCTATTGCGCTGCGCATATTCTTTGTCTCTGCTGTCAGGAAAGCATAAAATGATAAACAGTGCATAAATAAAATATTGAGAAAAATGCATATACTCCGATATAGATTAAATTAAGAAAATTAGAATTCATATACGTTTGCTTTCTCTGTATTTTTATATTTTTCTTCATCTCTATCAATTTAAACATAAAAAAAATATCAATATGAAATCCAAAATATATTAATGCAATTTAGACTATTATTTCTCAATTTTAATCTTTTTGCAGAATTTGACGTCGTTCGTAGTTTTCCTCACTGTGGTGCTTGGAACAGCAGTATCGAAACCATTATGGTCGACCATAATCGACAGTGACATATATTCCACACCCGAAATCAACGCACAGTATCAAGACACGCGTTCTTCTTCTCCCTATTATGTTTACAATGTACTACAGACATGTATGAAATATTTATGTTACAATTGACGTCATCCATGCCACGTTACATTTTTTTTTAGATCTATACAAACGTAGGAGGTATACCAAACACTGTTCATGTCAGCGGTAAACCAGCAGTTTCTTACCTTCCTGCTTACAATTTATACTACGGAACGTCGATTTACGACTTGCAGATTCCATTCAATCCGGTCATTATAGTTTTACAAAAAAATCTCTACAACATACATATGAATGTTAGTTTTCAGTAATTTGTATCATTTCAGATTTATCCCGTGCTAACACCATCACATCCAGGAGTGCTTCCTCCAGCACTTCCACCAACATCCACGCAAGAGCCTTTCGATGATGATAATGATTACGACGGAATCGAGAAATTAGATACAAAAGTCGATCCAGCCACAGAAACAAAGAAACCAGAAACGAGCGAGCATGACGATTCCATAACCGTGGAAGCGATATGAGATCATTTTCCTCGTCACGTACGTAGCACATACAAACGTGAAAGGAATAATGGTTTAATTATTGAGTGTTCGCGTGTTTGCTTCCTTATTTTGCACACATTGTATATATATATATATATATTTTTTTTTTTAAATATATATATTAATTAATATTACATTATATTATATTGCGTGACGAAGATTGCAAAGATGGCAAAGATTGCATTCTAAGACGGTAAAAAAATTTGTTTATATATATTTTTCATTATATTATATTATATGTATTATATATGGTAATTATATATAATTTTTTATTTTGAATAAAAAAAAAGTTTGAAATTTTATATGCAAGAATAAAGTGCGGATAATAAATGAAGACTTGAATACATTTTACTTTATTCTCATTGCCATCATTTCCACATATCGCATTTATGTATTTACATGTCTCGAATCGCCATTTGAAAACTAATTAATCTTTCGACACTTTGGAATTTCAATGAAACGTGATTTCCATCGCTGCCGATTTTTCTTTGCGCGTAGTATTACTTGTAAAGAGCTGTTTGTTAGAAAATGTGAACGCGCTATTAATAGAGAGTCCAATAATGATTCGATATCGCTCTGAAAAACCGGGGTAGTAACGAGACAGTAACTTGACGTCGATAAATGGACTTATTTTGCAAGGGAACGAGAGAGGTTCTTTACCCCGAGAATTCGCGATAGAGCGAAAGACGACGAGCCGTATTCGCGGATGCATCAGTGCACCGATCTCGTCGAAACCGGCATTGCATTGACATCGATGACACGAGAATGATCGTTTGTCGCGGAACCGCGCTATGGATGGTCGCGATACTCGTCTTCCTCGCAAGCGTATCATCGTCTCGAAGCGGATTCACGACTCTACATCAGCAGCAGTCCAGGATCCAACCGGCGCTCGCAAAACAAGTGACATACGAGAATCGCAAGGATGAGTTCGCGCACAGTGCATCGTCCGATCGAATCGGGACCCCGTTGAATTATTCCAGCAGGACGAAGAGAAATGATTACATCGCGCGAAGAAACGAGAGCGATTATTACGCGCAACGTAGAGCTGTCATGGAGAGATATTACGCGCGACAGCGTGAGATAAACGCGAGATACGCTAATCGAACGGGCACCTCGGGATCGAAACATAGGGATGCTGTATCACAGCTTCGGCCGGTGACGAGAAACGTGACTCTGCGTAGTCTCGGGACGTATCCTGGCAAGGACTCGAGAGATAGCGCGATTCTCCGCTATCCTTACATAAGAGTCGAGCCGATATTCAGCAACGAATCGAGGAACAACAGGATATCGATCGAACCATCGGATAATCGACGAAACATCACGTTGAATACTAATCTTGATTTCAAATCCGATGCAGATTTGCAAGCGAGAAACAGCGATAATATTGAGAGAAAGTTAGATTATTATGTCACACCCACACCATGCACCAACGTGTCATTGTCTGGCACATTTGCGCCAAAAACGCAAATCAAACGCTCTAAAAATTGCACCCAGGAAACAGAGCAGAGTTCTAATTGCACAAATCATAACGTAAGTTAAATATTAAGAATTTTACACGGAGAGAATTTTCTCTTAAAATTTACCCTGAAAATCATGATTTAATCGTAGTTATCATTTACCTACCACAATAAAAAATATTAATATGTACATAATAAAATTAATCAAACATATTTTATTTCTTATTGTGGCAGATATTAATATTTTTATTGAGATAAATATTAATCAGAGAAACTCATAAAATTTTTCCAATACCATATTGTCTCATAATTATCATGATTTTCTCCGGGGTAAATTCTAAGAGAAAATTCTCTCTCTGTAACACTATTTCTATATAGAATTTTCACAAGTTTTCAATATTTTAATTTTAATGTTTCAATTCTAAATGATTTATAATATATATAACAATTTATTATATTAAATATATTACATGTTACACGCGAATTGGTTGCGTTTGTTCTCCAGAATTCCACCGGAGACGACTATCAATGTTGGGGAACGTGCGAAGGGAAGATTGTCTATCAACATAACTTGCTTCTAGGATTGAAGGGTCCCTCGAATCTCGACACCCTGTTCGAAGTAATCATTCAAGGTCCCATTTGTATCACTTGCGTGGAGGTGTTGCGATATAACGAAACTAGAGCGATAGTCACGTTAGATTCCGGCGGACGTGGTCACGAATATGCGAAACTTAGGCTAAAGGGTTACAAGAATGAAGGATTTTCCTATATAATAAAGGTTTGGGGTGTCAAGAAATTTGATCAGAATTGCGATAATTAATTGAGAAAAATGCGAGAGGTTGAACAGACTTCATTATTTCTCGTTAAATAATACTTCACTTTAATAGGAGTTTTGAAAATAATCGACCAAACTAGCAAGTATTGTAATAATCGTTTTTATTAAGTTTCACGACGTTTCGATCATATGGTCCTTCTCAAGTGAGAAATAAATTAGTAAAATTTAGCTCATCGTACAGCAATGCACAATGTTAATTTTAATTAAGAAATATATAAGTCAAAAATTAAAAGTAAAATTGAAATTGTGAGACAGCCACAACATATCCCAACCAAGGATCGTCAGATTCTTTTTTTCATTTTCACTTGAGAAGGACTACAATCATATGGTCGAAACGTCATGAAACTTAATAAAAACGATCATTACTTGCTAGTTTGATCGATTATTTCCAAAACTCCTATTTAAATACTAGTGACTGTCATTAATAATTAGGATTTTACTTTACTTTAATCTTATACGTACAAAAGAAATTCCTAATATAAAAAAGTATGCATTTTTTATAAATATATTGATATGCTGTATATAATATCGCTAAGATTTAAAATCTTATGGTCTTATATGATAATAAGTGAATAATCTCGTAGCACAAATAAAAAGAACAAAGTAATTATGTACGTAAAAAACATCACAAAAAATTAAAATTATTCTCTCTCTCTCTACCTTTCTCACTCTATATCTCTCTGTAAAACATACATACTTATATGTAAATTATAAAAATATCTTATTACCATTATATTATTAATTCAACATTAATATGCGATAGCATTAACACAGATAAAACTCTTCAACTCTGTCGAGCAACTTGCGTCATGAGAAAAGATTTGAGATTACCTCAAGATACATTGCAGTCAAAGTTCAATAGAATAGAGTGACCAATGTACTAAATATATATCCACTGATTACACATTTACTTCAACGCGACATTACACATTGATTATTCTTTCATAACAAAAACCCCTTTATCTTAAAAACAAAGATCAAAAAGCAAGAAAACTGATAGTCGTCTAAATATTGACACAGCTAATTACGTTTACGGAATACCACTCATGGCTCAAGATTTCTTCGGGACGGAGGTCGGAAGAGGTGGAGGCGGTACGTTCGGTATTTTCTCTTTATCGCTTCCCGTCTGATCTGTCTTCTCGTCGTGGAAGCTCGGTAATAGATGACCGGAATCGACATTCCTCGGCGTGGTCGCCGGAATCGGTTCCAGGGAGCCATAAGGCTGGTAATCTACGTAATAAGTACCAGGTACGAGATGTGGATTAAAGCCATTGTACGTATAGATGTACGGCTCGTAATAAAGGGATTGGTAGTTCGGGTAGAAGCTCAATGGCACTTGCTCATTCTTCTTCGAGGAGTTCTTCGAGGGTTCAAGGGAGTCGGTCCTCGACTCGTCATCCTTTGATGTCTTCGCGTGATCTTCGTTGCGTTCGTTGGCGATGCCGAAACTACTCGACTCGGCCAAACGCGACGTCGAAGACGAGGCCTGGTCGTTTCCGGCGACCTTATTATCATCGGCGACCTTGCCGAGCGACGAATAAGGCACCACTTCCGGTCCAGCGAAATGAGGCGCTATTTGAGTGTAATAGAACGGCGGCACGTAACCTACGGCAGTTCGATGGACGATCGGTTGTATCACCGGAAACGCCCGCGATGGCGACAGATTCTGATTGCTCGTGATCACGGCGTTGTACACCTTCGGCACCCTGAGGAGACCCGGGCCGGCGACCGCGACGGTCATGAGCGCGCACACGATCAGCAGCTTCATCTGGAAGAAGTGTTCCCCGTTAGTTTTTGGTAAAATTGTTTTATGTCAGCGGAAGGAAGAGAAATTTACGACGAGATCAGAATTTCTTTACAAAAGAAATAGCTTTGATCGATGTCTTCTATTATCTTTTTTTTAATAAAAAAATAATTGAAAGTATGCAAATTGAAGCACAATTCCGGTAGGAAGATGAGCACGTTTCTATAGGAAAATGGCTGACATTATCATGGGTTCCAGGAAAGATTGCGCAAACATCTCATGTAAAACGGTGCATATAAACGAGCCGAAATCACGCGTGAATAGAATATTATCTTGCTCGTGTTCATAGGGCGTGTACTCGATATCGAGTTATAGCGGATTCCTATCATGCTTTAAGTTCAAGTTCCTAGAGTAATGGCTATAAGAGTAGTACGTTGTAAGACCACGATTATATTAGCTATTTAATCTAACTAAAAAAAATCTCGTTGCATTAAATTTGTCATCAATGCAAACGCGAGAATGCGGGTAATTTTTAGTGAAAGGTGTAAAATCGAACGATAGATATTTCATCAACTTCTGTCTCTTTTTTGCACGACATTATAATAGAAATATTTTGCGAGGAATAACATACATACAGATTTATATTCGACGTGTATGAATCGAATTATAAATGTGCTTCAAGAATAAAATTTTACAGGAAAAACAAGAAGTAGATGGTCGAGTGAAGAAGGTTGAAAAAATAAGCAACCGGTGATTTTAGAATGGCATTGCGACACCAAGTGAATCATCAGCACTTCGTATCGCTTCCTACCTCTGATAAGGTTTACGTTCGCGTTCACCTTCGTTCACCAAAGTTGTTACTTAGCGAACTGCTCGCTTGTACTCACCTTACGGCGCGTTATCAGCTTCTCTCCTGCGCGTTTTCCTGTGTACGGCGAGGATCTCGGAGAAGCTGACACCACAAGTAGCAAGAGCGCAGTATGAGCCCGTAGTATATATGGGCCCATGGGGTTCCAGGGTTCAAGTCCCGACTCCCCCACTACAGGCGACTCTTGGCGAAAGTACTCTCCGATCCGTACTATAATGTCCAACTTCGAAGACCAGCCTACATCACCGGTAGAACTGTAGAAGGACAGCGGTTTGCGACGCGTCTCCTTCGACGGTGCATCGAGTGCATCGAACCATCGTGAATGATCACGATCTCTTTAGGAGGATAAGTACGTCCAGGAAAGTTGCGTGTCACCTTTCAAATTCTATGGACACGAGCGAATGATTCGATACTTTTGAGGACTAGACATGCGGTATTTTATATAACATTGTCAATAAGCAGTAATTATATATATATATATGTGTGTGTCTTACGCATTAGTTATTTTAATCTTGTATGTTTGATCACTACTATTAGAAATTATATAGAAAGATTAAAATTATATTTTTTTTATATATATTACGTATTATATGGCAATAAAGTTTTCAGAGTTGTAGTCTCTTATAGATGTTGCAATTATAACGGTATTACATATGCCGGTATTTATGTAATGTCAGATAGAATGAAATTTCAATCATTATCGATTAAATTTGGACGTACAACCAAAAAAGTAAGATCCTATATTTTATTGTATATATATATAGGTAATTGTCAATCATTTCTGACACGCGGATTCGAACTGTTATCCTATCGACGAGGCATTCGATCGGTGAACAAGGTGACATGCATTAATTATTCGCCTTTGCAGCTGTTATTCGCGCATTCTGCCACTTATAAATTTATAATCCGTTAATAAAATGCATCAATCTCGCCAGGAAAGCAAAGTGGTTCGCCTTGATATTTCATTTCTTAATTCACCATCTAGCTATAGACATTTATAAATGCTACGTGCACTTGTCATTGATATAAAATACAAAAATGCAACAGACACAGCAAAATATATACGATATAAATTAACGTTCCAAAATATGAATAAAAATATTACATCTGTCTCGGCCTATCGTGAAATTAATTTTAATTATGTTGCAGCTTTATACAACATTGTTTACGCTTGGGCGAAATTTAATTCTGCTTAAAGCTCTTTCTGCTCTCGTGTATGTATTTCCAAATAAAAAATTCCGTAATTGTGATTTCTCTGGTTTGTATATAATATTCCGTTACGTATTTACTGTTGTCGAATAAGTATGCGAGAGGAGAACGACAAAATGTCGACGATTGCGAAAGAATTTTTGCGCAAAACGCGCGCAATAAGAATAATTCAGAATTCCACGCGCGCTTTTTCGGCAGGTGGGGCAAAAAAAGAAGCGTCTTTCATTCGAATTCAGCGACATCGTATTATAGTTCGGTAAATCGGTACATTTGAACATTAGCATACATACACGTGGAAGTAAACAGGTTCACTGGTCCAGAGCGTGTAACAATGACGCGCTTCGCACATATTAGTCGCAGTTTAATGAACGCGCTATAATAACAATGCGTTTCTACATATATTATTATGACGTCGAAACCGCAATATAATAAGCGAAGGAACTTAGCAGATGTTACAACGATTTTTCATCATAATAATCAGCGCATACATTCTTCGTGTAATACTTATACAAGTGAGCTAACTTAAGTCTAGACCCGCTCGAGTTTGCTCTAATACTAGTTTGATTATTCTCGACAGTATTACTATGTATATGCGATAATATAAAAGGTATGTTTTATCATAAATATGACAGAACTATGCTGGTACGACGTGGTGGTCGGTCAGATCGACTCGATAGGTATGTAACAGATTCTCCGCAGCAGCAAAATCGGGAAATTCGGAAGGAAGACAATCAGCAGCAGCACCAAGGGCGACAGTAGCAGCAGAATATTGGCGTACACCACCAACCACCAGATCGACAACGTTCCCAAAACCGGCTCTAGCATTATGATCCTCCGCCGGTCAAGAGATCGAACGAGAGTACGAGTGGAAGCAAGGCACTCGTGAGTGTTCCGAGATATCCGGTTTTAAGAAGATAAAACACTTCCCGACCATGATCGGTAGATTGTTCTGCGTGTGCGCGGGCTGAAAAGAGAAAAAGACAAATTTCTTTAGTGGTTTTTTGATAATGGACACTCTGTTGAAAAAAACTCGACCTCGAGAATTCGAATAAATTTAATATTAAAAAGCCTGATGTAACATTGATTCTCGAAATATCATTTTTCATTGCTATAGTGTCAAATATATGCATATATAAATTACGACATAATAAGTATAAGCAATGCTTACGATCTTACATAATTATGTATCAAGATGTGTTTACAGTTTCATATTATTAAAGCGTTAATTATACGGCCTGAGAGGTACATTTGTAAAGTAAATTTTGCGCGGCATAAATAAATTAGTAACATTACGAGTTGTCTAATTGAACAGTAGCAGAAGATATGATGTACTACAGCGTGATTATATATCGATCCCGAGAGAACGGTACTTATCGATTGCTAATTATGCAACAAAGTTACCTGTAATAATTACGTAACAATACAATGTATGTTTAAAAATACTGAAACTGTCTTGCGCTCTTTTTCAAACGGAACAATAATCTATTTTGCTGTGTTCTTTCATTTTTTCGTCTCACAACAAAATCTGACAACGCAAATAAGTAATAGTCAATAACATTAGTGTAACATAATTGGTCTTGAGGAGGCTATCGTACGATGTTACTAATAAATTCAATAAAATCACATGTACGGATTCGTGAGAGAGGTCTGCTCTTTCCTTACGTGACCTCCATATTCCTTCCTTTCCCTCTGTTATTCTCGAAACTACACGATTGTCCTTGTATCGAAGATAGTAGTAGATTCATCTCATAATAGGAATGCTGTACAAGCTTACGTAACAACGCGAGATCAAAGAAGGTAAAACTGCGCTGCGAGAAAAAGAGAGAGAAGAATGACGAGAATGTTGAATATGAAAAATGATTCCATTCTCTACGATGTGTGCACGCAATATTGTAAGAAGGATGGCTACTCGCATGCGCTTGACTCGACGTATTGCATCGAGAAAAGTGAAATTTTCACGATTGCATAACAGCTGTATAATACTAGTATTCAACGCGGCGTCATCATATAACGCAATCTAAATGCGCAACGTAATGTCAATGATCAAGCGTAACGAGATAAGTAGTGCCTTACGCAGTCTGCTTAATCTTAAATTTACGTAAACGCGCCACTTCTCCAGAGAAAAACTGGAGCACTTATTAATGTTTGAATAAATAATCATTTCGGCCCTCATCATGATAATGCGCATTTTTTTACTTAGAGAGCAATCGAGTAAAAAAAAGACCTTAGTCTCTAATAATGTTATCATCTATTATTATCCGTCATAATATATTAATCACAATCAAGAAATAAAAATAGATCGTATATCTGCTCTAATCATTATATTGTTGCGTTAGCCATCATAAGATTGCATTAAATAAAAAAATAAAACCTAGTATATCTGCATCCATAAATTCATGAACTTTTTCTAAGAAAAAGCGTGTTTATAAATATTGAAATTACATCACAGATACGGAGTAGCATTCTTACTGCCATCAAGCTCTTACGTCAAATCGCCTTTTACTCGCTTCCAGTCTATTATAAGACTGTATATATACCTGGCGGAAATTAGAAATGATATCATTACACGCGGTAAGAACAATTGTACAAGCATAATAAAAGCAATTTACATGGATTCATGATATGTGGCAATCAATGCACCTAGCATTCGTGAATCAAAAACACACAAATAATTAAAAATAAATATGTTTAAAAAGAATCTAAAGATTTTTTTTTGCGCTTAGCAGCATCCAATTTTATTTAACACATTCTTTTTCCCATAAAACAGCCATAATTACAATTATATATTTTTTATTATATATATATATATATATTCTTATAAAAAAGAGGAAGAAACTGCAATTAATTGCGGGATTAGCCGGCTTTGAGGGGCCAACATCAGACATCAACAGTGCGACAGTGTGATTTTACACACCTCCAGCCTACCTTCCGCTATCACGACGACTTCACGACCCTTACAAAAGGTTGCATCGCGTCAGGGGTGTCTGTTGAGATGAAGCGCTTTATCCTCTCGCGTCGCGACGCATCTTCGACGCGTCAAACACGAGCTGGACATGGACGATAATTCCTTGGCATATGCACCCACACGCACTTGGTTTCTTTTTTATTTCGCAAAAAAAAAAAAAATAAATCAACACAGCTGACTCGGCTGTCCGCGCGCGACGCGAGCAGACGCGCGCTCGCTTTATGTGGACTGAGAGCGTTAAAGTTCGCGGCCGGTCTCCGGGCGGACTTTCCCTTTCCTTCGGTTCCTTTAAGACCGACGCGACGGCGTGTAATATCGGGAAGGCAGGCCACGTTAAGTCACCCGGTTACTTTACACACGGGTGTGCGTCAACCCGATGGCATTGACGAGTTTCCGCGCGCGCTCGTTTCTTCTCGGCCCTCTTGCTCAATGATGAAGGAGCGAACAAAGAGCCTGGCCAACTGGCAAGGAGTGGCATTTAGAACGGCATGAATTTACGCGCGCTCGTCAACATCGAACAAAGAAACGTGTGCTTGATATAAGAGCGTAAAATTTTATTTCATTTTTTTCCTCATGCAAATGCGATAAATTATTTTGCTTAATATAACGCGTGAGCAGGAAAAAAAATTAATAGACGAGGCATGAAAGAAATTTCAAGTCTCTCGTAATTGCGGTCAAGGTCTCTTCGGATTTGTGTCTATGTCAAAATCTTATACTTGAATGTCATTATGATTCTCCATATGAAATATTTGTTTTTTTTTATATTTAGAAAATATTTGAAAAATGAAAAAATTATTTTCATGCACATCTATATGAAGTTTGAATTAATGTAGTATTTATTTTAAAAAACCTTTTTAAATATTACATATATAAAAAAAATGTTTCGCGCTCGCCCTCGTTTCTAATAAATAATTACCTCTCTCTAAAGACATTGGATTCCAAACATATTACATTTATCCAAGTTTGTCGAGAATATTCTAGATCCGAGGAATATAAAAAACTGAAACTTGCACAATCCATTTATAGCATGACTTATAACCCGTCCTGATTCGCAGATAAATCCAAGCATTATATATATGCACATACGTAATTGTCAGCTGATGAAATGTCAAGCGATATATAATGACTGGTTCGATAATTGGCGTAGAAAAAATTCGAAAAAAATGTATTAAAAAAATCGAATAATAACGTGTTTAAGCTATAATAATGTTACATTGCACATCATAAACGGAAGACGGTGTAAATAACGGATGTGCAACGATCGAGACGACACGTGCGTGCGAAACATGCATCCGAGCGACTTAATGGCCGCTCGTTTCTCTCCGAGCGAGGTTCATTGCTCTTATTGCACAAAGATGACCTTCGGATATTTACTTATTTGTTGAAGAAACGCATAGTAATTAGGAGGGCGTAGCTTTGGCAATGATACATGTCAGATTCGTGCGCGTATGTGTGTGTGACTGACAAATAACACGAGAATAAATTATTCTTAGCAAAAACATCTTAAGTAGTCTAAATATACCGCTCAATGTCTTCCTTGACATATTTATTGTCTACTTTAGAGACTCGGTATCGTATATTTTTATTTAAACAATTAATTTTCAGAGTAAGTTCTTTTGTTTTATTTATCATAATTTATTTTTAATAGCAGAGAAAGAAAGAGAGAGACAAAACATAAGTATGAAATAAATTTCATAAAAGTATTCTTTTTTATTTTTTCTCCTCGTGCATAAAAGGAGCTTTAAATCCAAGACGTTTATTAATAATAATTAATAAAATCTTGAATATGAAAATTTATTTTCAAAGAGCATTATTTATAAATGTATCTCAACATCAAGTTTGATAATATTTGCTATGCTCTCTTGTCAACCCATTGATCCGTTCATTCATTAATCATGATAAGCTTACTCCCCATTACGAGCGTGATGAACAGCTTCTGCAATATCTGCATTATCAATGGAGATCTATGAAATTCTCTTTGACCATGCAGTGCCCTCTATATGAAAATATGCAAATTACATGGTAAAAAAAGTCGGTATAGTCACGATGCAACATTGCCAACACTTGCACCAAATAAATTCATCATTCAAACATATTTGAGCCGTAATAATGCTGGCATTATTGATACTTTTCCAGGCTAATATAAATCGAATTAAATTTTTCATTAAACATTTTTTACATTTCTCTCTCTCGCTCTCTTAGACGTTCTTTTATCAGCTGATTATAATAAGAAACGATTTTACCGACATACTGGTAAAATATTTAATGTATAATATGGCACTCTATATGTATAAGTGCATGAATGTGCGCATTCAGAAATTAAATATCAAAAATACTAAAAATTGCTTATTTTATTGAGATATTATTTAATCATCTATGTTACCTGCGATATATCGCACTTGATAATTCCGAAATTCTCTAAAACTTAAACTTGTCGCGAAACGAAGAAAACACGACATATCAATTAAGATGGATTATTATTTAATTGTAACAACCGAGGTTAGGTTTAATTCTTTTTACACCCACAATCTACATTGTAGATCAATAATTTAGAAAAAAACGGACCAACAAATGATTAATTATAGCAAGATTTCAACATTCGAGGTAGCTAACCTAAATTTTCTTTACAAGTCTTAAATGTTGTTTGAATAATTTTTGTATCGATGTTTCGAGATCTGGAGAACGTATGATATGTAAGACAGAATAAATTTGATCTCTAATCACCATAGGAAAAAATAAAAGCTGTCACGAATTTTGTAAGAGTACAAACCTTTCCACATTATTCCAGATTATCAGTGATCTTAATCTGACCTGTAAAAAAAGTTGAAGTTAAAAATCTTATTTTATTCCTTGAAGGCTTTGAAAGATGAGTTTAAAGAATTAAAAAGCTATTTGTCATTTCAGTCTCTTCTTGAAAAAGATTACATATTGCATGATATTTTGTTTATTACCTTCTACTTTTTATTATCGCTACTTTTTTCACTCTTGTCGTCGTATAAAACTGCTCGTTAAATCCACCATTTATTGCATTTGGTGGTGCATATTGCATGTGCAATTTACTTTTTAAGTGTATTTGATATGATGAATGACGAGAACCAGTTTAAGAGAAAATCATCTGCATATTAATTCCTACTTAATTTCAACATTGTTCATAACCTTACACACACGTGTCTAGCTGAACACAATGATAGGATTTCAAGAAAATATTTTTCAAATTGTCACGAAAGACAATTTAAGATAATTACAGAATACAGAAAAATAAATGCTATCGATATTCGAATATTTGCAAGTATTTTTCAAATGCGCGATTTATATCGAAACAATTAAATCGCGTTGTTTTGCTGAAAGCTATTTAATGAATATATTTATATAAGCATATAGTATAAAGATATGAAAGAGAGAGTAAAATACGAAGAGCAAAGAATATGTATGTAACGTATAAGATCGTAAAATGCAATAAATGTTTAAAGCACTTTCTCTCTCCTCGTGTAAATAAGTTAATGGTTAATTTGACATTATGTGAGTGCTACGCAGTAGTTATTGCCTGCGATATCAGATAATCAACAAGTTCGAATGCGTTATTACTTCGAATATCTAGATATCTCAAATAGATTTTATATATTTTCGATGATTAAAAGCTTTAAATATAATACTTAAAAAATACCGTAGGAAAAAAATATATAATCTCATTACTCGCCTAATTCATATTTAAAACAAAGTTATGATTTTTCAAAAACTACTTAATTAAGATTGAAAAGTAAAATAAAAAACTGCTGATTTATGATAAAATGTAAAATTATGAAACATCGACTTGATTTGTTTTAATCTGCATAAAAATCCCAGTTAATTTAATATACTTAAATTATTACTAATTTTCGTAATAAACCTTCCCCGATATTTTGTAAAATAATGAAAAATGAAACATTAAATTAAATTAAATTCCTTTTTAATTTAATTTCGGGAGAAAGGAAAAATGCTGAAAATAGGTAATACGTTTTTTAGAGCGAAATGCGAGGTTTGTGTCCCAACGTATGATAAATTGGGGCCCTGAAAAGGGCCAATTTGTATCGGGAGTGAAGGAAGCAACATTAGAAAATTATTTCTTCGCTGCCTTCTTCGTGGCTGCAGCCTTGGTGGTCTTAGGCTTCGGGGTTTTAGTCTTCGCAGCCGGGGCTTTCGTAGCTTTCTTGGTCTTGGAAAGATTCTTGGTCTGAGCGGCGGCTCTCTGCTTCGCCGCAGCTTCCACCTTCTTCGCCGCCGCTGTTTTGGCGGTCTTCTTTGGCGTTGCCGGCTTCTTCTCGGCGGCCTTCTTCGCCTCGGTCTTCTTGGCGGGCGCCTTCCTCACCACCTTCTTCTCAGGGGTCTTCTTGGCGGAGGCGCGTTCCTTGACGACGCGCTTGACCTTGCTGCCGGCCTTAGGACTGGGCTTGGCGGTAGCGAGCTTGAACGAGCCAGACGCGCCTTTTCCCTTGGTTTGCACAACCGCGCCGGACGTGACCGCCGCCTTCAGGTATCTCTTGATGAAGGGCGCGAACTTCTCGCCGTCGACCTTGTAGGTCGAGACGATGTACTTCTTGATGGCAAGCACGGACGAGCCCTTGCGATCTTTCAGCTCCTTGATGGCGGCCGTGACCATCTCCGCGGTAGGCGGATGCGTCGACTTGGGACGCTGGACCTTAGCTTTCGACTTGGCGGCTTTCTTCGCTGCCGGAGTAGAGGCTGCATTCTCCACAGCTGCGGTGTTACCGGATGCGTTCTTATCCTCCATGGCGAGATAGAAGATTGTTGTGCGACGTTTGCAGACGAAGAGTACAAATCTAAACTTTCGTTCTGAACGCTCACAGATGACGCTATTGCACGAGGCGCTCGCCGCGCGACTACTTGTATTGTGAGCGCGGACCATGGAGAGAGGCCCTCCCAATGTTGCGAGTGCCATTCCACTGGGAATGAAAGAGCGCCCGGTAATTGTTCGTTGTTTAAACAATATTTTGCACAATAAAGGCCGTGCGGTCGGCACGCGGAATCGTAGAAGCGAGTAGCTAGTTTTGTTTCATATGCGTTTTGTCGCTCCTTATGACGATGCGCATTGATTTTTACGCGGTTCCGTGCGGCGCGAGCGGCTGATTCATTCGAGGGACTCGACACAACTCGCAAAATAACTTAATAAACAATACAATTATCGATGCACCGCGCGTTTATGCGGTTCACGAAACGTCGTGATAGCTGTCCTAACTGATCGCAAGTGTTTACTTCGGACGAGATACCAAATTCACCCTGAATATTACAACTTTCGTGGGTGGCAGAATACAAGCGTTAGCGCATCACAATGTGAAATACCGATTACAAAGTACATTTGCAGACAATTTTACGGAATAGTGTAAAATGTCATTATCGATCGGGAGGAGGGCGGATATCGTTAGGTTGTGATATTATATGCATAATCACGAAATTTCATCGAAAAAAACTCTATATGCGCGAGACGATCCCTTGTAAGGTGTCGATTGCATTCGTACGGTTAAACGTACCTCTTATAATAAACCGTCCGAGACATGATAACGAAGTCACTATGAACAATCATATTAAGAAAAAATTACATTCGATAAAGCACGAACGACCGTAATGTCATTATTTTCTTCAAATTACTAAATCCGAAATGCAATTAATGCCAGAATTCATTTCCGATCTGCGTGACCGAGAGAACGTGAAGATCGAATCGCGAATTGAAAAATTGTCGGTTTCGTAAAAGATTAATCATTTCTATTGAAAAGAATATTTTTTGTTTGAAACTATCGATCGATGATGTACTTACGATTCTTACTCTTAAAAACCCGTCGTCAAAATTCAAAGTAGAACATGTTATCCCTTATGCGAGATTTACGTCGGAACATCTTAAGGGCTGATTTATAGTCTTAGTCAAACGTTTCTTTGCACTGCGGCATTACTTAAATTTACATTTTCAAAATCGTGTTTTAAAGATATATTTCTATATTTGAAAATATATTTTTATTAATTTTATAGTAAAAAATTAATTAATCTCTAAGTGTACATAATTTGCATAATTTAATGCATACACTATCATTTAAAAGCTACTTCTGTTTTAAAGTTAACGCAAGATTCGTAGTCACTTAAATTGAGATTTATATCTATTTATGTGAATAATTTCAATCATTTTTACCATAAAACTTAAATAAACTGTTTTGAAAGAAAGTACGCCACCTAAGTCCATCTTATCTTATTATGTTATCTTTGTTATGTCTCATGTTCATTGTTTGTTTGAAATAATACATTCTCTTTATCTGACAAATAATTAATTTAATTTTGAAAATAACGAGGTTTCTGTGCTACTTTTCAATTTTATCTATGCTTTCAACGTTTAATATATAAATCAATGAATAAAAATATATATATATATATATAATTTTGTTTACATTATTCGTATAATCAAAAAATGTGTAAAAAAAGTAATTGTTACATGCAAGATATTTTTAAAGCTTTATGAGTTAATATTTCGTATATGTATATATTTTCTGTACTTAAAAAAATTTTCGAGAAAAAAATAACAGTTTCGAAAATCAAATAACATTAAAAGTCGTAGTTCATTGATTTTCTTTTTGTAGGTTAACTTTGTGTCTAAAATAGTTCTATAATCTCTTGAAGAATATATAATACATATATGATCATTTAATAACACCTCTCGGAATATACTATGTAACTACAAAGAGTAACGACTTTTATAATACGAGTTATTTATAATCTCTTGAAAAGTATGCACATCTAAAATTATACTCTGACTACTTCGTCTAAGTACATAATAACATATTGATCGATATTTTTCTTCGTAATTATTCTTATTTATAATTTTTTCTAATTTAATTAATTCATGGAAAATAAATACAATTAAACAATTTTAACAGAAAGTGCAGCACATCTCAGGATTTTAAAAAAAGCTTCATACTTCAAAATGTACAAAATTTTAATAAACTAAAAAAAAAACTTGAGTATATTTTAAAATAATTTAAAGCATATTGACATATGACTCAATAATAAAGATATATTTTCATGTGCGCGTATAAATATATTTTGTTGCATAATCTATTAATAGACTTCAACTTAGATAAAAAAATATTTTATTCTACAATTTTTAAAAAAGAATTTCAGATGCATACTGATATTCTTTATATTTAATATTTGACATTAAATATGATATTTTTTATTTTTTATAATTCACGTGTCTTTAATATTGAGATCTTAATGCTTTTATATACATAAAGTTGTATGAATAATGCAATTATATTTAACTTTAAAAAACCAATTTATATAGCATTATATGACTAAATATGTACAAGTTGTGAATCAAACTCCAGTATTGACATATCAATGAGAAGACATTTCAGAGTATATCGATTGTAAAACTAAATTTTATCGCGTTTATCTTTCAAACATTTCTTCAAACTTGAATCATGCATATTATATACAAATAACTATGTTCAAACGTAATCTTGAATTTAATTGAAATTAATTATCTCGCGCATCAAATGTTGTTTATTAGCATTTTAATATGCATATAAAATTTGCAAACAAATATATATATATATATATATATATATATGCATATATATATTATATTAATTAAATATAATATCCTTTTTATATATACTTTGTACGTGTACTTTTGAAGTAAACTTTTGTACAATTTTTCTCATAGGCTTTATAATTAAATAAAAATATAAATATCTAATTTTTATAACTTGTCATTTTTACATATAGGATAAGATAAAAGACAATAGTAATAGTATGTGCCTGCTGTATCCTGTATTCTGTATAGTGCCGTATACTACCACGCTACGTACTTAACATAAGGGAGCTCGCGGAGAGCAGAATTTCTCCCCACCACTGGAGCGGCAACCAATCACCGTCGAGTTGGCTGCGCGCTGGGTCTATATAAGCAGGCGACACAACGCGGACGGCACCACTTTCTACAGACTGTCGTTCTGGCCGTTTCGTAGTTTTCTGTTCGCACAATGGCACGTACTAAGCAGACTGCTCGTAAATCGACTGGAGGAAAGGCTCCACGAAAACAGTTGGCGACTAAGGCAGCGCGTAAAAGCGCCCCTGCTACTGGTGGCGTGAAAAAACCTCATCGTTACAGGCCTGGTACTGTGGCTCTTCGTGAGATTCGTCGCTACCAGAAGAGCACTGAACTCTTGATCCGTAAATTGCCGTTCCAGCGTCTCGTTCGTGAGATTGCGCAGGACTTTAAGACCGATCTGCGTTTCCAGAGTTCAGCTGTTATGGCGTTGCAGGAGGCTAGCGAGGCATACCTCGTTGGTCTTTTCGAAGACACTAATCTGTGCGCTATTCACGCCAAGCGAGTCACCATTATGCCTAAAGACATCCAACTGGCGCGTCGTATTCGTGGAGAGCGTGCTTGAAGAGTTTATAAACCACCGGCCCTTTTTAGGGCCACCAATCAGTTAGTCGATGGACTTGTGTCTCAGTTTCGCTTTAACATTTTTCAACATGTGTTTAATAAATTTTTACTTATTTCTACCTTATTTCATTACTAGATGAAGCTCTTTAAGAATTATATTAAATATGTATTTTTTATGAAATTATAAATTAGTACAAGAATCAAACAAATTAAAGTGATAATTTACAATTTTTATATAATTAAAGCTTATATTCGCTGTTTTTTAAAGTACTTTAGTTCTATTTAAAATCAATTTTAATACAAAGAAATGATACGTGAATATAAAGTATATTTCTCTGTTCGTTTTTCTTAAAATACTTAACGTTTTTATGTAAATATAGGAATCCATTTTTTGTGTGACTTGTTTTTTTTAATGTTCAATATAATTTTATTTGAAACCGATTTTTTATATATGATTGATATTTTATTACATGCATATACATTTTTTGTTGTCAATATTCTATTAGTTATCATACAGACATTTTGTAGTTGTTAGATTATAAAGACATAATTTGATTATAAAGATTCGGATTTAAAAATTAATTCTCATTATACATATTAAAAATACTCATGTTCAATTCTATTTATTTTGCATCTTTGAACGTGTAAAGGCTCTGCGCACAATGAGAAAATATAATAAATATGAAATATTGAAAATAGGAATCGTTTTAAATTAATAAAATTGAAAAAGCTGATATATACTTATTGTTAATTATAAATTCAGGCTCTTGTTTAATTAGATCTTAATTTTTCATAGCCAAATTTGTATAGTTGTAAAATTTTTTCGAGATTTTATTATTTTAAAATAATTCTTATTTCTAATATTTAATACTTATTCCTAATATTTTCTCTATTGTGCGCAGGGCCTATGATAATTTTATACATCGTATTAATTGACTACCGATTGCTTCTATTCGTGTCATTCACTCCTAACCTTCATAACCTATGAAAATCTTCGGAGCAATTCTTAAATCATTTAATTATTCTATTCAGAATATTTCATACATGCGTTCGACTTTGCACTAACTATACCTATTAGACCAATCTTAAGTATTATATATTATTACATGTATATATATAAATTTATAGATTATTAATTATAAAACTTGTAAACTTAAAATTATTTTTATGTGTAATGTTAGTATCCTTTTAATAACAATATTAAAATAAGATAACTATTTCAGAGAAAGTATCTAGCAAAGTTTTGCGAATTTTATCATCTAACAAGTATAAAAAGATGTTTGGCTTTATAAAGTGCAAAAAGTGCAACTCGGAAGTGTAGATGATTTCACCACATATTGACCTTAAATACTAATCTAATCTACATTTTACTGTAGAAAAATATCTTATCTTTGGATATTGCAAATTCTATTACTAGTCATGCAATGAATTTAAATATTACAAATATATGTATATTGAAATAATTAATTATAAAATTGTTCTTTTTAATAATTTATGTATTAATGAGTATATTATATAGCGACCAAAAATTGACTCAAACGTTAAATTATTTGTGGCCCTGAAAAGGGCCGATTGATATCCGCAGAAAATCCACGTTCTTAACCGCCGAAACCGTAGAGAGTTCTGCCTTGGCGTTTCAGGGCGTATACAACGTCCATGGCAGTCACGGTCTTCCTTTTGGCGTGTTCAGTGTAGGTGACAGCATCGCGGATCACGTTCTCAAGGAACACCTTCAACACACCGCGAGTCTCTTCGTAGATCAGACCGGAGATACGCTTCACACCGCCACGTCGTGCCAAACGACGAATAGCCGGCTTGGTGATGCCCTGGATGTTATCACGAAGAACCTTCCTATGACGCTTCGCACCTCCTTTTCCCAATCCCTTTCCTCCCTTACCACGACCAGTCATCTTGAGCTTCTACTAAGAGTATCGACAAATATCCACTACCGCAACAACGGATCGAGTGACGATGTGCACCTGGCGCGCTTCCCTTTTATACTTAGCCGAGTCGGCTTCTCCCCACCACGTCGACGCTGACCAATCAGAGCGCTCCTGTCGCTTCTCTACTATGGTATGCATTTCTACACTAGACGACAAAGAATTATTTTTCTTAATAATTTGATATTGATATTTGAGCCAATCGATGTAAAATAAATTATCAATAAATATATGCAAGTTACATATTTATTAATCAGAAATTGCTTATCTTTTATTTTGAGGAAAAGAGGAAAATATTTATTAAATATAAAAAATATGCATTTTTATATTTATTTGATAATTTACAAAGATAAAGAACATAGAATATGAAATTTGTTCTTGTATGATAAATTATATAAAAATATAAACAGATGTTGCATAAATTTAATTATATTAATGTTACATTTATTGCATATAGAATAATAATACTAGTACTTCTCAAGTACTAGTAGTGTTATTCTATATGCAATTAATGCAACGTTAATATAATTAAATTTATGCAACATCTGTTTATATAATTTATCATACAAGAACAATTTTTATATTCTGTGTTCTTTATCTGTTCTTTGCAAATTATCAAATATCTCCAAAAAATTGTATATAACCATTGTTTGATATTTATCTAAGTATTCCTAAAATATCTCAAAATTGTGTGATAAATTGTATAAACAGAAATGTGCATAAGTTTAATTATATTAACGTTGCATAAATTGTATACATAATAGCGACGCTAGTAGTATTTCTTCTCATAGAATCTCCCAAAAATTTTATAGCCACTGTTTAATACTTATTATAATGCACTGATACATAGTACACTAATGCGTAGTTATTTTTATTATAGTGCATTAATAAAAAAATATGATTAAAATAATATTCTCTACAATTTTACTGAATAAAAAATTAATTTCATAGCGATACAACACGTGTATTACTTGGCGATGCGAGCATCGACCAATGGCGTTGCAGCAAAGCTGGCGTCGAGCGCCGCTCGCACGTGATTGGTGCGTTGATAGTACCGCTCGTCGCTATATAAACCCGCATGGAAGTGATCCACGGAATCATTCTGTCTCTGAACTCGCTTCGACATAGAACTACGAGAGCTCAAGCATGCCACCGAAAGCTAGCGGCAAAGCGGTGAAGAAGGCCGGCAAGGCGCAGAAGAACATCAGCAAGACTGACAAGAAGAAGAAAAGGAAGAGGAAGGAGAGCTATGCTATCTACATCTACAAGGTGTTGAAACAAGTCCATCCTGACACCGGAATCTCCAGCAAGGCTATGAGCATCATGAACAGCTTTGTCAATGATGTCTTCGAGCGCATCGCAGCCGAAGCTTCGCGACTGGCTCATTACAACAAACGATCTACGATTACATCCCGTGAGATCCAGACTGCTGTGAGGCTTCTTCTGCCCGGCGAATTGGCGAAACACGCTGTTAGTGAAGGAACTAAAGCGGTCACCAAGTACACCAGTTCCAAGTGAACAAATTTCCAAAACGGCCCTTTTCAGGGCCAACAATAATATAACGTTGAATATTCTTGTATCGTATTATAAACATTACCTTTTAATTTACTAATATATATAAAATATATAAAGCATATTTTTTAATTATACATATATATCACTAATAGATAATACAATTACAATATACAATTGTTTTTAATGTTTCGTTTTTTTTAACACTTGGAATTTTTTAAAAATATTTTATTTACTGTTTAAATCATGATATTTTAACTCTACTGAAAATTTAAAAGATGATTTATCGAGAGTAAGTACGCGTATTATATTGCACGTTCATTGCATTAATCAGCAATATTTATCTATAAATTAAATATATAAAAATGGATTTTTCTTACGGCTTCTACTAATAAATAAAAATGAGTAAAATAAATTCAAGTAGTAAACATAAATAATGAGAGCCGCAAAATAGAATTAATAAAATCATTTTTTATTATTAAATGTACGTTTTTCTGCTTTTAATACAATTTATTGTAATAACACTCAGAAAAAATAGTTTACATATAATTATAGATATAAATTTATATAGTTTATATATATATATATATATATATATATATATATATATGACATATATACATATATGTACCATATATATGTAACATATATACATATATGTCTGCCCTATTTTTTTATAGATTTTTTTGTACATTATTTAAACAGGTAAAATTAAAAGATAATAAGAAAAATATTTTTATTTAGAAAAATTAATTTTGATTGTGAAAATATGCTCTCGAAATATGCTTTCGATATAAATCGATTCGGGATAAGCCGGGCATGACAGCGATATTGTCATGTGTGTATTTCTCGAAGAAGTGCGAAATATTTTTATATACAAAGTATATAATATAAAGTACTGTAAATAGTTATGGTTTTAAGTGATTAATTTTTGATGTAATATGTATAACGTAAGTTATAATCGATAACAAGATACATACCTCGCAGGTTATGTTTCTATGCTTGGTTTATGTGCTTCTGTCCGGATTATTTCTTTGATAACGATATTTTCTGTCAATTTAATTATTTTTTTTTTGTGATACTTCATCGTTCCATAAAAAATCTGTAAAACCTTCAATTTATTATTTAATAACAATTTGTACAATACTAATAATAGTGAAAAGTTGCATTCTTAACCTCACGAAATGTCCGACGACGAGGACCTGGTTTACGTGAAGAAACAGAAAACTGTTCATTATGGCTCGCTGGAGGAGGCTGAACGTGCACGACTCGCAGCTTTGCAAATTGCTGTCGAAACTACAGACGAAGAGAAGGATATTACAAATGCGAATGATATCACCAATGCTTCCAATTCGGCCGGCAATGTGCACATTTCAAATGAGTATATGGAACTCGAGGATGAAATGTCAAAAGATCGCCAGGCACTGTTGGAAGAATTCGAACGTAGGAAAAAAGCTAGACAGATCAACGTTTCCACAGATGATTCCGAAGTAAAGAAATACTTGAGACAATTGGGTGAACCAATTTGTCTCTTTGGCGAAGGCCCTGCGGACAGGAGAACAAGATTGAGAGAATTGTTAGCTAGTGTAGGTGAGGATGCCATCAAAAAGAAGCACGAAGAAGAAGAGAAACCAATTCATACAATTGAAAAGGATACAGAGACAACTTGGTATCACGAGGGCCCAGAATCTTTGCGAATTGCACGATCATGGATAGCATGTGAGTCCTGATTTGATTCTAGCTAATAAAAAAAATAAAGATATATTAATACATTTTTATTATTTGTGTTATTGCAAGCATTATACAATTTGTATATCTTTACAGCGTATTCATTGCCCAGAGCAAAGGCACGATTAAACGAGGCGAGACAAGATCTAGAATTACCAACTGCAACTCGTACAGCGAAAAGACAAGAACTTTTGAAGAAGCTGCAGGCATTAAGTATTTATTGCTCTCAAATCGGGGACACGAGGCCGATTTCCTTCTGTCAGTTCAGTCCTAACTCAAAGATTCTTGCTACGGCATCATGGTCAGGCTTGTGCAAGTTATGGTCTGTACCTGACTGTACTTTGTTGCGCACTTTAAAAGGACATACTTGTAATGTTGGCTGTATTGTTTTTCATCCCAAAGCTACGATAACCGAAGATGTGATAGGTGATAATGCAGGACAGACTTGTGTGCTGGCATCTTGTGCATCGGATGGTTCGTATATTTTATTGTCATAAGTTACGTGCAAAAGATTTATATGATAAGAAAGAATTTATTCACATAAATATTGCTATTAGGTACTGTGAAACTGTGGAGTGGCGGCAATGGCGAAGAACCACTTGCGGAAGTAGAAGGACACGAACCTCATAGGGTTTCCAAGATAGCTTTTCATCCGTCTGGACGATTTCTTGGCACCTGTTGCTACGATGCATCTTGGCGACTGTGGGATTTAGAACAGCAAGTAGAGGTACTTCATCAAGAAGGTCACTCTAGAGCTGTACATTGTATTAGGTATGTCTCTTCTTATATATGATTGTCATAATTGATTTTTATTGCATATGTCAGCCGATCTTTATTATATAATTTTATGCTTACTCAGCTTTCAATGTGACGGAAGCGTTTGCGCTACAGGCAGTCACGATTCTTTCGGCAGAGTATGGGACTTGCGCACTGGTAGATGCATTATGTTTATGGAGGGTCATCTAACATCCATCTTCGGCGTCGATTTTTCGTCGAATGGTTTCCATATAGCGACGGCGAGCGAGGATAATACTTGTAAAATATGGGATTTGCGAAAGAGGACCTGTATATACACGATACCGGCGCATACCAATTTGCTGTCAGACGTGAAATACCAGAGAACAGAAGGACAATATTTAGTTACCGCATCTTATGACAATACAGCCAAAATTTGGTCCAATAAAACATGGCAGCCGCTCAAAGTGTTACCAGGTCACGACGGAAAAGTCATGTCCGTCGATGTGTCTCCCGATCACAAATTTATCGTGACCAGTTCATACGATAGAACTTTTAAATTGTGGGCTCCAGAATAAATCGACTGAAAGAATATTCCTTCTAAGATTATTATCAAGTATATATTATAAAAATCTATCTTCTGCGTTTTTTATTTATATAATGTAACGGAGCACTTTTATAAAAAACAAAATTACATTTATCAGTCATTTAATTATAGTAATTATGGAATTCACTGTGCATTAAAAAAATTATATAGTTTTGTATATAACAGTCTTAATAAAAATTAATTTCTCTGACAAGATGTTGCTTATATTGGAGAAACACAATTTTAATTTTTAAATCTGCAACTATAAAATTGTAATCGGAAATATGCAAAAGTTGTTAAACGCTCATACTGCGCATTTCAAAAATATGTCTTCCGTGAAATAGGTCTTATAATCGCGTATAAACTTTTGACGTTATTTATAACTGGGGCAGCTGCCCGTTCAATAGGCGCACCGACGTTTATACCGTCCTCGACAAAGAGTCACGAACGCGTTAACTACAGAATCCGAGCTCTAGTGCTGAGGTTTGTCGAGTGCATTTCAAAATTAGATCCGAAAGAGGAAGACTTCGCGTGCTACTCTTACTCTTATTAACAAACTTTCAATGAAATTCTGGAACAGCATCCTTTAAAACTTTCGTTGTAGATCTTGGACTGTTGTACTGACAGAATAACGTATTTGTTTTGGAAAATGTGATTCATCTTTTCTGCATTTTCAAATTGTTTTCAAAAGTATCATTTAATATTATATACAGAGAATAAAATATGTTTATTTATGAAAATAAAGTATAATATATTCTTTACTATAAAATATATAATAATTTGCAATGCCAATTTATTGATATCAGAAAGAGAGAAAGAGTCTGAGGTTTATAATATATTAAAAAAAAAACAATTATATATATTTATACTCTAAATGATATAATTAAATATTCCTATTGCGTTATATTTTCGTTGTCAATAGAGTATATGAATCAAGTAAAATTAGTCAACTTGTACTTCCAGCGAAAAAATTGATTATTTAAATTTTATAAGTATTTGTTGATCGAAAAAAAATTGTTAGTATTTTTATCCACATCTATCTAAACGGCGTAAAATAAAAAAAGAATTTATGTTGGCATTTTTCGCAAATTCATATAATGTCTCATCACTTCACAATTCAATAAGGCTACAGTGAGAGATCAAAGAATCTTAAAAAGTTTATTATTTTTCCATTATCTAATAACCTCGAGATAACGAAGTGATCGAGTCACGTCGATTCGGTAAGTGGTAAAGATTGATGAAGCCAGGTTCCACTCCCTCCTTCAGCAAAATCCGCGGCCGCGTGTCCATCCCCTTTCAAAATCCATTTCGTTGTTAATAGCCCGTCCACCCCAACTGGACCACGTGCATGAATACGTGCCGTCGAAATACCGACCTTTTAAAAAATATGAAAAAGTGAAAATTATATCACATAATTTGTAATATTCGTATATACGAACAAAAGATATATATATTTTTTTATTTTGTAAGAACATACAGAAAAATTGTACGATTCACATACTATGTATCTATAAATCTCATGATAAATAATGTGATTCGAATTTTTATTTATTGATATAATAATTTTTTTAAATGAAAATTTCCATAATTATTAATATCTCACCTCTGCTCCGAGACCGAATCTGTAGCCGTCCGCAAACCTGGTACTAGCATTGTGGAAAACACATGCACTGTCCACTTCCCTCTGGAAGTGCGTTGCTGTGTGGGTGTTTTCGGTTACAATGACATCGGTATGATTGCTGCCGTATTTATGAATGTGGTTGATAGCGTCGTCGACGTCGGAGACCACCTCTATGGTGCATTCGAGTGCGCTGTATTCGGTTCGCATGCTTTTGGCGGGTGGTGGACCGAAAGTCAATAGCTCTCTTATCTTCGGGCCGGAATTGATTTTCACCTGAAAGGTGTATTTGTGTGGAAGCCCGTAAAACGACGTGGAGTTTTGATCGTCACGACGAGAAAAGAGTATTGATTGAAAGAGCAAATAATAATTCGCGTGAGAACAAATACTAGATTTAGAATTAATAAAATTGATAGAACTCATATTTTATGAAATCATGGAAATTTAAAAAATTTTCTTCTACTCGTATTTTACAGAACGGACGTAAATAAAAAAAAAAAATCTTTTCTATTTCGTGTCGTGAAGAAGTCAATTTATATATTTCGACGTAACTTGAGTATAAACTTTCGACTTTTTACGATATCCCAGCGAAAGTCTTGCGACGAAAGTTTTGCTTACGAAGTTGCAGGCAACGCGACACGGAAACATTAGGGAAGAAATAAAAAATATTATCCTCAGTTCTTAATCTCCTTTAGATTGCGGAGTTTACTACCGGCAGATCTTTTTGCTTATCTTTTAAAAGAAGCTAAAAGCTAAGAGCTAGAAACTAAATGTTCCAAAATGTAATATATTATATTTACCATTTTTTTCCTCTTTCAAATTTATCTTCAAATAAAAAATATATATAAAACTAACTCACTTCTTCTCTGTGCAACATGCTGCATACGTCGTTGAAAAAGTTGCTGCCCATAAGGTTCTCATGTATCAGCAAGGTCTCCATCGCATTACACGCTGCCGGATAATCGCACTTAGAGTCCTTGATGATCTTCAGAGCTTTCGCCAGATCCGCGTCCTTGTCAACGTAAACATGACAGACACCCTCGGCGTGTCCTAGCACAGGTATGTGCTTCGATTGATCCTGAATCGTGCGGACCAGATCCGAGCTACCGCGAGGTATAATGAGATCAATGTGCTTCTCCATCGAGAGAAGATCTCCCACGTCCTCTCTCGTGGACACGAGTGAAATAGCGTTGGAGGCGCCGAATTTCGCGAGCGCCTCCTTCACGAGCGTCATCAGGTACTTGTTGCTATGAGCTGCTTCCTTGCCGCCTTTTAGGAGGAGTCCGTTGGCGCTGGACATGGCTAGAGCGGCTACTTGGGGTAAACTATCCGGCCTGGACTCGAAGATCACCAGCAGCACGCCGATGGGTACAGTGATCTGCTGTAATTCCAGACCCTCCGCCAGTTTCGTCCTACGTAGCACACGACCCACGTTGTTCAACGAATCTGTCGCGATCTGATTCAGACCGGAACTTAAGGATTTCAGCTTCGCCGACGTTAGGGACAGACGCGAGAGAAGGGCCTTGGCCAGGTTCTTCTTGCTCGCTTCTTCCAGATCCAGCGCGTTCGCCGAGAGGATGTCGGACTGTCTCGATTCCAACAAGTCCGCCAGGGTTCTGATACACTCGGCACGTTCCTCGGGTTGTAACGCCTGCAACACTCTACTGCCGACGCGAGCTGCAATTTTTTATTTGCGAGTTTGTGAATAGAACTTTCCACCTACTAAAAACGATAGAGAGAGAGAGAGAGAGAGAAAATAAATCGTGGCTTGACGAACTGGGATTCCGAAGTAGATTTATCCTCGTGTTACAGTTTGTTCAAATATTTATTTTTATTTGCATTCACTTACGGTGATTTTGTTTTTTGTGTAAATTTCATAATGGTTTTTTGTTACATGTTGGAATAAACGTAAACGGGCAAATAAAACTTTTCAGTGCCGAAAGAGGATTTGCAAAATGTGCATTCGGCGTTTAGCAGCTACATTTATTCCGGAATTATATATATGAATGTAGTCCAGCATTGTATTTCAATAGCTTACCGTGAATTAACGGTGATAAATCATTACAGAGAGATAAAAGTACGTTTTAATTTCAACTAGTAAAACTAATAAACATAAATTACATAACGCAGAGAGATTTCGATATCAGGGAAAACAGACTACGCGTAACACACCGAAAAAACTTTGCAATCACGGAAATTGTTCTATGTATTCGTATTATACAGGATGTCCCATCCTTACTGTATCATTCGTTTATGGGAGACTCATAAGATTATTTGGAGATGATTTTCCTCAGCGAAAATGTCGAGAAAAGTCATCAATTTTTAATGTTCCCAATTTTTAAAATCATATACCTTTGTAACTTAGCCTTAAATTAAAATTCTATTAAAGTAAACTCTACATGAAATTAATAAAAGAATGTGATTTTGTTAATATTTTATTTCCACATAGCTTAGTTTGCGAAAAAACCCTTATTTTCAATCTCTTATAACTAGGAAATTATGGATGCCTGGACATTTTCGCTGAAGAAAAATCGTCTCCAAATCGCCTCAAGAATCTCCCATTAATGTGTGGTACAGTAAGTCGAGATCTCAATTTTAAGATTTAGAAATAGAAACGTTACCATTTTCGGCGATCACCTCGACCGGGGTGGACGAGCCGGTAGCCTGCGTGAAAAATGTTCCGATTTTCCTGCCGGACATGATGCTCTTGATGGCTTTCTCCTGGGTACCGTTGCAGATGACCACCGCGACTCCGCGATCCATCGCCCAGAGGGCCGCGTTGACCTTGGAGTCCATGCCACCGGTGCCCACCTTCGACTTCTGGCCGAACTTGATGGTACCCCTGTGATCAGAGCTGAAGGTGTGCAACATCTTCGCGCCGTCCTGCCAAGGAGGCAGATTGTAGATCCCGTCGACGTCGCTCATGAGGACCAGCAGATCCGCTTGGACCTCGGCCGCCAGCATTGCCGCCAGGGAATCGTTGTCCTTGATGGATATGCCTCGTCTACCGCTACCACCGGCAACCTCCTCGTCAACATGCGGCGGCGGTGACACCGCGTCGTTCGTGTTGATGATCGGCACGATGTTCAGACTGATCAGCTCGCTCAATGTGCTGAAGAGGTTCTTGCGCGTCTCCTCGTTGTAAAAGTCGGGCTTGGTCACCAGCACCTGGGCGATCTTGACTCCGTACTGCGCGAACATCGCGTCGTAAAGGGACATGAGACCTGATTGACCCACCGCAGCGGCTGCTCTGGGTTCCAGCATGGTTCCTTAAATGCGGGATCAAAGTTTTTTTTTACTTGTGAAGAGAAGGACATCGGGGAAAAAGAATAGCCACAATTCGCGGCGCGTGAAGAATCTTGGAATATGCTTAAAGACCCTTCCGGGAGACGCTACGTCGAGGGAGTAGCAAACGACAGATAATTGAATAAGGTAGATTGAAGAGAATTGTTTGCGGACGTATTGATCGGAAGATCTATACTCGACATGATTTCTCGGACAAATAGAATCCCGCAGGAATTCGTCGCCGGGTAATTGTTGGCTCAATCCATATGTACAGCCCGGACATTGTCGACTTGGCAGGTTGCCTGAACGGGTATTCGGAGTTACTATCGGAACGTTCACACTTTACCCGCTTTGGGTACTTTTAACTTTTGCAAAGTTAAATTTATGGACCAATCGATTATGTCACATAAGATTGAGACCTTTTTTTACTTCCAAGAAAAAGATTGTTTCTTTAATGGTTTGATGTTTTATCGATGGCGCTTCTTATTTTCGCTCAAGACTATATATTTCAAACAGCACACACCTATGTAATTTTTTAAAAGTAATTATAATTAATTAATTAATAACTGAAAAAATATTAAAATAAAAATATGCAGTCTGAGAATGCTTTGTTCTTTTTTTGATAAAAAAATGAATACCGTATTAAATTAATTAATCATTTAGTAAAGAATAGGAATCTTGATTGCAATAAAAGAATTTTTATTGCATCATATATTAATAAAGAAAAAAATTTGTTAAAACTGAACAAATTATATACTGTCTCTATAAAGTCGATTCATTTAAATGTATTTTCATAGAAAATCTTCGTTTTTACATACAAATAATTTATTTTCTATACATCTTGTCAACAACAAAATTTTATTAGAAACACATCTTTTTTCTTTTTTTAAGTATTTTAAATATTTATTATTTTTATGAGTAAATAATATTAACTAATATTAATCCTTTTCAACGTTTGCATTAAAACTAATGCATCACGTATACGTAATATTAAATAATCTTTGTTATTATATATGTTATGGTCATTACATTAATGAGACTTCTCTTTGAGAAAGCTGTTTCATAATAACAACATTATATATCGTAAAATATAAAAAATGGCTGTTTCTATTTCAGGCAAACCATATTAATAGTAATATGTAGGTAGTTAAATATATATGTATATTAAATATATATATATATATAATTTTAACTACCTACATGTTACTATTATATGTATAAAATATACCATCGATTTAAACCTACAGTGAAGATTACATCGATAATTACTGTATTTTTAAAATGCATGGCGCAGAATTTCTTTATACATCCGCGATCCGTATCGAGTCTTAATTAGAATTATGAGAACGCTGTTCAGAAACGTTATTCGACCGGAAATCTCTCAAAGAGGATTAACGCAAATTGCGTTCCGCTACAAGATTATCATATTCCGGCTTCAATTATGTTAATCGTGGTTCAGTCGCGTTCAATATTTACATACGAAGTTCATCTCTTACCTTCCACCGGCGCATATAGGTATTAATTAAAACGTGCCTCTCTATCAAATGCGCGTCGCATTCTTGATATCGTATTTGACAGAGACGTACAAGAGTGTGTGAAATTGGCGCGGAAATATATACAGCGCCAATTACCGAGCTTAACACTGACGTTCCTTTAAGGAAGAGTGAAGCAGCTAAGGAGTGTTCATTACTTACGAAATAGGTCAAGTTGAATTTAGGGTCTTGTGATTAATATAGCCTTTGAGCATGGGAAACTGTATAGTGTCTAGATAGATTGCACGTTTACGCGATTACGATTTAAAATCATATCAAACTGTCGATAAGATTAAAAAAAAAAAGACGCAGAAAAAACTAAAATCTCGACATCAAGCGATCCTAAATAATTATAGTTCTCATTATTAAAAAGAATATAGTATGATATAAAATTAAAAAAAAAATGTAATAATTATTGTACATATATGTTATATATAATATATATTATAATTAAAAATAATACATATTATATACTTATAACATACAGAGTGTATCTAAATAAGTGCAAAAAATTTTAGATGATTCTCTGTCGAGAAAAGGGGGATTTCTTATATATTGTAAATACATACTCTTATATATTCCTCTTTGAGAAGGTACACGTTTCTAAAGAAGCAGGTAAACATTAAGTTATTTCTTTCTCTCAAATTTCAAACAGATTAAAAAATAAAACCTGGTGGATATTTTATATTATCCACTAATAAAATATAGAAAAATGTAACTTTTCAGGGAGAGATATAAGAGTATATGTTTATATAAGAAACCCCCGTTAATTTTCGAAAGAATCATCTCCTAAGATTCGTCGCTCATTTTTCGATAAATCCTGTACATATATATTTACCAGTAACATGTTTAGATGGCAAGAGGGAGTAATTACCTCTCATTAAATTTCACAGGGGAATCAAGGTATCGATTAATGTAAATAACATCTCGAGAATGAGCTGAGAGGAGAAGCTGTACCTGCGTGTTCCCGTGTGTGATCCGTGGGGCTCAGGGTTTCTCTCATCGACATAGACATTAACAGCTCCTGAGTAAGCTTCTGCTTGCCAAAGGCGACCGCACCGCTGGTCACCATGATGCATTCACGTCCGTCGATCTGACACTCGGCTACCTGTTCGACGATGGACGCGAGACGTCCCAGGGCCAGTCCGTGTTCGTCTTCCCGAGTTATAACGGCGCTACCGAGTTTGATGACCAACCGACGAGCGTACTGCAATTCGGTGCGCTCCGTAAAGGTCTGCTGCCTACGTGGTCTCTCCGAAGTTTGCAGCTCTCTTCGCGCGCACCTTTGCGACGTGTCTTTAATCATCTTGAAAAGTTGTTCAAAAGTCAGAGGTAACATCGAAAAAAAAAAAAAGAAAAGAAAAATAAGAGAAATCATTAGAAGAGAAGAAGAGCCGAAGCTCCTCGAACGAATTGCGTTCATATTTTATAACGAATCTGGTATATTAAAATATATCCGACAAATATTTATTAAACGAACATATTATGTTACCATATATATTCAATATTCATGCAGCAAAGGGGTCTGGCATTACTGAAGCAGAGTTTCTGAATCTTTGCAAGAAGTTATGAAGTTATAACGGTGCACGGAGACGCTAGTAGAATTTAATATCAGTACTGGAGAGAGGAGAAGGGAAAAGCGGAGCTGTCTCTGCTCTTCTCTCATATTTATAAAGATAGATTATATTTATTTTAATATATTTATGTATACCATAAATTTGTAACAGAATTCTGAATTGCTCTGTAAGAAAATATTAAAAATTGCATTGCTTCTTTATGAGCTAATCGGCCTTTCCTTTCCAATCATTTTATATTGATCGAGATAAATGATGTATAGGAATATTTTATTTTTTCCAACTGTCATTTAAACGTAAAATTATCATCTTTGTCTTATCTTTGTATTTTACGATGTTTATAATTAACTGATAAAAAACGTTTGCAGATGCAGTATAGATGTAAAATAAATTTTATATTGAGAAAGCTTTATCTATACCCTTTACAATAATTTATAAGCACAAATTGATTAAATCAAGAACTAATTAAATGTTGAAGCTTATCGGAAAGGTGTGTCTCTCTAAAGGACAGATTATATATTTGATTTATCGAATATCATCTAAAAATTTTTACGATTTAATTTAATTAAATATATATATCGACATATACTGGGTGTCCGGTAACTAACGGACCAACGATTACAAATGGGTGTCCGGTAACTATCGGACCAACGATTTTCCTCAGCGAAAATGTCGAAAAAAGTCATCATTTTTTACAACTTTCCAATATTTGTCATTATGTATCTTTATAACTAAGCCTCAAATTAAAATTTTATTATAATAAACTCTACCTGAAATTAACTGAAGAATGTAATTATGTTAGACTTTTAACTCCAAAACGTTTAGTTTTCAAAAAACCTATTTTTTTCAATTGCTTATAACTCGAAAATTATTGACTTCTCAACATTTTTGCTAAGGAAAAACCGTCTCCAAAGTGGCCAGAGAATCCGCCCTTAATCATTGGTCCGTTAGTTACCGGACACCCTGTATTTCTTTTCATATCCCTCTCTTATATTGATTTTGCAAAGTAATTTTATATTAATAAGTTATTCTAATAAATTTATCCAATATTAGCGAATGATAATGTTCGTATCAGAAATATCTATCGATCCATGACTTGTCTGCCGTCCATATCATTTATTTTCTCGTCATTCGCGAATATTGCGTTGATTACGCGAAATAACTTTCGATAAGTGTGCATATGTATGGACAAGAGAAAAATGACATCCGGGATCGTTCATGTATTTTTCACGTCCGCAGACAGAACATCTTCTCGCAACAAACACAATTTTATATTACTCGGTTTTCGCAATCGTTTAGCAGGGATGTTCCATTACGTGATTACTGATTGCGCGTTGTAAATCATATCGTAACCCCCTTATCTTTGTACCGAGAGCAGAGAGAGAGAGAGAGAGAGAGAGAGAGAGAGAGAGAGAGAGAGATATGTTCTATTTTTATTTATTAGTTCCTGACTGTACAAAGCTCGAGAGTGCAATTTCCCACACGTGCATTTACCGATGCACAATTCCATTTACGGAAATTGGTGTGCACACAAACAAACTTTTGCAAAAGTTCTCACATAGTTCTGTAATCGTATCACACTGTGGTCAGAAAAATATTTTTATCGCAGCTACAATAAAAGAGAAAAATTGCGTGCTATATATAATGCATCGAAAGAGATAATATACGTTTTATCAAGTCTAAGCAATACGTCAAATAAATTTGAAAATCTTATTATTGTCTTTATTTAAGAAAAATTTAATTAAAATTAATTTATTCATTGAGTTTATATGTCTATTAATTATAAAATAATTTTTCTCTCTAGCACATTTTCAATCGAAAAAAGAGAAATCATGGCTTTAATTCATTTTTATTATTATCATCAATTTTTTATATTAAATATATTATTTAATTTCAAAATTGAGGTTGATATTTTTTCGACCAAAAATCGGCATATAATTTGAATATTAATTAAAACACAACGTTTCGACCATTAAATTTGTTGGTCCTTACCAAGTGTTTTTAATAATAAGTCATTTGCTTGTCTGAAACAGAGCCTCATTTTATTAGTAGAAATAGGTTTAAAACATGTCACAAAGATCATTATCACAACATGAGTATCATTACTTGACTGTGTGTCCTTGTGACATGTTTTAAACCTATTTCACCTAATAAAATGAGGCTCTGTTTCAGACAAGCAAATGACTTATTATTAAAAACACTTGGTAAGGACCAACAAATTTAATGGTCGAAACGTTGTGTTTTAATTAATAAAGGAACATTTAAATTATATGCCGGTTTTTGGTCAAAGAAAATACCAACCTCAATTTTGAATTCTCTACTGGCGATTAAATATTATTTACTCTGTTATTTAATTTCTTTTCTAAAAAAAGAAAGTTTTTGTAATCGATATCCCGTATTTAATTTTGTGTGAAATATTACTAGTATGCATTATAAATGAATTATGAACAAGATGTGATACGACATGTATATAATTAATAATTTTAATACTTCAAATAAATATATTTTGTCATTAAATTTTTATTTTATATTTTTCCTTCCTCTTTCTCTCTTTTTGCTTTTATTTTTTACATTCAATCGTAATTTCTATTCGACAATATGTATATTTCATAGCAGTAAATAATCTATATCTAATTCTATATCTATATCTATATTTAATCTATATCTATATCTAATTTTAATGACTGTATATCAATATTTACTGAATACTTTTAGTTATATCGTCGAGGTGCATTGCTTGTACCATTATCATACGTTTGCATTACGTATCGATACCTCTGTTGAGATACGATGTATTTTTTTGATTAAATTATTTGTATATAAATCATACGTACATACTATGAATCATTTATTTTTCGAGAAAGTGTGAAGCTTTGCATACGCGTTTTCCGATAACAAATGCGTGAACCATTAAATATATGAAGTTTTGTCAGCAGATAATTGTCTGTCGCATATACAGGGTGTTTCTAAAATTATGTAAAATAATTTAAGGGTCGAATTATTAATTAAAAAAAAAGTTCCTATAAACATGAATCCAAAAATACTTTTCCTTCGAATTATAGCCCTCTAAAGTTGGGAGAAAAAATAAAAAAATGTATTACAGCTCTCGAAGACTTTTTTATAAATCGTTGAAATTTTGCACAGCGTAATAATTAATAGTGAATTTTTGGACCCATGTTTCTAGAAACCTTTTCTTATTTTGACCCCTAGAGTGGGTCCTTAAAATCACTGACGTAGTTTTAGAAACACCTTGTATATGTATATCATATTTAGCAGTTTAGAAAGATGACTCGGGTGGTAATCGGCAAACTTTAATGATCGATCTAAGGAAGTTTGTAAACTAACGTCTCTGTGCGTATTTCATGTAAAATTATTACAGTTTCCCGTATTTATGCTCCTACGCGTATTTTCCTACAACGTTATCTCGGATAATATATACAGCTTCGATGATATATACAGAGTGTCTAACATAAAGTCACACCGAAAATATACAAGTGGATTTTGTTATTTGGAGACAATTGTTCCTCAGCAAAAATATTGAGGCATCAATAATAATTCTCGAGTTATAAGCGATTGAAAATCAAGAGTTTTTCGCAAACTAAGTCTCGTGGAAATAAAAAATATTAACAAAACCACATTCTGCAATGAATTTCAAGTAGAGTTTACTTGAACAAAATTTTAATTTAAGGTTTAGTTATAAAAATACATGATGGCAAAAATTGGAACATTTTTACCGAGGAAAAATCGCCTTCAAATAACGCGACACTTGATGTCAGACACCCTGTATATAAGTACGACAATACACATAAGTACAGAATCACACCTATATAATACTCCGTACGTACTGTTAGCTGGGACAAACGCAGCCTCGCGAATGACGAGGCCAATCTCCGTGGCAAATTCCCGTGTCGGGCGGATCTCGCTAATAACAGGATCGAGTACATGGCCCTGGTCTCCGGTATCTTCTGCAAGGAGCACGATTAATCGGCTGTCCGTCAAATTGATCAGCTGCCGGAAGATCCCCGTCACTGGCGCCCGATATCGCGCTTATTCGAGAACGCTCATCGAATACTATTTGCGACTCTCGATTATCTCGAAAGACGTTGATCCTCAACAAGTCACACACTAATAAGGAAGGAATGTTTATTTGTCACGAGGTGTACACGCGGAAATCAGATTAGATCCGTCACTGCCAATTGGGGAGGAAAATATTGATCACAATGTCGAGTAGTGCGATTGAACCGGGCGGATCTTCTGATTAAACCAAAAAAGAGAAAAAAAAAAAGAAATCAATCACGGGGATGACAGACGAGAGAATGAGATCGATCTCGGTACCTTGTCACCGAGACAGAGCGGCCGTAAGCGGTGGTCAACGACACGCTACTGCTGTTTTCTACATAAAATCACTTCGAAAGACGTCGTTATCGTGGTTAGATTAGAGACGTCAAGTAAACGAAGCGATGAAGAGGCGCATGCCGGGAGAAGACCAGAGGGAGAAATATGTTCCATCGGAGATCAAGTCACTTGACGCAGTCAAGTGACGTCGCCTGATCTCATATTCCAGCCGGACGTTTCCCGGTTTGCAATCTTCAAGGGTACGTAAAGTTCGTGCACGAGTCTGCACGCATAAAGAAAATCGCCTTCGAGTGACGCTTTCGGTTCGGCGAACTTTGACTCGGAAAATTGCAAATCGAATAAACAACGCGGCTGATAATGTACAGCCATATTTTTTCCCAAGTTACATCGTGACGTAAGCGAGTCGATATTCAATAATTAAATAACGCGGGACAAGGCGATATTTACATCGTACGTGTGTTATGTACGATGAAAATGTAAATCGCTGTAGGCGGTATGTTTTTTTTTTTTTTTTCGGTATAAAATGCGAAATTAATGGAGTATCGCTAATCGTCGCGCGGGGAATCCAAAGCGATTTAAATCAAGATACTGAAAGATTTATCGCGCTTAAAATACGTGTATCACGAAAGAGAGAGAGAGAGAGAGAAACGTTGAGCCTCCTATTCGTGTTTTCCAACGCTCTTATCGGGATTCATAACCGACCGCGTGTTATTACATCATGCATAACGTGATAGATTGTATATATTACGTATATTATTTGTGAAATAATAAAATTGTATGTCCATACACAATACGCGCAATTTATTCAAAGGTCGTTTACTTTGCGCGCTCTCGACGATCGACGATACGCAAGTCAAACTTTGTTCTTCTCTCGTAAAGCGATTACTTTGAACCGGTATTACACATTCTCTCGACCGCAAACAAATTCTGCTCATTTATGATCCTGGTGAAACGTTATACGGAAAATGAATTTTTCTCCTGGGAAAATCATTAGATAGCGGTAAAAAATGGTAGATGAAAAACTTGGGTAGTTTTTTTCAGATAAAAATACATCTTCTCTTCGACAACGTTTTTAAAACTCATCTTCCGTGTGTAAACTAATAACACACGGGGCTTGCTTTAAAATAAATGCAAGTGATTTAAAATTTATAAATGTTAATATGTGCGAGTAACGCACAAAAGTATGTATATCGAATAAATGAAAGAAAAATATTATTCTTCTTTTCGGAAAATATATCTTTCATATTTTCCCTGCTTTAGCTCTTGATCATTTTATCTAAAATGTTGATAACATCACAATAGTCTCGTAGCGTTTCGATAATATCTAATGCGACATTATCTAATTAAAGAATGAGTGTTTGTAAAGTAGATAGAGAAACGCGAATTCATTTAGTACACGAAGAATAAAAATCTTTTATCAAAGAAAGAAATCCGGTAATGAAGAGACGTGTCAGCAGAATAGCTGCCAAGCAAATAATCGAGAGAAAGCTGTCCTCTTCTTTTGTTTCTACGCTTAATTTATAAATAATCCTCTTTAGGATCCCCTTTGTCGCAAGCAGCTTACACACGCTGAATGAAAGCTCATAGATAAAATATACAATAGAAGTACTTCAACAACGTTACTCGAGCCCGATAAAATCCCTTCAACTACGTTCTTCTGTAAACACAACATACATAATTCTCGACAAAATTTCCACGCAAATCTCCGGTAGCTTATATTTATTTATTAACAGACTCGTGCTAATGGACAATCCTTACATTTTGCAACGATATTGTCTGATCTAACAGCTACTATCGACGTTATATGGGCGTCTCAGGAATATCAGAATAAGAGAAATACTCTTAATCAGATTTGCTGTTCTGTGCAATGAATAAATTAAACGATGATTTAAAGCCAAAGGGCGATTACACATCTGATAAAGGTAAATGGTTTTCGATAGAATTTCCGATATAGCAGAAGTAGATTTTTCTCGTTCGAGAAAAAGAAGCATTACATGTAACGCATAAGCTGTCGTAATTTTCCACGAATTTACAATAGATTAGAAATCATATGACATGGCAATATATCTCGCGTACTAATACGCGTTTATGAATAGAACATCCTTCTCATTATACGTACATATCAAGCATATTGTACGTGCGGAACTATCTATTCGTTATTGTCGGCGATCTGTCTCTCGATTGATATTACTGAATTTGAATACCTTCGATAGTTTACTTGGTCCGTATCGATTTGTCTACATTATTACATACATGACGTCTGTTAGATAATGGAGATTGTAAGCTTTACACAAGAATGTGAGAACATTTACAAAGATAATTGCACGTTTTCTATATTTTTAAATGAGAATAATCTTGGATAAAAAAATTTTTATTTTTCGTTTATCTTTATAAATTTACTTGGTCCGTATCGATTTGTCTACATTATTACATACATGACGTCTGTTAGATAATGGAGATTGTAAGCTTTACACAAGAATGTGAGAACATTTACAAAGATAATTGCACGTTTTCTCTATTTTTAAATGAGAATAATCTGGATAAAAAAATTTTTATTTTTCGTTTATCTTTATAAATTTACTTGGTCCGAATCGATTTGTCTACATTATTACATACATGACGTCTGTTAGATAATGGAGATTGTAAGCTTTACACAAGAATGTGAGAACATTTACAAAGATAATTGCACGTTTTCTATATTTTTAAATGAGAATAATCTTGGATAAAAAAATTTTTATTTTTCGTTTATCTTTATAAATTTACTTGGTCCGTATCGATTTGTCTACATTATTACATACATGACGTCTGTTAGATAATGGAGATTGTAAGCTTTACACAAGAATGTGAGAACATTTACAAAGATAATTGCACGTTTTCTATATTTTTAAATGAGAATAATCTTGGATAAAAAAATTTTTATTTTTCGTTTATCTTTATAAATTTACTTGGTCCGTATCGATTTGTCTACATTATTACATACATGACGTCTGTTAGATAATGGAGATTGTAAGCTTTACACAAGAATGTGAGATGTGAGAACATTTACAAAGATAATTGCACGTTTTCTATATTTTGAAATTGGAGCAATCTAGATAAAAAAATATTCATTTTTCGTTTATTTTTATAAACGCCTCTCTGTGTACTAAAAAGTTTTTTAAAGAAGATACAAGAGTTTTCTGAGATAAGTCGTCTGTATTTTCATAGAATATTTGATAGCGATGTGAATCGTTCTTAAATACGAATAGCAATAATTAAAAAACCTGCTTCTGCAGGTACAAAGTAATCCTTAACACGGCGTTTATATATGAAATTAAAAATTTCATTTCAAAATAGTAGTATACTAGCGGTACATAATACTGATTAATTTCGAGTAAGTTCTGTTTTCAACGCGATATTTTAATTTAAATATTTAGTCAAACAGAGGAATAAAAATCTCGACGTTGACGATTAAAGAGTCGCGAAGAGAGAGAAGGGTGGGTCTAATTAAACTTTCATTTCGAACAAATCTACTTTTAAAGCGAGAAGCTTCGCAAATAAATTATAATTATAAATTGTTTCGGCCCGGCATGTATCATTTAAATGCACACTCCGCAATAAAGATAATGCATCTTTATCTAGGTCCCCGCTCTGTGTGCGCGCGTCTGCCACCGAGTAATTAAAGCTCAGATAAGGGAGAGAGAGAGAGAGAGAGAGAGAACTTGAAGAACATCATCGGCTGTATTTCCGAGTAACGTTACCGAATGGTATCGACGTTCGCGGCCGCTGTTTAAACACATCGACGACAACAAAAAGCGAGAGAAGCCGAGGAGAAAAAGCGATCGGACGAGCGACCGGGGTTAACGACATCCGACAAGAAGTTTCCGCACCAGCGGAATGATATCGCGCGGCGGAAGAGAGAGAGAGAAAAAAAAGAGAAAGGAAGAAAGGGACAGGTGTCAAGCAGCGGGGGCGCTTATTTTACAAAAAGACGCCACCCCTTTCTTTCATCCCTCCCTTTCGCCGCGAGCAAGCAGCCAGCATCCTCTTCGACGTGTGTGTATATCCTGGTCTCTTTAACTATCTCGTTTTTGCCCCTTTCCACCCTCAAATCTCCCACCCTCTCTCTCTTGCCAGAAAGAGAGAGAAAGAGAGAGAGAGAGGCTTCTTGGAGCGAAGGCTTGCGCAGAGCGGCGAAGCGCTCAAACGAGGAGCAGGCATCGGGGTGGCGGCGTCGTCAGTCGTCGTTGTCGCGGGGGAAGCGTGGGAGAGAGCATCGGCGGAAGGGACCAAGGGAGGCTGCGGACGAAAGGGTGGCGCGCGCGAGCGCGCGCGCGAGAGAGCGAGATAGAGAGCACGCGCGTCTCTTTTCGACGTCGACGCAACCGGGTTGGCGCAGAATAGCTGCTCAGTGCTCGTCGAACGGCGCCGCGCTGCGACGGGATCATGCCGCCGCGCCCTGCGCCACCGATCGACCGATCTCAGGTACGCGAGAGACAGAGAGAGAGAAAGAGATTATCCTGCTTCGAGAGCGCGTTCAGCCTCCGTCTGCTCTCGGGTAAAAAGAGGCCTCTCGTATATGCGCGCGGAAAATCGGGAAACGCAATATCGCGGGGTGCATTGTATCTTTGTATATGCAATGTGTGAGAGAGAGAGAGAGTTTAAGCTCGATCCTTCCCCGAATCCTGGTCTCAGTGAACCTTCATTCTCCTCATCATGCGTGCTCCGCGAAAAAGTTTCCAAGTGTCTCGCGCGGTCGTCTCTCGGCGGAGTTCCCGTCAGGATCTCCGATACTCTTATTCGCGATCGATCGGGGAACCGTTCGCAAATAGAACGTATATCGCATTCTAGGACGCGTATTCCCGCGAGTTCCGCCGCGAACTTCCGCCCGATTCTCGTCTCGTAGCACGAAAGAAAGAGAGAGGCTGTCCGGGGTAGGTAGGTAACGAGGGAAAATGCTCGAGTCCCCATTCCTTCGTAATTTGCCCCATTATTTCCCCGGGGGATGTCGCGATCTCGTAGCCGGCAATCCTTATTCGCGACTTCATAAATTAGTATATATATCCACAGCGCTCGGTAGCTTGCTGTAGCAAGAGTCGGGAGATCGAAAATCGCTCGCATTCAGCTGCATCGACTTCGATCATTTTTTTTGCTCGAGCGATATAGAAAACGTTTCCAAAGTCCTGCGCTCTTGCGAATTCGCAATTCTGTACAAATACTCTCGGAAGTATTTCCTCGAAATTCATTGTAGACATCTCTTTCT